TGTATTTTTGGCTTTGTTGTCAACATCAGAGACCAACAATTAATAAGTGATCAAAAAGATCCTAAACAGCATCGTTTGAGCCAAGCAGTGAACTACAGAAAGTGGAGCAATCTTTACAAATTATACTTCTTACAGATGGTTAGTGTCTAGAATAGTCAAAGGACTCAAAGACTGAACATGAAGAAAACCAAGAATACAATTAAAAATGAGGCATAGGACTAAACAAAAAGTTCTCTAAAGGTGAAACACAAATGGCTCAAAAATGCTTCTTAAAATGTTCAACATCCTTAGCCACCAAGGAATGCAAATTAAAACTACTTTGAGATTGCATCTCACCCCAGTCAGAGTAGCCAAGATTAATAAAACAAATGACAGCAAATGCTGGCAAGCATTCCGGGAAAGGGGAACACTCACTCATTGCTGGTGGGAGTGTAAACTGGTACAGTCACTATTGAAATCAGTGTGAAGGATCCTCAAAAAGCTAAAAATTGATCAACACAAGATCCAGCTATCCCACTCTTGGGCATATAGCCAAAGGACTTGTGCTGGCTAGTTTTATGTCAACTTGATACAAGCTAGAGTCATCTTGAAGGAGGGAATCTCGATAGGAAAAAATATACCTCTATAAAATCCAGCCTTAGGGTATTAGTGACTGATGGGGGAGGGCGCAACCCATTGTGAGTTGTGCCATCCCTGAGCTGGTGGTTCTGGGTTCTGTAAGAAAGCAGGCTGAGCAAGCCATGAGGAGCAAGCCAGTGAGCAGCACTCCTGAATGGCCTCTGCATCAGCTCCTGCCTCCATGTCCCTGCCCTGTTTGAGTTCCTGCCCTGACTTCCTTCAGCGATGGATTATGATGTGGAAGCATAACTCATATAAATCCTTTCTTTCCCAACTTGCTTTTGATCATGGTGTTTTATCACAGCAACCGTAACCCAAACCAAGACAGGGCCCTGCGTCTTACTACCAAGCTACTTGCTCATCCACGCTCACTGCTGCTTTATTCGTAACAGCCAGAAATTAGAAACAGTCTAGATATCTACCAACCAATGAGCAGATCAGTTTTCAGGTAAAATGAAATTTTCAGGTAAATGGATGGAGCTAGAAATGATCATCCGGAGTAAGATAGCAAAGACCCCAAAAGACAAGTAGTCCATGTTTTCTCTTATATATGCATGTGGTTTTTAAGCTTTAGGGATATGTGTTTCAATTAGAATAACTACAAGCTTATATAGGTAATAAGGGACTAAGGAAGAGGAGGTGATCGTCCAAGAAATGGGAAGTAGAATATAGAATTATAAAGAGATAAAGATTAAACTAGGAGGTTTAAATGTAGGGGGTAAGACAATGTCCAGCTAGACATGTCACCAAGTAAAAACCTCCAATGCCAAGCATGGGTTACATTTTGCTGAGCTGTTGGCCACAGGAGTCCTGTGGAGTCCCTCAAACACCACAGGCTATTATCAAAGATATTGGTTGCTCTCCATAACCTGACGGTAAAGCCCTATTGCTGAAGACACAACTTCCATAGGTCATCGGGCATGGAGAACTGAAATGGGTGCCTAGCTAGAAGCTTCATCCCTACTGACTAGAGTGTCCGGTGTTGGGAGGGACTGTGCCCCTCTATGACATGAAACCCCGCACGAGGCACTGCTAAAGTGACCAAGAACCTAAGACTAGAGAGATCATGAGTCCTCGGGAAAACCTATTATTCTGTTAAAGGAACATTGCAATAAAATGACTCCTAATGAAACATTGCTATACCCACAGAGCAGGGCCTCTCTCACTCCCATCAGAGAATTAAAATAGAGACTCACAAATGGACAGTGTGCAAAAACCGAGAGACCTTGAAGAACTCAGCCTTAAATGGGATGCCTCCATCAAATCCCTCTCCTCAGGGCTCAGGGAACTGAGAAAGATAAGATAGCAAGACTATAAAACCAGCAGGGATGGGGTCATCAAGGAATTAAGGCCTTCTGGACACAACAGGGCTGGTGCTTGCATGAACTCACAGAGACTGAGGCAGCACGCACAGGGCTTACACGGGACTGCATCAAATGGGGTCCTAGATCTGAGAGGGGAAGTAGACACACACCCCATCCTTAACCCAGAAACGCTCTTCAATTGCTAGCCACTTGCAAATGAAAAATTAGTTTTCTCCAAGGGAGTCTCACTGGGGAAACAACTCACTCTAGCAGTAGATAACCAGCAGAAAGGAACTCAGCTGGAGAGGTGGCTCAGAGGTTAAGAGCACTGGCTGCTCTTCCAGAGGTCCTGAGTTCAGTTCCCAGCAACCAGATGGTGGCTTACAACCATCTATAATGAGATCTGGTGCCCTCTTCTGGAGTGCAGGTGTACATGCAGGCAGAATATTGTATACAAAATAAATAACTCTTAAAAAAAAAAGAAAGAAAGGAACTCAATGGCATCTTCAGAATTTCTTTGTTTCATAATGTTAAGTCAAGGCTTTCTTTTTTTTAAACTTACAGGTCCTTTACATATATATATTATGGCTTTTGGTTTTGCATTTTGATAGGATTCTTGAGTATGCGAATGTGTGTGTCTCTTTGTCCATGTGTGTTTCTTGAACATTTTCTTTGGCTCTTTTTGTTGTTGTTGTTGTTGGTTGGTTGGTTATTTTGTCATATTCTGACTTGTTTATGATTTATTTTGCTGTATTTTATTTTATTACTATTCCCTAGATGCCTATTTTCTAAGGAGAGGAGAAAGGATGTGGATATGGATGGGAAGCTCGGTGGGGAGAAACTGAAAGGAGTAGGGGGAGGGGAAACTGTAATCAGAATACATTGTATGAAAAAAAAATTCAACAAAAGAGAAAATGTTTTTGATTTTTAAAAAACGAGAAAGAAAAAAAGAAAACTAGATACTCAGTATAGTACTATTTAACGTGAACTCCATGTGACCTTGCTTTCCTTGTGTGGGTAGTCTAAGGAGAAAACAGACAAGTAAAATGACCATCTCCTGTCAGTCTTCCAATACTTGTTGCCGATAGGCATCAGGGGATGGCTGACTCATGCAGCAATCTTCCCAGACCACCTAGTTGGGCAAAGGAAGGCCTTCCTGGCCTGTGGTTCCCAGTGAATTGTAGGAGGGTATACTTAACTTTGATAGACATACTAGACTACTACAGAATAAGCCTGGGATCGCTTAAGGCTAGCTTTTTCATACTAGAATCTAGCAAACCGTTCTATTAAACACAGAATATGTTTTCCTGAAGTCCCTTGTAGTTCATAGATAACTGATTGGTTTTTTTTGTTGTTGTTGTTGTTGTTGTTGTTTGTTCTGTTTTGTTTTTTGAGACAGGATTTCTCGGTATAACCTTGGCTATCCTGGACTCACTCTGTAGACCAGGCTGCCTCTGCCTCCCAGAGCGCTGGGATCAAAAGGTGTGCATCACCACACCCTGCTAATAACTGTTTCCTTGTGGCCTCATCAGTGCTAGGATAGCACTGTGTCACTGAGGTGCGTCTCTAGCCCATGCATAAAACTTTTCGAACTCCGTACCTTCTGATGAGAAGACAGAATTGACAGAACCAAGAGGGCTGTTTGGAATAAGGCACCACTCAGTGGGAAGGAAACTGGTGTGTCTCTATTAGCTTTTGTTCAGTCAGAGCTAGCTGAACAAAGGAAACGCTGCATTTCCTGAAAGGGAAGCAGGGTTTGCAGTTTAATTATGCAGATGATTGGACGCCTTTCCCTCCCCAACACACCAAGAAGAAAATTCTGTTTCAGTGGAGCCAGCTACAGATTTGTTTGGATGGGGGGGACATGGCGGATTGAGGACTAGGTGAGAGAGTCCTATGATGGCCCCTGGCATCTGCAGTCCCCCCCCCTCGCCCCCCCAGCTAGCAGCAACCTCTGGAAAGATGATCTCAGCTTTCTCGGATGGCTTGCATCTTCAAGATCATACCCTTTTTAAACTCATAACTGATTCTGTGATTGTATTTTCTTGCTCACAAAGATGAACGGTTAAACACAGACTTGTGTGATGATCAGTGTTTCGAGCTGGAGAGAGATGGAATTATAGCTGCACCCAGTCTACCTGTATATCATAGCATGCATTATGATAATAATCATAATGTGTCTCTAATGGGGGGGAGAGCTAACTGATTTTTTTTTTCCGTCATGTTCCCAATTCCCTCAGTAGTTACCCAGTAGGACGCTTGGTGTGAGAATCTTATTTAAAAAAAAAATAAGAAGAAGAAGAAGCTGGGTACATTTTCAAGACGTTTGAAATACTTCACAGGCTTTTAGCTCAGTGGTAGAATGCTTGCCTAGCATGTGGGAAGCCCTGGGTTTGAACCTTAGGAGCTAAGAGGCAACACACAAAGGTTTACAGATAAACTGTAAAGGCACCGGCTGAGCAGGCAGAGAGAAGCGTGTGTGCGTGCGTGTGTGTGTGTGTGTGTGTGTGTGTGTGTGTGTGTGTGTGTATCGTCTCAGCGGCTACCAGCATCATCTTCCCTTAAAGGCGTGTTTTTTCAAAAATCAGCTAAGCAAACGTTTCGCAGCCGCCAATAAAGGAACATTAATTAACGTCCGCAGGACATTACAAAAGAATAAAAGAAGCGAAGTGATCTTACAAGCACGGCCTCTGTATGTATCTAAGAATAATGTTTGTTCGGGGAAATCTCAACCCCAAAGCTGTGCTTGCGGACCAGCTTTCTCTGTCCCGACGGCTGGGAGGTGCTTCCAGGCGAAGCCGTGCTCTCCCCAACTACTCACTTTCCAAAGGGGCCGGTCAAGTTCACGCGTCCACACCCGTGCCGGCGGCAATCAGCCGGCCTAGAACTTGCTACCGAAGGTGTCGCTTGTTGCTAGTATCCCCTACAGATTTCCCTTTGAAAAGCCACAAACTTGTGTCGCAACGACGAGTTTCCTAAGGTCCCGACCTGAACTCCTCCCCTGCCAAAGTGAGTCCTGTCACTCGGCCACACCGTGCCAGGTGTCCTCCCTGCTCCCCTGGGCTTCGGGGCTCTTACCTGGTCGGGTCTGGCTGGCAAGGCGGAGTGGGGAGCCTCAGCGGGGACGGGCGACCGGCCGAGCGTCTCGTGTCCCGCGGCTGCACGCCCGCCCGGGCACCCTCCCAGCCGGCCTGGGGCCACGCCCCGAGGCAGGCGGGCTCTCAGAGGGCGGGGGGCCGCCCCGCCCCCACTTCTGGGCAGCGCATCTTCCTTTCCTGCCCGCCCCTAGCTTGCCCTCCAGCCACCCTACAGGAAACCTGCAGGAAACCCTGGGCCCAGAAGCCCTGCCAGGAGGTGTGGTCGCAGCCGGTGCAGGGTCGCCCAGCACATAAACTACAGTGACGCCCGGGTTTAAGGGTGAGCCAGCGGCCTCCTTACACTTGACAACCATTCACTTCTCTCCCAGGGCCATTTTATTTAGGGAGGGAGGGTCACAAGAGCCACTGCAGTGGCACTGGTGATCCGTAAACTTGCTTCCCCAAACTTCACTGGACTTTCGAAAGAACGCACATTAGGTAAAGTGCGTTTTCCCTTTTCTTCGTCCGGAAACAAACTTGGTTAATTAAATTAAAAGCAAACATTAAAAAAAAAAAAAACTATTCTGCAAATGTCATCTTCCTAAAACAATTGGAAGATACGTTTCACTTGGTTTAACAGCTGTGCTTGTCATCCAGGGAAGAACTTTCTTTTACACGAAAGGAACCACACAAGGGAACAGCAATCAGAGCACAGTCTTCTAGAGGGCCGGCATCCAGCAAGAGGTACCAGAAAGCTCTGGACGAGTGAAGCATGTTAGAACCGAACTGCATGAATTTACTGTGCGTGCGCCAAACCCACGAGACTTAAGAGTTGGTTGTGGTGCACATGCCTGTAATCCCAGCAACTGGGAAAACTGAGGCAGGAGAATTTCAAGTATCTGGTGAGCCTGGGCTACCCAAATGAGACTCTGTTTCTGAAACTTTTTGAAAGTTGGTAGTGGGAGAGGCCATACAGATCAGCAGTGGCGTTCTTGCATAGCAAGTGTGATTTGCTTATAACTTCCACCTCAATGTTTGAAAGTTTTAAATATGCCATTTGCAGAAAGTTGATCTTGAGAGACAGCACAGTCAATCAGATACCATCAAAGTTCAAGATTTTCTAAGAATTAGCCAAGTGAACAAAGAAGTTCTTGGACTGTTGTCCATTTTCACTGCCATCAAGAAGACTTACTCTGATAGTCAGTCACTCATCAGCTTAATTTAGGACTCCTTTCAAATGCAAGCCAGTGGAGAGCTCAGCAGGTCGTCTTACAGCCAGGCTTGATGACCCCAGGGATCCCTGGGCTGCTTAATCCCACCTTTTCTCAACTATAACAGGTATGTAATAGTTTTATAGGGATTCAGTAAAACATACAAGGCACCTTGCTCTGTATTAACCTTCCCAAGTACACTCAACAACATCAACAAAATTATTCTTTGGTTGTAAGATGTAAATATTACATGCATTTAAAAATTAGCTTTATTGAGATATTTCATCATTTTTATATTAATTATAGTTCATGACAAACTGACTCTTTTGGCTAGTTTTACGTCTGAGAGGAAACCTCAGTTTAAGAAATGTCTCCATAAAAATCAAGCTATAGGCAAGCCTGTAGTTCATTTTCTCTCTTTTCTTTTCTGTTTTGTTTTGAGACAGGGTTTTCCTGTGTACCCCTGGCTGTCCTGGACTCCTTTTGTAGATCAGGCTGGCCTCAAACTCACAGCGATCTGCCTGCCTCTGCCTCTCTGAGTGCTGGGTTACTGCGCTCCCCTTCTAGCTCATTTTCTTAATTAGTGGTTGATGGGGGAGAGCCTAGCCCATTGTGGGTGGGACCATCCCTGATCTGGGTACTATAAAACAGCAGGCTAAGCACGTGGGGGTGGGGGTGGGGGTCTCTACATCAGCAACTGCCTCCAGGTTCCTGCCCTGTTTGAGTTCCTACCCTGCAGGAACAAACTGCTTTTTGCCCCACATTGCTTCTTGTAGTGTTTTGTTTGTTTGATCACAGCAATAGAAACACTGATGAAGACACAGTATTGCTGTCTTTATTAGACAAATACAACAAAAATCTTGTCTGAAATACAGGCAACATAAAAGGAAGGAAAAGCTTTCTGAAGGACAGTGGTATGATGCCAGCACTGATCTCAAACTGGCTTTTATCATACAATGAATGTAGCTCCGAATGTAGCTCAGTGAACAAGCATTTAACCTAGCATACTCAGAGGGCCCAGGGTTCTAAGCCCGGCTCACTCAGCTCTTTCTGAGTCAGCAAATATTCTGGTGACCTGTGCAATTGTAAAATGTATACACTCAATAACCACCTGTATACAAATGCTCTTTGTTTAAATAAGCAATGATCTGGAAATTACAACTCAACAATTTCACAGCAGGACACAGGAAGAACATAAGTGACCCAGTTTTCACACTGTAACAGCAGCTGGCGAAAGCAAGGTCTGTGAGCAATCTGACTCTCCAGGAGTGCCTCTTACACTGTGGATATAGCTCACACCTCAGAACTGGAGTAAGACAGGGCAGATCTCAGACTGGCTGAGCTGTGAAGCCTTTTAGAAGGAGGCAAGTGTTAGGCCAAAGAGTCACTTAGTGAAGCTAACAATCAGAGATGAACTTTCAGTGGTCAGTCTAGGACAGGGAAGCATCAAAGGAAGCGCTATGTGACTGTCTGGTGTGGAGGACGCCCCAAATGACTAAAGTCCTGAATGAATGTGTTTTGCCATGGACACAGCCTGGTTGACGACTCCAAAGCCAAATGGCCTGTTATAAATCGGCAGAGCTGTTACCTATACAGGTCAGGCTCAAGAGGAATGGCAAAGCTTTCCTCAGGAGCCCGAATATGAGCATCTATGAATAATGATCAGTGCGTACAGACTAGCAGCTGTGGCCTGAGACTTCACCTGCAGAGGTGAGATTGGAGACTAGCTAACTCCTCCTCCCAACATGCTGAGGTCATGGGTTGTGATGGCAGTGGTTAGAGAGCTCCACCGGATCCACCAGATCCCAGCTTCACTGCACACATATCTGTGGGTGTGTTCTTTTCCTCATTCCCTCTCCACCCCTAGCCTGGGTTCTAGAACTGAAGCTATACAGGCTGTGACGACTGGCAATCTTTGAACTTAGAGAAACTCTATTTTCTTGTGGCCTCAAAGCAGCAGTTAGAAGAAAAAGATACAGTTAAATGTATGGGGCAGACAGCAACTTTTACAAACTTTAAAAATACAGCTATATATACAGGAGACAGGTTTTTCTATGGCAGGTTAAATGGTGCAGGGTATGCTATGATTTAGGTTATTCTGGGTGAGTGGAAATCAGTAAGGAAAGTCTGGACAGACCAAGGCACATGCCAGAAACAAGTTCATGAGAGAGAACAAAAAGATGAGTGGGCAGGGAAAGAAGGGGGTTGGATCTGGGAGGAGAAAAAGGGGGTGCTTATGATCAAAATAGATTGTATGAAACTATCACAGAACTAATAAAAATAAGAAAAATACAAAAACATTAAAGATCATTTAAACCAGGCAGGATGGTACAGGCCGCAGTTTCTATGTGTTCAGTGACGGCTGCCTCCATGGCTGTTCTCCCAATGAGGCCACATTCTTCTCAGAGTTTCTTACATAGCTATGTATTCTAGAAAAAAAGTCTTTTTAACTAAACTGGATGAGTTAAAGTGTAGATGTATTTATACATCTCAAGATTATTTACTCAGTCAGTATTTATTGAATGATTACTGTGTGGCAAAAGACTGGGGAATACATCCAAGTCGCAAACATCTGTCTTTGTGAAGCTTGCACTCTAGGTCTATCATAAAAGAGAGGATTAACAACAAATTTGCATAAATTCATCTATCTATTGGCCAAAAGGGCAGTACACGTTTAAACAGTGTAAGTGTTGTTAAAAGTCCACTGTTGGCATGCGCATCACCATGTATTACTGTGTTTACTGTATGCATAACAAATTCATACCTACATATCATGTTCCAGGATTCACTTTGTAAGACAATTTAAAAGAGGCTTTTTGAGAGTCATTCTGAACATGCTTGATTTTGACCTTGGGTAGTTTTTAAGAGCTAGTCAGTCACCTAACGAGTTGTGACTCCATTGTACCAAAGTGAAGATGCAGAGGTTGCTGGGGAAAACACAACCATGAAGTGCTTGCCTGTGAAAATGCCGAACACGTTCTGGTCTGCTTAGTCCAGTAACCGGGACTATATAGTAACAGACCCATTCGAATGCATGTGGTCCACAGTGAGATCTTAGTCAAGAGTTTTTAAAAGCTCATAACTCATTTCACATTTTTAAGGATAACTAAATTATAAAATCTCAAAGAAAACCAATAAGCAATGCTTGATTATAAAATAGAAAACTTCTCATACTGGTTTAGTAGGACTAAATGTTTATCATTTTCATGTATCTTACAGAGACTTTTAAAAAGAACATCAAGTTAAGAAAATCAGCTTAAAATTTTAGAATAATCATACTATATATACACCAATGCCGATCATCTAACTGTGAAGAGACTTCAATTATACAAGGTAAATTATTTTCTTGACAGTGACTAAAGCATCTCATTATCATAAATGTACATATTCATGCTCCTAAGAACAAAGTTAGGAGGACAAAAATTACAGCGATGAGCACCAAAGCAGAACATTTTTGCACCTAGGGCTTGACTGGTTTGTATTCAAACACAGCCTGGACTACAAGGACCAAAGCAACACACTTGGCCAGAAAAGCCAAAAAGATAAACCAAGGAATGGAAACAGTGATTTTAAAAAACAAATAATAAAAAACCAAACAATCATTTTGTTTTTAATCAACGTGACTTTTTCAAAGTATATATACATCACTTTTATTCATCTTTACTTCATGTTCGACAAACCTGACTGCTCCACTTTTGTTAATCTATTGTCACACCGAATAAACAGATGTATTACATGTTTGTTGTGATGAATCCAAACATTAGAGCTAGATCCAGCAGCTCCTACAGCCTAAAATCTTACAACCAATCCAAGTGGTAACACAGATTATCAGTGACTGTTGACTTTAAGAACCTCAGTCAGGTATGTGTGGTGTGTATGTGCGTGTGTCTGTGTGTAGGTCTATCAGAGCCATGTGACAGACTATGCGCAGCCCAGAGAGGTGAGACTTACTGATGATCTGACATGATGGTTTACCCAACCCCGAGAAGATTTAGTAGCCAACACAAACTTAATCCTAAAGTAAACCTGAGATAAACAATGAGGTGATTTGGGGCAGTGACAGATCTGAAAGACAACACTAAGGAGGCAGCCGTGGCCACAGCATTGTCACAACACAGGAGGACAGAAGCAATGGCGGCCACTTTCCAGGAAGCGATGAGGAGTGCGGCCCCCTGGTTTGCAGCTGATGACATGGCCCTTTTCCACAGGGCATCTGAGTAACCTCCACCTCAGGCAGGAGGCTCCTCGGGCCCCCAGAAAGTGTGCCAGGGCATCTCTCCCTGTGCTTCCAACGTGACACTATCGCCACCCTCCCACTTCCAGCTCAGCCTCCGAAAGTCTTTGTCCTGTGGGCTCCCTGAGTTTGAGGTAATGTCAACATGCTACACAACTGAAGTCAGGCAACCTACTTAAAAGCTCCAGTGACCTGTGGGTGATATTAACCAGTTTTGTTTAGTTGGGAGCTTTCTCCACACAGTGGATAACATGCAGGGCATAGGAGAAAGGCAAATGGCTGGACTATGACAGGAATATGTTTCCAGTTGAGGGTAGAGACTCCCTGTGAGAAGAGACAGGAGATCTGTTAACTTTTCTATTTCCTGTTTCACACCCTGAGCTTCCGGGCAGAACAACACTTTAGGTCCTATGCAGTAAATGCCCTTCCAATTCTCCGACTTGTAATTACAGCTCTGGGTGTGTCTATACCGCTCTTTAATTCTGTTTCAAAATCCACATTTCATAAACAAAATGATACTGCTGCAGTATTTGAAATGCCAGTCATTAAATTATCACTTAAAAACTCTCTCTTTCCCCCATTATTTGGGTGAGAGGTCTGAAAGCCTAGGCAAGCACTCTCCAAGTAAGCCGAACAGATCCTAGCCTCTCCTTGTTCAAAGGTATCTTATTTGGTTGGGTAGACATGTCTAAGTCTGCCTCAAGAGCCCCCAAGGAAGAGCCTGTTTCAGCATTCTACAGTTTGATTTTTTTCAGTGCCATCAGTTCTGAAGCTACAGTGCAGCTATTAATTCCTTCATGAATGTCCCAAAGATGGGTGCATCAGATGCAAAGAAAAACAGTTACAATTCAGGGAAGTTTAGCCACAGCAAAATGATTATCTGATCTGCCCAAACATGCAACTTCACCTCTTCCTCCCGAATGGACCTAAATTCAAAGATCAAATTAAAATCAACCACATTTCAAGTTAAATTCTAAGAGTTCTATACAACTACAACATGACTATAAATGAATATTCATATTCATTTTTCTGTATTTTCCTGTATGTACTCTAAATAAGTTTCTGAGAGCATAATTTTAGGGAAAGGTTAAGAGTTTTATATTTTACTGTGAAGTTCTAACAAATTCTTCGTTTATTTGGGTTTATCTCTTAGCACGATGTCATATGAGCTTGGTATAATGCAAGCATATTGGCAAAACATATTTCAGATACAAAATTCTTAATTCTGTGTCATAAATAAGTTTGGGTAAAAGCGCAAGCCTTCCACGGAGTCATCTCTGCAAAGGTGGCCCATCTTCTCTGCGAGAAGCAGCCTGGGAACAAAAAGAAAAACCCACAGTGATGAGCTCATTCATTATCACAGAAGACACACACACACACACACACACACACACACACACACACACGGGCAAGGGCGCACTTACCTTTCTTTAGCCAGGAGGACAGACATCCCCACAAGCTTGGCAAACTCTTCCGATGTTAATGATCCCCGTTCTGAAACCTAGTGGCAACACACAGCAGAAGACAAAACAAAACAAAGGACAACAACAAAAACAGCCGTGACTATTTTAGTGCACTTAGGGGAATATATAGCCAATATATGCAGGGAATGTTTCACTGGACTTTCTATTAAAATCCAAATAGTCACTATAAAACGAAATCTTTTTATTTCTAGATTAACTTTTATGTGTATGAATGTCTTGCCTGAATGGGTGCACGCCACATTTGTGCCTGGTGCCTGCAGGGATCAAAAGAGGTGGCCAGATCTCCTAGGACTGGAGTTACGGACGGTTGTGAATGACCACGAGAGTTCTGGGGGCTGATCCTAGGCCCTTTGCGGAAACGAGTGTTTTTCACCACCGACTCATCTCTCCAGTCACACAGAACTAAATGTAGACTGTTCAATCTATAAAAGCTGATGCACTTGGAAGAGAACTGAGACTACATCCCAACACGAAGCTGTCCATGATGTAAGAAGGCACTTGTAGGAAAGCCTAGAAGAAGCTACTCAGTTTTCGAAAAGTAGCATAGCAAACTCTGTATACACGCTTTGGTAGGGGCCCACAGAGTTATAATCAGGTCCCATGAAGGATGTGACATGAGAGCCTGTTCCCAGTGCTGAGCTTCAACAGGAAAGCAAGCACCTTTGCTGGCTGTCTCCTGGAGACCTTCTATCTGAAGGGAAAAGGGCGGGAGAGTGGGTCTCCGGGAGAAGAGATGGGAGAGCTGGGAGCAGTGGAGAAGCAAACTGCTGGGGATATAGTGTATGAGATAAGAATCTATTTCAGTAACAGAAAGGATAATACTAAAAAAGGTTTAGAAGGACAAAAACTTAAAAAACTTGTAGTATGCTGCTGATTAAATGAACCCATCATTGTCACTCAAAAGCCATTAAGCCTGTGGATGACCTTTCAGCAAAGCTAAATTCCACAGTAAATCCTGCTTCTCAAGTTGCTGTGCATTTGGACCTTGGTGGTAAGCCTGAAGGACTGTGGCAAACGGGGTTCACATACCGTCTCCAGGGCTGCGGCCACCATTTCCTCTTCCTTGTGGGTCTGAAGTTCAATCACCATGACACCACTGTCAAAAACCCGGAGCCTGAAAAACACAGATGTAAGAACAAAGTGTAGATACATCTAGGATGCTCAGCCACAGAGAAGCAAATCATGTTTTGCTTTATTTTATGGCTGGGCCTGGGGACAATCAAACAATGTTTAAGCCATAATGACCACTTGCAACCATGACAGCATTAACGAGCTCAAGAATTAACAGAGAATGAAACTATGAACGACGATCTACATGATAAAATTCTTCCGGTTAGGGGGTGCTGTCAGCCTGAGGAGAAGGAACATGGCACTCAGAGCCCAACATGTGCACCGCGGAAGGTTCAGAGGCGAGTCTGAGTTTCCTCTCTGAAATCACAGGAGTCTGAAAATGACCTGTCCCAGGACACACCCATCCTGATAGGATGAAGGCCAGAGGACGGCAGATGCTTGCGCTCCTGGTGAACTCAGGTCACAGCATAATCTCAACAGGGCATCTTTTGGGCTTGCCATGCACAGCGGTAAGCATAGCTGGACTTCCAGGTCTCCTCTGTCCAGAATCGTGGTTATAGGTGGCAAACTCCCGTGCCCATTGCTTTACCTGACAGGTAATTTCAGTGCTTCTAGCATCTTGCACGCATTCACTAAATCTTCTGGTGAGAGCAACTAATGAGGAAAAGAAATCCAGTTTACACTGCAAAGCAATAGAGTGGTCCTACATAACTGTAACAATCACTAAAACCACAAGAAGTCAATGATGCATGGCGAAGTTATTTACCTTCTGAGCATGTACCCAGAGAGCTCCACATCCTACACAAGCTATTTGTACCCCTTGTTCACTGTTGCTTCATTCACCCTGTTGTCCATCAACAGATGAGTGAATAATGAAAATTCATTATTACATATATTCATTAAATATATCTGTATACACACACACTCAACTTTAAAGAAAAATAAAGTAAAACATTTTGCAGGAAAATGGATGCACTTAGAATGTATAATATTAAGTGAAAAAAACCTACATGTTCTCTCTCATATGTGGAAGCTTATCGAGAGAGAGAGAGTGTGTGTGTGTGTAGAGATATGTACACGAGTACTGTAGAATAGGCAGGAGAACGAGAAAAGCTAAACATAAGGGGATGAGGAAGAAATGAATTCAGGTGATGGACATGAGTTATAAAGGAGGATAAAAACCTAATTACTTTTCTAGTTATGATTCTGCCATGGAACTTTTGGTTTTGATGGTGGATATGTATCTAAAATATTGATGCTGTAAGTGTAACATTTAATATGCCAATTCCAACTATAAAGAAGCTTGTTGAGGTACAGAGACTTGGTATGTGATGTTGTTATTTCCAAGTTGTTTTGTTTTTATAGTAAAGTTTAAAACACTTGTTATAAAGCAAAAGAGTTATCCATCCAGTCTTCTTTAGCAAGAAGACTGAACAAAGAAGCCAGAGATATCACTCCAGATATCAATCCAAAACTGTCCAGTATAAGTTCAATGCATTTCTAGGGCCTGCTAAAAAGCAAATAAGGAAAAGGGCTGATGATGTAGTTGAGTAGCAGAACCCTGCCTAGCAGGTGCAAGGCCCTGGGCTCACACTCCAGCGCTATATGTAATAAATAGTGATAACAAAACCTTCTTGAGAGATTGACATGGATACTGACCCTTGTTTTATTTTATACTTGTATTATAATTCACAACTGTTCATGGAGCTATTAGTGGCTTTTGTTTTGAATCATGTAGCCTTCATAAAACAGTACTACGGTGGACACAAGCGGAGCTCTGAGTCACGTGGGATGGTCCAGAGCCAGCCAAGCCTACGTATAATAGTAGTCAAACCACTGTCTCCAGGTGACCTCAGCCAAGTTATTTACACCTTAATTTCCTCATTCCCAAGTTATGTTCAACGTGAGGACAGTAAAAGTAGTGAGCTCACTGAGTAACAAAGGATAAATGAGGTGACATGTGCTGTGCCCTGGTGGACAGTTGTGTACCTGATGACAGCACATATAAAATATATATGTCCTGGAGACAGGATGACGCTGCACTCATAGGACTTGGGTGGGGGTTGGAAGGATATACGTGAGTCATATGGAAGTGACTGCTTGTGCAAGTCGGCACTAGACTGCTGGACACCACCAGCACCAGAGAAGTCTCAGAGGCCAACGCACTAGGTGTGGTTGGGCAAAGGGAACTGAAGAACAGCTCCTAGTGATAACACGGCCAAAGGATTGAGGTGGCTTTGCCTCTGCGCTACTGGGTCCAGCTGAGTTTGTGCCAAAGAGTTAAACACTACAAGGGGAGCTTCCAGTCATCACAGCGCAAATGCAGGGGAGCTGGCAGGCACTGATCAGGTCAAACCTTTACCTTTAAGGTAAGAAAACTGAGCTCTAAGGCAGGGTAAGTGCAACACGCAGGGTTGCACAGCAGCACTGGCAAAACCAGGGACAGAATCAATGTCTTGGCCCCCAGGACAACAATTCTGCTCTCCCCACATTGCTTCTGAAGATAGCTTTGATGTTCACACCCTACCTCGATGTACTCACTACAAGGAGTACAATCTTTAGCTAAAAGAGCATCTAAATGTGGCATTCTTACTTCCATTCCTCGGGCTCGGTTGACTAAGCAGTACACCTCTGTGAGTGACATTATTCCCCCACGTTCCTGTTGAGAAAGGAGAGAACAGTGAGCATTTACCACTTCGTAACAGAGATCATAATCTAAGTGAAATCACAGACTACAACGCCGCTTTCTTTTAAAAAGTGGTATTTATACACAAGACAGCCTATTCACACACTTCCCCGTATTTCAGAGTCTATATGTGGACTTTACCATCGCCCAAACAAAAAGAGGGGAACCACACCATGCTTCAGAAAGCGTGCTTAGTCTTTCTGGCTACAGACATGTGATTGATTCCGGCTGAGAAAGCTCTGAGAACTTAGGGGCCACGTGGGCCACAGCCACACTGGTGAGCACTGGAAGCGCCCAGCAGGCCAGAGGAATACTGGCAGCGTGTGTCAGCACGGGGTCAGCATGGACAAGCATCCCACTGCTTAACTCAGGAAGGGTGGCATGAGGCGACACCAGAGAAGAGGCCCAGAGCCTCTACCAAATCCTCAGCCTTGATAAACTGTGGGCATCAGTCAGTGAACAGATGCAGGTAAATGCTTACCCCCATGGCTGGTAAGTGCAAGGAGGCCAGGAAGGAATTTTAGAGACCCTCCCTGGTTCTTCAGCAGGAGAGCTGAGAAGAAGGCTAAAGGTATTGGGGGCCATGTGGCCTGACATCTTGAAGCTTCTCAAAGGAAGGGTCATTAAATGCTAACACATTTTAATATGTATTTAATGTTTTAATTCATTTCAGTTAGTAAAAAAAGTATAGAATAAGTGATACCACAATTTTGCAAGTACTAATGAAATAACATATCTACGTAATGACTGTCAATGGCTACCCTCTATCTATCTATGTATATATGTACACATACACTTTATATACATATATATGCATATATATGTATATATGTAAGATGCACTTTTTAATGTACAGATAGATATTACAAACCTACTGATAAAATGTACAACACCTCCTATTCTTGTCATTAAAAAATTTCTATTTACAATAGTTTACAGAGAACACATAGGATGGCAAACATCTTAATACTACAGAGTCAGCCAAAGTATACCTTGTAGGATAAACTATTAGTTTCTTCAAAAATAAGTAGGAATTAAAATTTTAAATATAAATAAACACAGGGCTAGGTCAGGCTGCAGCTTAGGCAAATAAAATAATTTGCCTAAGATATACAAGGTCCTGTGTTTGGCCACCAGCACAAAAAATAAAACCAAACCAAAACAACCACCACACAAAAAAGAAAGAGAAAAAAAAGAGAGAGAAAGAAATTTGAGAAATAGTGAACCCATTGTAATGCGTTTGATGTGGGAAGGCAAACTGTAAGAGCAAATGTGAACACTAAGCAGACATTTGACATCAGAGATCATTAGTGTTTTGAGTGAGAGGTGATGCCACAGCTGTGTTAGAGGCCTCCTCTATCACTGTAGGTATGAGAATATTCACATAGAGGGTGACATGGGATTTGCTTTCAAATAGCTCTAAGCAGAGGATGATTTATGGATGAAGCTAGATGACAGGCACATGGGGACTTGCCATGGTCCTTACTTTGGCTTATATTTAAGCATATCTTAAAAGTGCTTTAGCAAAGTATATTCCAGAACTATACAGACTAGATATGGGACCAGGCACTATGGGATGGAGCAAGCCTTTAACCCCAGCACTTAGGAAGTAGAGGCAAGCAGGTATCTCCGGGCCAACCTGGTCTACATAGTGAGCTCCATGACAGCCAGGGATACGTAGAAGGATTCTGTCTTAAGAGACAGACAAGACTAGATATAGCCAGATATGGTGTTTCATGTCTACAGTCTCAGCCCTTGGAGAGGCAGAGGTAGGAGGATGGCAAATTCAAGGCCAGCCTAGGCTACAAAATAAGCATGTCTCAAAACCAAACAAAAACAGACGAGAGAGAAAATTATTCATACAGAGAAAGATCTTTTGAAAACAGAAAAACTTCTCATCAAACAGACTTTTAAAAAGTATAAACATCTGAAATGGAAACTGAAAGCAATTTTGAAGATTACATTCAAAAGCTAATTAATAAGTATACTAAACTAATTTAATACTCCTGGAGAAAAAAACCATGTCATTTAATGTTAGCCACACCATGAAAAAAACAGGCTCTTGAGATTTCTGATGACCTGAAAATAACTGAGCACGGTTCTGAAAGTATACTGGGGTTTGGGCTTACCTACCTCTAAAGGGGCCTGTAATATTCCAGCCAGCTGTTTGGCCAGCTGCATGTGGTACTGCGTGCCTGAGCCATACGTTTCCCTGGTAACTGGGTTGGCTATTCCCATACTCAGCAAGTAGGACTTAAACCTGATGGTCTATAAGAGAGGGGGAAAATGCATCAATAGACTGCAAAATTAGTCTTTCCTCACAGCATTGGAAATTATTCACCATAAACTCATTGTAGCTTAATTGTTTCTCTATATAATCATGTCTTCTACTGTGTTTTCTTGCTGTGAGCTACAAGTCTTAGTTGTTCCTTGAAGAAATCTAGTTATTCTCTTTCTTTCTATCCCAGTCTGTCATACTATTTATTTTCAAAGTTTTATACGAAAGAAAATTTAGGTAATAATTATGCTACTTTAAATACTAACCAAATGCTAAAACTAAAAACTTACAAAGAAAAAAATGGATATGACCAGATTATACCCAAACCTAATAAAGCAGACATCAAACACAGATATGCATGAAACAGCTACCCTTTAGACATTTCAATAGCTTTAGTTTCTACACTGTAAAAAAGCACTGAAATAATCTTGAACTATCAAAAAAAGAATATGGTCTAGTATTTCCTTAGCACTTTCACATGCAAGAAATAAGAACATTCCATTAAGAAAGCAGGACTGGTGAGGCGGCTCAGTGGCAACTGTGTTTGCCACCAAATCTGAACGCCTCAATTCAGTGCCCATGTCCTCCATAGAGGATGAGAAGCAATTCTTACAGGTTGTCCTCTGACCACCACATGCACAGTGTGGCCAGTTTGCCCCAGTAAATAAATGCAATAAGAACAAACAAAAAAGCAAAACAAAACGAAAAACCTTTGGAAGGCAGCAAGTGTGAGATGCTACAGGCAAAGCTCAATGGGAGGGAGAGAGAACTGGTCAACCACAAGGCCATCACTGCATTCTAACTAATGTCTAACACTTTAAAAGAAAAAAGCTTCCTCACCTCATCTTCTGTGACATCACCTTGCTTCTCTTTAATCTTATTAGCGATAGATTTTGATAACTCCACCATTTCCTTAGCCTGAAAAGACAAAAATCCTTGAAAAATATGCTTTCAAGATTATTGTGACTGAGTGTGAGTGGATCAGGTGACACATACCTTGATCATTAGCTTGCTAAGGTCTTCAAAGGCCTGAAATGAGTAATGAAGTTTGCATCAAAATATTTTCAAAGAATTAAAATGTTTTAAAGTAATGATACAAATAAAAAATTTTCTTACAGATAATCAGTTTATTATTAATTGTATAAGCAACACATCTACCTCATTTTAAGAATCTACTTTAAGAAACTGTAGCGCACACCTGTAATCCTGGCACTCCGGGAAGTAGAGGCAGGTGGATCTCTGTGAGTTTGAGGCCAGCCTGGTCTACAGAGTCCAGGACAGCCAAGGCTACACAGAGAAACCCTGTCTCAGAAAATGAAAAAAAAGGAACTGTAAACTTCCTCAAACTACAACCAAATTTTTCATAATTATTATTTACTGTTCTTGGATACATATAAGAAAATCTGGATCTGGGGTGTTGCTCAGTGACAGAATGCTTTTCCGGCATTTGTTAAGGACCTGGGTTGTACCATCACTAACTAATACATACACTCATAAAGACGCAGACACACACAATGTAAAAAAAAGCACTTTTTTTTTCCTGCTAGGAGATCAAAAACCAAAGACTATAAAAAGCTTTCCAGCTTACTTAGCTGCAGGAAAACTTTCTTGGGACATAATTATTTTGGTTGAAATGCAAGTATGACTTGAGTGAGCCTTAGCCTCCGAATGTCAAACCAAGACACTTACAGTCTTACATACAGAACCACTGCATACAGAGCATCCAAATGCCATCTACACGGATTAAATCACTTCAGCAAGTGTCTACCTCAGGGGCGTCTTCAAACTGAGTCAGATATGTTTCTAATGAATTATCTCGGGGTACTGAAAGTATAATGCAGAATTTCTCAGCTAAGTGGTGTGCACAATCAAGCATCTTGTCATTAAGTGAAAAATCAATCCACACAGTGCTCTGACATGAGCAATTGTGGCTCTCTTCAGCTACGCCAATCTGCAGGAAAGTACCCCCACCTGCAAATTTTTTTTCTTTTGCTCAAAGAATAGTGTAAGAATAGTCGTGTAAGATCCTCATAGGCAGCTCTCTAAGCTAACACTGAAAACAAAGGGAACGTGCACACACCTCACAGGAATTTCCTCAGATAAACAAAGGCTTAGACATCGGGTTCTTATCAGTAAGGGCCAGCAGATGCAGGAAGCCCTTCATGGGAGGCTCCGGGCACCAGCTAGGAAACGAAGTCATTTCTACCACTTAAATCACACATCAACCTAGTTTTCAAAACTAGAACAAAGATTTGCCATGTAAACTTGGATTTTTACACTGACTACATAAACTGTTAACAGACTTTTTTACTTGTGTAAGCAAAAACAGTGTAAGAAATCACTACTGTATATTTTCATTCAGAAAATCTAAAATACTGAGTGTATACAAAGTACATAATATTTTAGGTAATTATCAAGCACAATAATATTTCTATTATTATATTAATTATTATTTATTTATTATAATAATAATTATATTACTATTTATTATTTCTATTATTACTATAAACTATAGAATCAGTAGGCTATAAAAAACTGTGGGAAGGCATGTAAAATAAAAATTAAAGACAGAGAGCTGCACATGTCCATCTTATTACTATGCCCTCACATTTACGGAACGTTCTATCTTTACACCACAGTCAAGTTTCCACTGCAATTGTGTGGAAAGGGCACTTGTGCTGGTCTGTAGTGACTACCAGCCTCCACTCTGGTTATTCATTTCAGGAACAACTCACATATCTGACTTCCTGCTTCAGTACTGGTGACTCTGGCTTTGTATGTCGGATCCCTTCTATCGGACCTCTCGTTTCCCCGTTGGTGTTACCAACACCTACTCATCTTTCTGGCCCTTGATTCCCTCTTCCTGCTGTTAACAGGCCTTCCTTGACCCCAGCAGACATTAAGGAGCCTGGCCTGGGTCCCATCAGGATCCTGCATTTTCTCTTCACATATGTCACATGTCAGTGACAGTAGAGCACCTGCCTACCTGGTCCTTGTGAAGGTTCACGGTGTGGAGAACAAGAACTGCTTCCTAAATAAATCAGTGTCTGCACAGTGTCTATGGAGAATTCTTTGAGGTCTGAGAATCCATGAAAATGGAAATAATTTATTTCTTGAAATAGAATAATTTATTTTGAACATCACAACAAACTTCCAAGAAAAAAATACAAGCAACAGAAAACATCTCACTATTCCAAACCTTCTCTGTAAATATGAATACAAAGAAAAAAAAAAAAACAGTATTAAAATATGCCAAGCTGAGGTAGATCAGTTATAGGAAACAGACTACAAAGTTTTAGGAAAACTAAATATATTTCAAATTACAGAATGGAACTAGTCAAGGCTATAAAAGGATGTTTAAGGATTACCTCAGAAATGTTTTTGTCGGTTTCTTTTCTTTTTTCTTCAAGTTTCCTCTCAATGCCTACAATTCCTACAGCTCTTACTCTTCCTGGCTGGGGGGAAAAACAATAGAAAAAGTAAGTAGCTCATAAAATATAGAAAACAGGAAGGAAACAAAACCTTTTGGAAACTACACTGAGTTTTCAAAGGCGGGAAAGAACCCACAAAGAAAATAGCATACAATCACATCTAGCTTCCTTTCAAAACATTTGTCTCTTTCTGGCTGCACATAATGACCTTTAACTATTAAAGGAAAAATGATATACAATCAACGGCATGAGTGATTATCTCTGTATTTTAGGTATAATTAAATTTCTTATTCATTTTTTATTCTTTGGAGATCTATCATATATTAGACATTTAATAATTTATTAACTATATAAAAAATTGTACCTAAAATTCTTGTACTTGAGAAGCTATTAAGCTACTTTCTCATATCTCAATGCCTGTCCATAGTTGAGTGATTGATTCAGACAAAATTCATTAAAAAAAAATTAGAACTCTACTATTTTGTTTTTGACAAGTTTGTGATCACAGAGAGTTCTTCCTCCTCCTTCTTCTCTTTGTTTATTGTTTTGTTTTGTTTTTGTTTTTGCTTTTTTTGAGACAAGAGTCTCTATATGTGGTCCTGGCTATCCTGAAATTCACTATGTAGACCAGACTGGTTTTGAACCCAGAGATACCTTCCTGCCTCTGCTTCCCGAATACTGGGATTAAAGGTGTGCACTACCACAAGCCAGAGTCTTCTTAAGGGGCACCTAAATACAGAGATGAAAGCAGTGTATCAGCTGGGCCTGTGGCCAGCTTGTCATCCCAGTACCTGGAAGGCTCAGGCAGAAGTATCACTTCAAGACTGAGGCCACCGGGGCTACTACACACAAGTTCTAGGTCACCCTGCCTTAACAACACAAACAAAAAGGAAGATATAACATTTACAAATAGCTTTTAAAAATACCTGGTGTCCTTTATTTGTTTGTAATGACTGAGAAACTGGCACGTTTTCCCATCTTCTCTGTGTCATTTCCTCTGATAAACGCCTGTAAAACTGCAATGTATATGCAAAGCCGTGAGTTAGCCCAGTGGCAGCCATCACAGACATACTGCTAAGACATTTCTTTACTATAAAGTTCTCTTCAGTCATCAGTAACAGACTAGACTCCTTAGACATCAAAGGAAGCCAAGAGCTGCTTTCTCGGATCAGCTTCAGCAAGCACAAGGAAATAAAACACACACACAGGAACTGACCTGCTACAGAGAGCGGAATGCACCCCACAGACGAGTGACACGTGAGCGCCCTCACTCCCCCAATTATGTATGTAAATATATAAAAGCAGCAGAGAATAAGTTGTCTAGTTAGACTATCAGGTAAAACCAGGGACAACCAGATGCAGTGGCACAGGCCTCAGATCCCAGGAGGAGAATCAGTTCTAGGACACTCTCACCCATAAACCAAATTCAAGGCCACTATGGGCCACATAATACTGTTTCAAAAAACAAAAAAACAAAACCAAAATCAGGGACAAAATGTGGCTAGGCTCACAAAAAGAAAAAAAAAATCAAATACTTTTTCTAACTGCAGTGAAAACACCTTTGGCAAAGCCAACTAAAGTGTGTGTAAGGCTTGGAAACCACTGTGTGAGGAGCACTAGTTCAGTGCCGCGGAAGACAGTGGCCAGCAAGGGCATGACTCCACCCGCGCACGGCTCCAGAACAGGGTCTATCTCGCAGCTTCCCAATTAGGTTCTCTGGACCACGACACTGAGGCCTCCTGCTTGGTCATTCCCCGTATGGAGCTAGCCAAGACCAGGTGGCTGCAGGCGAGCTTTCAGAAAGGTCGGCTTAGCACCTTCCCATGACCTGTTCATCGAGTGACCACTGAAAGCTTCCCGAGCCGTGGAGCTTCCAGCTTCGAATATTTATGTGGCCATGTAGCCGCACCCTCCTGCTGGTCACTTTTTGATAAGGCTCGAAATACAAAAAGGTTCTTTGTTTTTGTGCTTTTATGTGGTTAAAAACCTGGCATGCTTCATAATACTGTCTTCTACCATGCTCTTCAACTCCGGCTGTGCTCACGGGGAAGCTCACCTCAATCTGGCCATGCTCTTTGAAGGACAGTTTGATGTAGGAGTTCTTACTGCTCTGGAACGGACCCGGCTCTTTGTTAGGAGGAGATGGGTGCAGATGAACCACGATTTTGGCACTGATGAAACAGCAAATATTTTGACCATCTTAAAATCATGAATTTTGCTTTTGTAACTTCTCATTTACTTATTATGTACTGTTCTGGCGCATACATCTTACTATGTAGCTCTGGCAATGTAGACCAGGCTAACCTCCAATACAGAGATCCACCTGCCTTTGCCTCCCACATGCTAAAAGTAAAAGTGTGTTCCACTACAAGCACTATTTTTAAACTTCTTTTATATTTCAAATGAATCTTATATTCGTATAAAAACAAAGAATTTCCTAAAAGACAGTCTTTTCTAATTTATACTCATGATCATTAAAGTGTACAAAAATAAAACTTATAAAATATGAACTAAATGTCATCGGCTGTATAAATGAAATAAAAGTATGGTTTTAGAAATAATTCAAGATAAGTTCTTAATATTTTGAGAGGCTTATGAGTACGCTTCCCACCCACAGAGCCATCATCTGAGGTGAGGGAGCTATGACTTCTGCCAAGGCATCCTACCTTACACGTGAGCAGTCACATATAAAACAGACAGTTGATATTTTATAAAAACCCATCCAAAGCTAACATTCTACAGTGTCATTTGTTGGAAAAGGCCACTCAGGCCACAATGATCTGGAAGACTCAACAGTAAAAACAACTCTCCAAATACTGCCGACCTGGAGAGACCTGGCCATGTTTGTGCGCATAATTAAATGTACTGCCAGACACGCCTCATGGTCCAGCCTGGTCCACCTGATCCTCCCCTCCATGCACCCTGCCCCAGTCGCCACATCTAGACAGTAGAAAAAGGAAAGACAACACATGCTTACAGACTGGTAGAATTAACACTATGAAAGCAACCATCTTACCAAAAGCTATAGACAGATTCAACAAAATCTCAGTCAAAATCCCTATCTCACTCTTCACTGAAACAGAAAAACAAAACAAAACAAAAACCAAAAAAACAAACTATTCTAAAATTCATATGGAACCACAAAAGACCCGATAGTCAAAAAAAAATATTGAGCAAAAGGAACGGGTACACACAAAAACAGATATGGAGGCCAATGGAACAAAATTAAAGACCCAAATATCAGTACACAAAACCTCAGCAATTTGTTATTTGACAAAGAGGTAAAAAACAAACAAACAAAACATTTTAAGTTGGAGAATAAAAAACATCTTGAGTAAATAGTGTCGGAAAACATGAATGTCCACACGCAAAAGAATGAAATTAGACCCATATCTATCACTTTCTATGAAGACTATCTCCAAAAGGATCAAAGACCTAAACCTGAAACACCGAAACTGCTAGAAGAAAACATAGTACCCACCATGATATAAGTTAGGAAAAGACTTTCTGAATAGGACTTATTTGCCAGGAATCAAGGCCAACAACTGACAACTAAAAAGTTTCTGCACGGCTAAAGAATCAATCAATCATGAGAACAAGCAGCCCATAGTATAGCAGAGAATCTACCCACAATGTACAGAGAACTCAAAAAACAAAGAATCAAAGGAGACCAACAGTGAAAAAAACAAAACAAAACAAAACAAAACAAAAACCCCTGGGCCCTGGGGGCCCTACAGAGACTGATACGGCAACCAAGGACCATGGATAGAGATAACCTAGAACCCCTGTTCAGATGTAGCCCATAGAGTCAATCTCCAAGTGGGTTACCTAGTAAGGGGAACAGTGGCTGTCTTCGGCATGAACTCAGTGGCAGGCTCTCTGATCACCTAATCCTGGAGGGACGAGGAGCCTTACCAGGCCACAGAGAAAGATGGTGTAGCCAGTCCTGATGAGACCTGAGAGGCTAGGGTCAGATAGAAGCGGAGGAGGACCTCCCCTATCAGTGGACTAGGGGAGGGGCATAGGGGGAGAAGAGGGAGGGTGGGATGGGAGGAGACAAGGGAGGGGGCCACAGCCAGGATACAAAGTGAATAAACTATAATAAATAATAAATAAATAATTCTTAAAAGAGACCCCCAAACAAAGAATCAAAATGACAAATGACCTGTTCAAAAACGAACTTGGGATCTGAACACACAGTTTCAAGAGGAGGAAAAAAAAAGTTCAAGAAATAGCCCCCAAAATGTTCATTTTCCCCAGCAATTAGGGAATTGCAACCAGAACAACTTGAGATTTCATCTTGACTCCAGTCACAATGGCAAAGATCAACAAAACAACTGACAACTAACGCTGGAGAGGATATGGGGAAAAGGGATCGTCATCACTGTTGACAGGATTGCAATCTGGTGCAGCCACTCTGGAAATCAGTGTGGAAACCCTCAAAAACAAATCTACCACATGACCCAGCGTCTACCACTGCTTGGCTTATGTCCAAAGGACTGACATCCTATTTCACAGGTTCTTGCTCGGCCACGTCCATCACTGCTCTATCCACCATAGCTAGAAAATGGAAACTTCAACAAATGAATTGATAATGAAAATGTGGCACATATACACTGTGGAATATATGTAACTATAAACATAAATTAAATCACGAACTTTGCAGGTAAGTGGATGGAACTAGAAAAATCTTATATTGCCTGAGGTAACTCAGACCCAGAAAGACAAGCGTCACATGCTCTCTCTCGTCGGAGGCTCCTAACTTCTTCAGGTTCTTCAGTAGTGACACATCCTGTAGTAACTGCAAAATCAGGAAAGTACGAGAGACCAAAGTGGGGGGAGGAGGAATAGAGAAGGTATTTGAGTAGCAGGGTATGATGGACTTGAAGGGGAAAAGGGGACAAATGGGGGCAGGTGTCTTCAGCTGGAGAGGTGGAGGGACATAAAAAAGGAGGGAGGATGCCAAAAGTAACAGTAAGGATGTCTGCAAAGTCACAAGGAAATTGTATTATTATCTAGCTACCTAAACTTAGTTAAAATGCATGAATGGGTGTGCACATGTGCGCACATACACACACACACACACACACACACACACACACACACACACACACACGCACACACGCACACAGTCACGCACGTTCAATTAAATGTTCCCTTATGGCTGACAATACTTCCCTCCAGAGCCATAGACTATCTAACAAAACCCCCAACACCAGGCGTGAGAAGCCCTGTTTTGGGGTGTTGGTCAGGGCTGCCTAACAGACTCCCCGAACAGCGTAGGCTATTGCGGTTGCCCTTAGTTGTGTCTCAGAGGTGGGAGGAAAGTCCCGATTGCTGAAGGCATCATGCATGTCAGACTCACGATCTGGAGGATCTAAGATGGTTCTGACTTTAAAGCTTTCCTGAGAACTAGAGTTCATGGTACCAGAGTGTTACATACTAAGGAAGCAACCATAGTCCTACCCAGCTTTGACCCTAGGAACCATACAATCACCAGCGTGGAAAGATAACCCTATGGAACAGGTTTGCCAACAGTTATCAATATCAATAGATTACCAGTATCAACAGCTCTTTCCCTCAGATGAGGCCTGCCGGAGTTTAAACGCTGCATAACAGGCACACACAGGAAAGACAGGCACACACAGGAAAGACTGTGTGTGACAACACACACAGTTAAGTGGAGGCCCACATCATTTATTATGACAAGGATACTACAGCAGGCCTTACCACTTTGTTCAGACCTTAAGAATGAGCAGAAGATAGAAAAATAACCTTAAAGAACCTTCTGCGAATAGTATGACAAGAAACGGTTTTTGTGGATAAAGGTTAGACCTCACCTCTTCCCGATTCCAGCCGCCTGCTCCTCAATGAACACAATCTGGGACAGGGGAATGGCCATACAGCACTCCTAAGAGGAAACCAACAGAGAGCTCTATTACACAGGTCAGAAGGTGGAGTGCAGCGTCCCTGGAGTGCTCATCTCCTATGAGGTACTTAAAATCAACAGTGCGGTATTTTGCTCAACTATGTTCATAGCAGCTCTATTCATAATAGCCAGGATCTGGAGACAACCTAGATGTCCTTCAGTGGAGGAATGGATACAGAAAATGTGGTACATTTACACGATGCAATACTACTCAGCAATTAAAAACAAGGAAATTATGAAAATTGCAGGCAAATGGATGGAACTAGAAAAGATCATCCTGAGTGAGGTATCCCAGAAGCAGAAAGACACACATTGTATATATTCACTAATAAGCAGAAATTAGCCGTATGATATAGGATAAACATACTAAAATCTATAGTCCTAAAGAAGCTAAACAACAAGGAGGACCCTAGGAAAGAGGCTTAATCCTCATTCAGAAGGAAAGACAGTATAGACATCAGAAGTAGGAGAAGAAAGGGGACCTTCCACAGAGGGTCTCTGAAAGACTCTACCCAGCAGGGTATCAAAGCAGATGCTGAGACTGGAGACAAACTTTGGGCAGAGTATAGGGAATCCTGTGGAAGAAGGGAGATATTAAGCCCTAGAGGGGACAGGAGCTCCACAAGGAGAACAACAGAACTAAGAAATCTGGGCCCAGGAGGTCCTACAGAGACTGATGAATCAGCCAACGACCATGCATGGAGAAAACCTAGACCTCCTGTTCAGATGCAGCCCATGGACAGCTCAGTGTCCTTGGAGGTACTCTAGTAAGGGAAGCAGGAGCAGTCACTGGCATGAACTTGGTTGCCTGTGGCCTTCCTAGGCTACAGAGAAAAAGGATCCAGACAGTCCTGATGAGACCTGATAGGCTGGGGTCAGAGGGAAGGGGAGGAGGACCTCCCCTAGCAGAGGACTAGGGGAGGGACATGGGGGGAGAGATGGAGGGAGGGTGGAATGGGGAGGAGATGAGGGAGGGGGCCACAGCCGGGATACAAAGTGAATAAATTGTAAACAACAACAACAATAATAATAATATTAAAAAAGAAAAAGAGAAGAAACTGCTCCCTCTTGGCCTGGGCAGGAGGGCCGCAGCAGGCGGGCTCAGCTGGAGCTACGCTTGCAATCGCCGTGATAAACTTAAGGAGAATTTAAATAAAAGTCCATGCGTTTTGGTGCATCGGAGGAATTTTAAAGGCAAGAGGGCTCAGGACCAGCACTGGGGCTCAGTGGGTAAAGGGGCCCGCCCCAAAGCCTAAACCCAAGTTGAGTCCCCCGGACCCACATTCTCTCTTTCTCTCTCTCTCTCACACACACATAAAATGTGACTAAACCTGGTGGTGGTACATCTCTAACCTCAGACCAGCCTGGGCTATACAGCGAGACCCTGTCTCAAAAAGCAAAAGCAAATGGGGCCGCAGAGACGTCTCAGCAGTTAAGAGCATTTGCTGCTCTTGCAGAAGACCAGAGTTTGGTTCCCAGCACCCTTGTTGAGAAACTTACAATCACCTGCTACTCTAGTTCCAGGGACTCTGACGCCCTCTTCTGCCCTCCCTAGGCATTTGCAGGCACATAGATACATATGAGAGCACAGACGTGTACACAAATAAACCAACAACAACTCATCTTAAGTAAAATAACAGTTGTAACTATCTTTGTTTTTATAGTTGGTATATTTTTCCAAGTAGGATTTATGAAAAATTTTGAATATCTTTTTTGTAAAATATGATTTATATCCAATGTAAAGCAATTTACCATTTGTAATGTTCAAGCTTCGAATTAAAATGAATTTACATGAAAAAATTTTTGATGTAATATTTCTTATATAAAACAAAACCAAATAAATCAAAAACAGTAATAAGAAATGTATTTTACATGAGTGATTTTTTTCTGCTTCTCTACAGATATACACACATGTACACATTTTAAGAGGAAATGCTAATGTGGCTTTGTTGTTACTAAGTATAAGTTTTAAGGTATTTTATAACAGCATGTGAAGCAGTACATGCCTATGATCCCAGCGATTTGGGAGGGTAAAAAGGACAACTTGAGTTCAGGTTAGGCAAGGCAACACAGGAAAACTTAAAAAAAAAAATAGTTAAGTTTAATTTAAAGCATTATGTATGACTGGCATATAACAGGTCTAAGAATTCAAAACTGGCTTCTTTTTATTAATATGTATTAATTGTACAAGTTAGTAGGTTTCCATTTTTTATAATTTATTTTACTTATGTGTACACAAGCATGCTGCAGCCCTTTGGTGCATGTGTGGAGGTCAAAACTGCAAACATCAGTTCTCTTGTTCTACCAGGCATTATCTGGGGAGAGAAGCCAAATCCTTCGTTCTGGAGGCAAGCATCTTTACTGGCTGAGCCATTTCAGTAGTGCCAGGGTTTTCACCTTAGCATTTCCATATGTATATAATCACTAACCATTCACATCTATCTCCCCTGCAAACGTCTCTCCCCTTTCCTGCCTAAATAACCTCTTTATATGGTAACCGAAGGGATACACCAAAATCAATTCATCAGTATCTAGCCTCAAGACATCTTATCATCTCAACATTTGTCCTCTGCAGATCATTTTAAAATAATGACAAATGGTTCTTATAGGACAAAAAGTCAGATATTGCAATAGTTAGCACTCTTCTAAAGAGTACATTATTCTTCTAAAGAATACATTCATAGTTCATCTTAGTACTAAACATTCATGGTGAGGGACTGGAGAGATGGTTTAGAGGTTATGAGGACTGACTGCTCTTTCAGAAGACCCAGATTTAAGTCCCAGCACCCACATGACAGTTCACAACCATCTGTAACTCCAGTTTCAGGAGGTTGGAGACCTCTTACGACCTCCATGGGTACTGCATACAAATGGTGCACAGACATACGTAGTCAAAACCCATAACACATAAAATATAAAGGTCCTGGAAACTGGGAGTACAGTGGAAGATGTGAAAACATGTGCTTAATGCTCCCGGCCTGAGGCCTAGTGCTCCCGGCCTGAGGCCTATCTCCAGCACCAGAACTAAGTTGAACTTCACAGCTGGGGGTGGGGAATGATTCGGAAAATAAGATTCTAGACTGGATAGCTTTTCCTGCTGACAGCTGTAACTCACAAGGTAAACCTCCTTGGAATAAAGATATCGGCATTATACACATACACCCCACTCTACAGAGCAACCATAAAATTAGGGTGAGGAGTCTTTTCCTTAGTGACATGGGGGGAAGGACTTTCTCAGCAGATAGGCAGGCTGATCCTGCTTCCCAGCAACCTGGTAGAACAGGTTGTTCAGAAGAGGACATACTGTCTTTTTAAGGCTCCCTCACAGCTGAGGTCCAGAACTGCTCCTTCTCCACCCTGAGGCAGGTTGTAGGAGTGACTCTCTGGTATTTGAAATCATAAAGACTAAGCATCCCTGCACACAGGAGGCAAGGCAGGTAGATCGCGTTGAGTTTAAAGCCAGACTAGTCTACATAGCAAGTTCAAGGTCAGACTAGGGTGCAATTCAGCGATGAAGCAGGCACTCAGTTCCAAGTCACACCCCCAACGCACACATAACCACATAAACCCCAGAGCAATGCTAAACGTCTCTTACATTATTTTTCTGGTCTCTCCAAATCAGCCGGTGTGTACTAAGAAGAAGAGTCCCAGCATCAAATTTTATCTAAAACAATAAGATCAACACAAAATATCAATACCATATTATTCAGATTTCCTTACTCAATAAGCATAAAATATGAAATTATTAAACATTTAGAATGAGGTTTACCACAAATTAAAAAGCAATGCTATATACCCCATAAAGATAAGCTATATATATATATATATATATATATATATATATATATATATACACACACATATATATCTCATATAATTCTGTAATAGATACATGCATATATATGTGTGTGCATATATATACATATTTATATTATAGCTATTATAGAATTCTAGAAAAGTTTGAAATAATCTAGATGTATAATCAGGGGTAGTTAAATAAAATATATCTACAGTAGAATGCACATGCCAAAGTTAAAAGAATGACGAGGTGAAACTACATACATTACCATGGAACACTAAGACAGAGCTGATGGGAAAAAAGGAGTTTGCAATGTATTACACAGAATGAAATTCTCTAACAAAATGTTCTCTCTATGTGTGTGCGTACACATCACTGTATCAGTACCGGGAAAGGGTCTAAAATGAGCCCACAGTTAACAATGAGTATCTCAGGGAAAGGGTGAGAAAGTGGGAGGGAAAGAAGCAAAGGATCCTTTTTAAAGGACTGATATTAACATGCACATATGTGTCTGTGTGTAGCTGTGCACATGACTGCCGGTGTCTGCCAAGGCCAGAAGACGGCACTGAATCTCGTGCAGCTGGAGTTAGGCAGTTGTGAGCTGTGGGAAGAGCAAACAGGTGTTCTGGAAGATCAGTGTGTGCTATCAACTGCTGAACCATCTCTCCATTAGCTCCCTCCTCCTGTGCTCTATAAAACTGTCCAGGTGATTTTACACTGAGATCAGATTCCTATGTCATACTTCTGTAGATTTTAAAAATATCTTTGTAAAAGAAAGCCTAGAAATAGCTGTAAGCATGTAAGAAGAGACACTGATAGAAACTCAGTTATTGGCACTGACACCTGGGTTATGGAGTGACTTATACTCGACACACTTCACAAAAAATTCTAGAGGGAACAAAGAGTTAAGAGAAAAAAATGAAAAATTGTTCAAAAAAGAGTAGGAAAATTACATATTTAAAAATCCCAAAAACAAAAACAAACAAATAAAATCTCCAGATAGAAAAGCCATTAAACCCACTGGCATTGAGAAAAAAACCTCAGATATTCACTTACAAAGGACTGATGGCAAAAGCTATGAACAACAAACACAAAGATAAATAGCAGACTAGGAAAAATAACTGCAATTCACATCCAAGACAAAGAACAGCCTGCAATCAAGTAGAAAACGGAGCAAAGTTAACAGAAACTGCGTGACATGGAGAGCCAGCCGTTAACTGACAGTACAAATACAAATACAAGGCATCAGTTATCTGTAAGACGATGAGTTCATCCACTGATGCCTGTGAAAGCAAATGAGGGGGGGAAATTTAAACTTCCATCAAGAGGAAACTGGGCCCCCAAATGGTGGACCAGAGACAGAAAAAAAAAAAAAAAGGAGACTGTATTCTATAGCGTTTACTGTGTCTTTCGATGTGTCTGATGGAATGCCACTCACTGTAGCAACCATCCAGAATTTCTTCTTTTTTTCTGAGACAGGGTCTCACTATGTAGCCCTAGCTGTCCTAGAACTTGATACATAGACCAGGCCAACCTCAAACTCACAGAGATCCGCCTGCCTCTGCCTCTCAAGTCCAGGCCTCAAAGGCGTGTGTCACCATGACTGGCTGCCAGTCATACAGATTTCAGACCGGTGAACACGTGAAAGGTACACTGACAACCAGAAAAATGTGCTATATTCTCTTGACTGATTTTTTTTTAACAAAAAAGAAACCTGAAAAGAGTGTGCACAATATATTTCACATTCACATAGATGTGCAAACATATGACGTATATGAACATATACTGGTTTTGTGTGTCTGTGCTTGTTGCTGAGAACTGAACCCTAAGTCCCCAATATGATGGTATTTTGAGTTAAAGCCATTTTGCTTATGCTCTGATATGGTCATGAGGTGGGGCCACCTAAATAGAAGTTAAAATTAAGCATTCTGTTAGCAACACTGTAAGATATCCATCGTATTTTATTACATTAAAAAATAAAAATGAATTTTTCGCTTATCATGCTTACAACAGACATGTACACTATGCTGCTACACACACCAGACCAGGCTGGCCTGGATCTCACAGTGGTCCGCCTGCCTCTGCCTCCCAGTGCTGGGGTTAAAGATGCACATACCTAGCCTTTTATTTCTGACACAGAGGACAACAGAACTTATAAAGTCTTTTCTCTGATTTGGCCAAGTGTTTTGGTAGAATACCGTGCTGGTTAGTTTTGTCAGCTCGACACAGGCCTGAGTTCTAGGACAGCCAGGGCCACAGAGAGAGAGAGACCCTGTCTCAAAATGGGAAGGAGGGGGGCTGGAGGGATGGCTCAGCAGATAAGAGCACTGGCTTCCTCTTTTAGAAGACCCAGCGCCTACATGGCAACTCACAACAATCTTTAACTCCAACTCCGGGGAACCTGCCACCTCTCGCCTAGGCTGACAAGGGGACTTATGCGCACGAACCCACACGCAGACACACACATCTACACACAACTGAAAACAAGAAAAACGTTTAAAATAAAAAGAGGCAATGCTCAATGTACTTATTATAGTTTGTAATTCTTTGTCTTGGCTAATCTGGTTTACACAAAATAAAACAACTGAATTTACATTTTAAGAATCTCTTTTTGTGCTAAGTAGTAAAAATTTCCAAAACAAATGTTTCGTTAACTCCAAAAGTGCGAAATGTTCCCTTCCATTACGACAGTTCTGGCTAAGAGGCTTTGCCTTTTATCTTGTTGGAATCCGAATTTAGGATTTACACGTAACGCTCAAGCCACTGTGTCCACCAGTGAGCATAAAGAAAAGTGAAAGTTTGCTGCTCTAGTGAAGGAACTGTACGACAATTCCCTTCCCGGATCTCCCGTGGATTATCTCAACCTGACAGACTAGTCAGGCTGGTTTAGATTTACTACCCAAACCCTGAATAATCTAAGCTACTTAAAAAGTAAATCAAACTTTATTTAAGCAGTTGCGGAAAACAACTTGTCTCAAAAACAACAGTAGCACAGTGCACAGAAAAATACCCTAAGTCAGGAGGCCTGGGTTAGCTTTAAGCACTGACCAGGAAGAAAGTGTATTAAGTACAGAGGAAGACTTCATTTCCCTAAGAGCGAGGAAGGTGGAATCCAGTACGTGAAAACTAGAAACTAAAAGCGCTCGTGCGAGCGCAAGCTCCTTTCCCCCTCCTGATACCGGGTTGCACATTTCAGAACAGGATGGTTTGCAGCGTCCAGTACGTACAAAACGCTTCCTTTCGGTATTTCTCTTACCACTTGCAAGCCCATCCCTTAGGGTTTAAGCTTGCATTACTACGAGGCAAAGGCTTACTGCATCACTTCGTAGCACGAAGGAAGCCTCAAGCTCGCTCGGGGCTGGACCCCGCGGCCCCCTTCCGAGGCTCAGCCCAGGACAAACCCCCAGCCATCCAGCGGCAGCAGGAGGCTGGGGACGGCGTTCGTTCTGGGGGCGCGCTCCTGACAAGGCGGAACTGGGCTGTCCCGGGCCCCCGCCCGCCGAGACCCCCGCTCGCCCGCGCCGGGCTCCGCCGTCCACCGTGCAGCCCGCGGGCCCCAGGCCGAGGCCGGGAGCGCAGGGCCGAGGCGGCGCCGGGCCCAGCACGGAGGCCCGCGGGGCGAGCCGGCCTCCGCCCTACCTTCTCCTCGCCGTCGTAGACGCGCACCCCGCGCTGCTGGATCACCAGCGTCTCGTTGATCTCCAGGAGGCCGCTGGTCCACACGAAGCGGTCCATGGCCGCCGCCCGGCCGGCCGCCGCCGCTCGCCGGTGTTCCGGGGATGCGAGCGGCGCCCCCTAGTGGCCGGCGGGCGTGGGGCGACGTGAGGGAGCGCCCCCTAGCGGCGGCCGCTCGTGTGCGCGCTTGCTCCCCTGTCTGCCAAGCCCGTTGTCTGCCAAGCCTGTTAAAGGCTGTCACTAAGGCCAGTTTTTTTTTTCCCCCAAAGTAAATGTTGACAGCAGGAATTGTTTTTAATAAATCTGTAACCAGTGTATTATGTAATTCCCTCTTCTCCTCTATCCGGTTTTTGTTTTATTCGAATTTTTACTACACTGTATTTATTTTATGAGTGTTTGTGTGGGTTGAGGGCACACGCGAGGCTTGTTCCTTGGACCATGTGAATCTTGGGGATCAAACTCAGGTTATGAGGCTCGGCAGCAGTCACTCTTATCAGTTGAACCACCTCACCCACCTACCCACAAAACAAAACAAAACAAAACAAACAAAACAAAACAAAACAAAAAAACAACAGTGCATTCGATCCAGATCAGTGGAGCATAAACCGGTCCCAAGCAGCTTGTCCTTTAGTTAAGGACGATGGAGGGCATCAGTCAGTCCTAGGGACTGGAGACTGTGCACACAGTGCAGGGGCTTTAGCGCCTCAGAGGGATACAAGTAGGAACTTCCCGGAAGACAGAGTCCATCTGCACGTCAGCTCCTCCAGTCTCAAAGTGATAGATAACCAACTGAGGCTGGCTTTCCATCTCACCACAGGTGTCCTCCATCCTGACAGCCCCCAGTGTTATTAGTCAAGTCAGCTTTCCTGTGTGCAGTTTCTCCGCCCACGGGAGTGAGGCCTTTAGGTGATTAACCCTTCAACGTGTATGGCTGTTTTGCCTGCATGTGTGTCTGTGCCCTGGATCCGTGCCTGTTGCTCAGGTAGAGCAAAAGGCTTTAATAGCTTTTTTTAAAACATAGATTCAAATCAGGCTTGGGAGTACACACCTGATATCCTGACACCTGGGGCACGAACAGTGGTTCGCCGTCAGCCCGGGCTGCGTAGTGAGACACTGAAAACAAACACACAAACAAACAACAAAAACCACTCATGAAAAAGGTGGGGGGGGGGGAGCAGGGAGGGAAAGGGAGACGAGAAATAGGTTTGGTGGTTTTGGTTTCTATTTGAGGAATATTTGGAGCTGGAGAGATGGATCAGCAGTTACAATCAGTGACTGCTGTTCCAAAGAACCCAGGTTCAGTACCCAGCACACACATGGCACCTCACAACTGTCTGTAGCCCCATTTCCAGGTGACTCAAAGCCCCTTTCTGGCCTTTGAGGGCACCAAACATTCATTGGATGCCACAGGTAGGCATGCAGGCAAAGTACCCAAACACATAAAGAATAATTTTTAAAAAGGAAATCTTTGCCAAACACAGCATTTCCCCCGCATTGTGTTCTGTTTCATAGTTTTCTTTATTATATCAGGTATATGTTTCATCTTATGGTTGCCAGTTTTTGTTTTGTATAAAGTTGAGCTGAAGATCAAGTTAGTATTTTGCATGTGGATACACAGTTACCACGACTGTTTATTGAAAAGTTGTTTTTGGAAACTTTAAGCATCCTTTGGCCAGATAGGCTGGGTCATATCTCTGAAATGTACTATATTCTATTGTTTGTCTGATTTTCACACTGTCTCTTTTATCGTGGTTTTATAAGTCTTGAAAACAGATGTGGTTCCTGCTCCAACTTGGTTCTATTTCACAGTTGTCTTGCCTACTCTAGATCCTTTGCATTTCTTGTTAATCTTAAGAATAGCAACATAGGGTCTTCTGATCCAAGAGCACATTGTGTTTATTTAGTGTCTGTAACTTCTGTAACATTGGGTGTTGGTCTTGTGCTGTGTGTGTTATTCAGATGCTTGTTTATGTGCCCAGAGATCTGGTTGCATCCAAGGACGTGGATGCTGTCTCCTCCTGCCTCGATGTTGTGTAAATAATTAATAATAATAATGATAAGTTATCCATCATCTCTGACTGGTTAGATGAAAGCTGGTTCAGCCTAAAGCTGGGCAAGAGAGCATGGAAATCAGGACTTCTGATCCCATCAGGGGTCTCAGGTAGGGACAATAAGAAGTAGGAGGTAGAGGGGGGAGAGGAACTCAGTGGATTTTATATAGGCGACATGTTTAAATGATGGGAATGGAAGATTATGGTAGGACGCCTAAATATACAAACAGAAAAACTGTCCAATAGCGTTGGATTACCTTCACAGAATTATGTACTGCCTTAGAAGAACAAAGAATTATGCTCTCATTTTTTATCTTGCATTCTTGTTTATATTTCACAAATGCATATATAAAGGCATGGAAAGGGCTGGGCATACACTTGCAGTCTTAGCGCTCAGGAGGCCAGGAAGATGGCGAGTTCAGGGAGACCAGCCTGTGGTACATTTGGGAGACTTTCAATAAAAAATCAGCACAAAGGTAGATCTGAAGATTCCGTTTACAAGCTGTGGAAACATGGACACCTAACACCTGAACTCATCACCTCGCCTGCGAGATATAATCGCAACCCAGTTCACTTAAGCAACTCAGAGGAGCATTTGTGACTATGTCCACCTCGGGGCAGCTCGGAGCGGTACCCTCAGCGAGAGCATCGGCGTTTGAGCAGGTCCAGCCGTTTGCTGTCCTTTGCCCTCCTCAGGGCTGTGCCTGAAGACATGTCCTGACTTGTCAACCCTAGACCTGCTGCCTTCCGAGGACTCAACAAGCCCGCTCTGCCCGCCCGCCGTCCGCCCAGCGGGAAGAGCATCGTTTGATTTTGAAACCTCTCGCCGGGCCTGCCAAAGGTACCGACTCCGGGGCGGCCCCGCCCCTCGCCCGGGCCCCGCCCCTCGCCCGGGCCCCGCCCCTCCGCGTTTATTGGTCCATTCAATCCACGCCGGCGCCGCGGCGGGAGCATTAAGAGATGGCAGAGTCCAGAAAACGCTTCTCCGGCCGCGCTGTGAGGAACGCGTTGCCGGTGCCCCGGGACCTGCAGCTGCCCCCGACCAAGCGAGATCAACCCGCCTTCAGAGGTGAGCGGCGGCGCGGGGCCTCGGCCGCTAACCGTCCCCACGCCCTCCTGAGAGCCAGGCCGCGGACCGTGTGCGCGGTGGGGACTGTCGGGGGTCAGCGGTTTAGCGTCGGGGTCGTGGGCGGGGGGCTGGGGGCGGAGGGCCGGGCTGCAGGGACCCCCGACTGCGCCCGCGCGCTGTTTCTCCTAGGTCTGTGCGCCGAGGGTGGGGTGGTTGGGGGCTGATGCGTGCTGTCCTGGCCGTTTTGGAAAACTGGAATTGAACGGTCTGCAGCAACGATACGGAAAACATTCTCGCCCAACCTAATATGGTGAGTTGGTCGAAATTTGGCGACGAGTATCTCATCTCTACGGTTTGAAATGGTGTTGCCTGCGATTTTCACACGATTAGGACATTTGATTCTTGTTTGTTTGTTCGGGTGCTACTGAGGATTGAGAGTCCCAGCTCAAGGCTTTGTATATGCTTGGCAAGTGTTCTGTCATTGAACTATATAGCCTCGGCCCAGAGAATGCGTTCTTATTTGCAGAGTAGTTGTGAGCACCTTTCTGGCTAAGTTTTGGGTTGACAAGCTAGAGAGCCCTGAGAGGAGGGAACCTAAATTGAGAAAACTGAGCCTGCAAGATCCAGCAGGCTCCAGGCAAGCCTGAAGGGCGTCTTCTTAATTAGTGATTGATGGGGGCGGGAGGAGGCCCAGTCCCTTGTGGGCGGTGCCACGCCGAGGCTGTTGGTCCTGGGTCCTATAAGGAAGTAGGCGGAGCAACTCGGGAAGCAGCACCAGATTCCTTCTGTTACCGATGCACGCTGTTGTTTGGAAATCTGAGTAAAATGAACCCTTTCTTCCCTAACTTGCTTTTTGTCAGAGTGACTCATCACAGCAATAGTACTCGCGGTCATTTCTGATTAGTGAGATCATTTCTCCAAATTGAGATTTTGTTTCCTATTCTTATAGAAAGAATATATTTTCCCAGGAAGGAGTCACTCTGCACCCTTAGTGGTTAAAAAGCTCTTACGTAGCATAGCCCTTGTCCTGCCCTGGCTAATGCCCAAGAAAGATCTAGCCTTGCATAAAGATTTCAATAGCTTTATATGTACTTTAGGTTGGTGCTCCTCCTCCCCTTCTTTTGTGTGTATGTGTTTGTTTGTTTGTTTGTTTTTTCAGGTTTTTTTGAGACAGGGTTTCGCTGTCTGTCTGGACTAGACTCTGTAGATCAGGACAGGAGCAGCAGGCTGGCAAGTCTTATTTCCCCCTGCATCCTTATTCTGCGATGAGACTAGCGTACAATTTACTGTGATGGCTGGCGCCTGTGTCCCATTCAAGCCTGCCCAGCAAGTGTCTTGTAAATTTAACCCAATTTACCTGAGCGTTTAATTCTCCATAACTAGTTACTTGGTTTTTCTGATTTTGAGTAATATTTTATATCAAACTTGTTTTGAGGTACCTGCTCAAACTTAACTTTGAAAATATATACAAAAGGCTATATGTATAATGGGGTTATAAACTGGTCTCTCCAGTCTTGTTTCTGTCAATGAATTACATTCGTACTTAGTGTGACTCTGAGCACAAATCAGGGCACATAAAGGACATTTAATCACTTTTTAATTTTTTTATCACAATTTTTAAAAATTTTTATTTATTATTTATTACAATTTTATTCACTTTGTATCTCAGCTGTTGCCCCTCCCTCATCTCCTCCCAATCCCATCCTCCCTCCTGTTCGCCCCTTATGCTGCATACTTTTTAATTTAATTTTCTTTTGGGACAGGGTCTTTCTACATAGCTGTGGCTGTCCTGAAATTCAGTATGTAGACCAGGCTGGCCACAAACTAGGAGCTCCACCTGCCTCCCAAGTGCTGGGATTAGAGGTTTGGGCCACCACCCAGCCATTTAATCACTTAAAACTTCTATGTCCAAATTACCCTTTTAAAAAAACAATTTACAATAAATTAGAAACTCTCACAAGATTAATAGTTTGTAAACTAAGGTAATCCCTTTTAAGATTTCTGAGCCAGGTGGGGTGGTGCACACCTTTGATTCCAGCACTCTTAGAGGCAGAGGCAGGCAGATTGCTGTGAGGACAGCCAAGGCTACACAGAGAAGCCCTGTCTCAAAAAAAGCAAACAAACAAGATTTCTGAACCTTAAAAATGACAATTTTTGAATTTTTGAAGCTCCTTAAGTACCAAGATAATACACTTATATGATACAGACAAACTGGGAACCTCATTATCCTGTGTAGTATAGTTTTACAAAACCTAAGTCAGTTTAACAGGTCTTTGACATTAAGTGGCTTAGTTTATCAAAAGAGCATAATTATAGCAGAGAGCAGGAGGCTTGTTTGTCATAAGGAGACATTTCTAAGAATACAGTTAGTTCTTAGCACAGTGTAAGTCAGCTTTTGTTAACATGAATAGACCATTACATCTATAGGCGCATTAACTAATTTTAACCATTAAATTATAATGGTTAAATAATGTTTTTTTTATAAGATTAATTGATGGTGGAAGTGCTAGATTAGCTAGACTTGCTAGGAATCATCAGGTAGCTATTAAGGGAAAGGTTATTTGTGGGCCTCGGGCTAGAGTTATAGTTGGTCTGTGAGTTCGTTCATAGTTTGTATTGGCTAGGCAGAATAGGAGGGATGATGTTAGTCCATGTGCGGTTAGTAGTGCGATAGCCCCTATGAAGCTTCAGGGGGTTTGGGTTATGATTGATGCAGTTGCCAATGCTATGTGGCTTACTGAGAAATATGCGATTAGTGATTTCAAGTCTGTTTATCATAAGCAAATTGAGCTGGTTATAATTGTACCTCATTCTCTTTAAGTCTTTTTTGTTTTTTTGAGACAGGGTTTCTCTGTGTAGCCTTAGTTGTCCTGGACTCACTCTCTAGACCAGGCTGGCCTCAAACTCACCCTATGCCTATGCCTCCCCGAGTGCTGGGATTACAGGTGTGTGCCCCTGTGCCCTGCTGTCTTTAAGTCTTATCCTTCATAAGTCCTATTTGATGTAATCAGACCTGTGACTTTGGCTTCAAACTTTCATGGTTTTGCCCGTTTTTATTTACCTAATTTATCCTATCTAAAACAATTGAACCTTTTTTATTAGAGATATAACTTCAAATTCATATCTTCTGTTAACCTTTATTGTCTCACTGATCCTGAGAGGGTTCACATCTCAGCTATCTTAGAGATAGCAGTAACCTTGAATGAGAGAGCATTCTGTGCAAACAAGAACAAACGGGGTTGAGAGCTAAAGTCCTGGGAACATCCAGTTTTCTTAAATATAAGTCACAGTTTAAAAAAAAGAATACCAAGCTGGATGTGGTGGTGCACACCTTTAAATCCCAGCACTTGGGAGGCAGAGGTAGGCAACTGAGTTGAGCCAGCCTGGGTCTCCCGAGAGAGTTCCCGGATAGCCATAGCTGCACAGAGAAACCCTGTCTCAAAATGAAACAAGCAAAACTTAAATATCAGGAGACATAATGATAACAAATAAGTGTATCACTTGCTGTCAATTTTCCCTAAAAGAGGTGTGTGTATCTATGTGTATCTAGTTCGCTGGGGCCTCTGTCCCTGTGTATAACAGCTTTCCCACGTCTGCATAGGTGTGTGCTCCCTTCCCCGTAGTTTTCCCAGTCCTTATACCAGATCTCCAGAAACCTTGAGGCCTCATGTAGTTAGAGCCTAATTGCAGCTACCTGGGAGCGCGCCTGGATACTCAGGTGAGGGGATACCGGCCTTGACTATGTCCTGGAAGGGATATTAATGTTTAACAAGTCCAGCAACACAGATGCTATCAATGGGAAGTTAAAGCTCTACATGCTCTGTAAGTCATAAGTTCTGAAGATGGCAGTTATTTAGCTAGAACACACAATGCAACTGCACCTTAATAAAGGAAGGTTGAGTCCAAGTTACACACACAGAGTAATGCAATAACTTAATACTGCCTGTGAATGTGCTGTTAAAGCATGTCCAGGTAAACATCACAGAAAACAGAAGGCAGCACTTATGACCTACGTAGCATGTAGAGCTTTAACTTCCCATTGATATCATCTGTGTTGCTGGAGTTGCTATTGAGAGATTTCAGACAGCACGTGTCTTATCTTCCCCATGTATATTTTTATTTAGCTTTTTTTTTTATTATAGGCACCTTTATACCATGAGCTAATTAATAATAACAGCCTCTATTAGAAATAGTTGACCTCTCAGTTGTTCTCAGGCACACAGTGACTTTTTTCAGGGCTGTTCTGTTCCTGTCACAGAATCAGGGGCCAGCCTGAAGCAGGCAGGCCAAATCTCACCTCCAGAGCCAGACTTTTCCCAATACCCATACCCCCAAAGTCATTTGTTTCTCTATAAGACAGATCCCAGTGATCTCCACACCCATAAGAAGTTTGTGGGTGCCTCTAGATTGGGCCGACAAAATGAAACCCTAAATAAGTACTCTCGTCCTTATGAAGACATTAAGTTTCAGAACCTGATTATGAGGCAGGGAGACCTTGGCTTCTCTGTGGATCAAACCTCTGATTTATTTTTTCCTTTTGGTTCTTTTAAGTTTGTAGATATGTATATAATCTATTAAACCATAAAAGCCAGACATGTAAGGAAACATTAACATCATTTTTTTTTTTATTTCCCATAGTTTGTGCCTTTATAATTGAAGAGTGGAAACAAAAACAAGAGTATGCAGGGTTGGTGAGGCGGATGCTAAGGCAGACCATGGGGATAAGGCAAAGGAGACCCAAGAACAGAAAGGTCGTCTACCTCAGGGGAAGCCAGCAGGCTTGGAGAGTCAGTGCAAAGAGCAAGCATTTAGACCCAGCCTAGCCTGTCTTTAGTCTCCCTCAGGAGACCACAGCCAAGGCTCTCTCCAGCCCCGAAAAACTGGCTGTGCAACCTGAGGCCTCACTGAGATGGTGTCCCTGGCTGGCCAGAGTTTTAAGAAGGCAGGGGCGGCCAGTAGCCAGCCACTCTGGCCCAGGCAGGGCTCTGTGGAGGAGGCTGTACGGCCCACTGGAGTGACCTGCCAGCTTCACTAGGAAGCTTCCTTGGGGCTTGTTCAGCCCTCTTCTACCCCAGGGGGTGGGGCCTGGCTGGGACCTGGGGCCAGTATGGGCATCTTTATCCTGCAGGTTTCCTGTGGAGTTTTTCCTTGTCTCTGATTGAGTGTGGAGAAGTGACGGAGCAGTCTAGAGAGTTTGGAGTGCCCTCAGAGGAAATGCTGGAAACACACTGGGCGTGCCCTTCCTCTCCCCAGAACTCCTCTCCGGCCACACGAACCCCTTCCAGCAGCACGGGGACTGTGCTCACCAGGGACCTGTACATGTTACAGCAATAGCCTGCCTTTCTGTGAGGGGTCACCTCACACGCTCAGAGACTGAAGGAAGGCCTTTAATAGCATTGTCCAGCTGGTGTCCAAAGCTGGGCTTGGAGAGAAGGTCTCAGCAGCTTCTATACATGCACCTCAGGCTTGTTCATTTTACACATGCTGTCTCTTTAAGAGCTGCTTCAGGTCTTGGCTCCACGTTACATTTTGATTAACTTAAACAGAGACAAGAGACTATAGTCTGGCCACTTGGGCTGGCTGGAGATGAACACAGTAAAGCACATAAGGGTTTTTGTTTTGTTTGTTGTTTTGGAATAGTTGCTCTCCAGGTTCATCATGCCCATCCGCCAGAATTCTGTTTTTACTGAATAGAGCGCAGGGGATTTGTTTTTTAAATTTATTTATTTATACTCTGCTTGCATGTGTGCCTGCACGCCAGAAGGGGGCACCAGATCTCACTATGGATGGTTGTGAGCCCCTATGTGGTTGCTGGGAACAGAACTCAGGACCTTTGGAAGGACAGCTAGTGGTCTTGACCTCTGAGCCATCTCTCCAGCCCTGAGCACAGCACAGGTGATTTTTATGGCAGACCAGGACAGAGTGACGGTTGTGAGCCTACTCTGCCCACCCTGAGCAGCCTGTTAGAGGGATTCCTCTGTTGTGTGACTAGAGCTGAAAGGCTGCTCAGTCCTGGTGAATAAGCATTTACATCCCAGCATCTTCAATCCTGCTCTGACCCTCCTGGGTAGCCTCTACTCACTGGTCGGGTGTTTGGTGCCCAGCGCTGGGTCAGCTAAATTCTTTGTATGATTTAATGTCTCCTAAGCAAATCCATGAGTGAATCCTTACAACATCAAGTCTATTGTTAATTTGAATTTCTTCTACATCAATGTAGAAAATAGTATGTCAAAATAAATTTTCCTAGAAAAATAACCTTTTACTCAACCATATTTGACATTTTAGCTGAAGTTGACTTTGTTACTCCTTCCTCTTTAGAACAAAGAAAACAAAAACTCAAAGAATATCTGCTAATACGGAAAACAGGGTTTGCGCCCAAACAGGGGAATCAGGCGTCCAGGTGAGGTCACGTTTCTTTCACCTCTGAAGAGCTCTAGTAGTGCTGTCCCCTAAGAACTCAGCATGTGCCGCATGTCTACCTTTTACCTCCTACTAACCACACCTAACTTTAAAATGGAACGAGTTTTAACACTTTACACGGTTACGAGCCCAGATAGTATTACTTCATGTGATATTCGAAAGCAGCAAGAGGGCTGGGAAAGTGCTTCAGTCGTGGGATGCTCGCTACCACTCAGCACCACAAAAGAAAAGGATGCACCTTAACAATTATTTTACCCTCTCTTTCGGTATCACGTCTTCAAAAACATGGTGTGCGCTAACACTCTGACACGCCTCAGTCTGTACAGTGGCTGCTCTTTGTCTTCTTCAAACCTTCAAACTCTAAAGGGAAGCAATTCTTTTTTAAAATTCTGTGTATACGTTCACTTGTTCACCCACTTGGGAATGTGTGTCCAAAGTAGCTTTCAGGTGTGTGTGCTCTCTGAGTCAAACTGAGTCAGTTGGGCCTGGTGGCAAGCGCCTGCATCTGCTGAGCCATCTCACAGGTCCAAGAGAAAATAGTTTTCAAGCAGAGTGCATGCACATGTACTGAGATACTGACTTAGGAGCTGTGCTGTAAACGTCAGGGCGTGGTTTTGAAAGTCTGCAATCTAAACACCTGGGTCTCAGACTTGAATTCCTTGTGTCCTCAAGTTTAGGTTGATACCACTGCAGCTCTGATGGATCATGGATCATTTCTTGTGTCTTTTAGGCTACAACACTGATTTGTTTGTAAAAAGCAGCCTAGATGTTGCAGGAAAGGAACCTTAAGGCCGGGTGTGGTGGTACACGCCTTTAGTTCCAGCATGCAGCAGAGGCAGCAGCTGGAGGATCTTTGTCAACTGGAGGTCAGCCTGGTCTACCTAGTGAGTTCTAGGACAGCAAGGACTATGTAGAGAGACATTGTCTCAAAAGAGAGAGAGAGAGAGAATCTTATTTGTAATGAATCAGTGACTTTGAGGTCAGAAGGTGGCCCTCTGTGTGGGTGGGCTTTGTCCAGTAGGACAGCAGAGTGTGGATGTCACCCTTCTTTTAGGTTGATAGGAATTAAAGTCTCATTAGCTGTAAAATATCAGATTTTGTCAGTTCTACCACATAACACTTTTACCCACACTTTTTAGCATACTCTCTGATTTTGTGAATCTGCTTTAGGATTACTGAAGTGTCTAATTAATAATATTTTATTTCCTGTCTTGATTTTACACATATCATTTGCTATGGGGTTGTCAGATATGCTAGTTTATAGCTATAAAAAAGTTTGTGCTAAAACTTTTAAAACCATCTTATTTACTCCATTAACCATATTTTGCTTAGAATAAACAACTTAATTCATTGCTTGTCTCAATTTAAAGTTTAAAAATGTAGGACCTTGAATGTAGCTCAGTAGTAAGTAGACCGTTTACTTAATTTGTATTTGGAAGCTCTGAAATTAGCTGTTAGAATTTATGTTAGTAGGTTATGTGTTTAAATGTTGGTTGCTGATTGCTTTTGATCTCAGCTACATGCTTCATAACAGTTGAGAAATACTTATAACTTATCCATTTAAAAATGCATTCTTGGGTTCTTTGGGGTAGAATTGTTTTTTCATTTTTCTCTATTTGTGTGAGAGGGCATTGGCTCTCCTGGGAGTAGAGTTAAAGGTGGTTATGAGCCTCCTGGTGTTGTTGTAAGGAACCAAGTATAGAAAATCCCCAAAACATTGGCCAGCGCAGGTATACAATAGAAGGGGCAAATCTTGCCCCTTCTCTTGCCCCTGCCCTAAAGTAAATTTCCTTTGTACAGAAAGAATTGATTTTTTTTTTTTTTTAACTAACAGAGATCAGAAAGTGATGACATTGAAGGATCAGGTCCAAGAAGAAAAAAGAGTTCTGGAACTCAAAACAGAAATGGTAAGATACATGTATAGTACTTAAACCTTTCCTGCACTCTTTATGAAGAAATGATTTCTGAAATACTGATTTCTCTTAACTCTTCTAGGCTGATAAAGAAAATATTGGAAGCACAATTGGAAAAAACTGCATTCCGTTAAAAGCTGAAGTAACCAATTTAGAAATGTATAACTTGAAGGATAATATTCAAGATGTGCAGTTATTATCAAGTAGAGAGGATTGCCAAGGTCAGACTATGACATTAGACCAGGCATGTCACCTTCAAGACGATAAAAAGATTCAGGTTACTGCAGAAAAGCCGAAACAAGATGCCAACATGCCTAAAAAACGAGTGCTTGGCTATTACCATGGCCAGATTGTTCAGTCTAAGATTAATTCATTTAGAAAGCTTCCAGATGCCAAAGGTGAGAGTTCTGTGACAGCCAGGAAACTTCCCACTACTGTATCTAAAGCCACGAAGGCTCAGCCTGTGCCTGTAAACACCGTCCGTGTAAAAGCCTCAAATATGACTACTACCACCAAACTCGTAAACACTCAGTCTGTGAGTGCTACTTCGAAGAACACACTTGTGCGACCACCTATTAGAAGTCTCCACAATAATGCCCAGGGCCCTGTGAAACAGGACCACGGCAGGAACCTTGCCAATGTTACAATCAGAAATCGGTCACTTGAAAAAGAATTGGTTCGATCAGAACCAGCTGTATCTATTGTGAAAACCAGTTCTTCTCAGGACACAAAAAGAAAACAGGCACCATCAAAAAGTATAACATCTAAAGGTGTAACCAGGACTAATTCATCTACTACCAGACTGATGGAAAATCCCCAAAACATTGGCCAGCGCAGGTACACAATAGAAGGAGCAAGTCTTCCCAGGTCAGTTCAGCCCGGAGAAACCACAGAAAACAGAAAGTAAGTAGATGAAATTCATTTTGTTTTCTTGGCTACCAATAGAATACCAGTTTGTGAATTTGGCTTGTTGTTTTCTTAAATGTATTAGAATTACTTAATTTATTATTTTCTGCCACACAGGCAGATTTATGTATAGAACAATAAGACCAAAAAGCTATGTTTTTGTTTGTTTGGGTTTTTGACACAGGGTTTCTCTGTATAGCTTTGGCTGGCCTCAAACTCACAGAGGCCTGCCTCTGCCTCCCAAGTGCTGGGATCAAAGGCGTGTGCAACCACCGCCCTTCCAAAAGTTATGTGTTTAAATGTGGATTGCTGGTTGCTTTTGATCTCAGCTAAATGCTTCATAACAGTTAAATACTTATAACTTATCCATTTAAAAATGCATTCTTTGTTTCTTTAGGGTGGGAATGTTTTTTTTGTTGTTTTGTTTTTGTTTTTGTTTTTTGTTTTTTGTTTTTTTCTCCTCTATGTGTGTGAGAGGGCATTGGCTCTCCTGGAAGTGGAGTTAAAAGTAGCTGTGAGCCTCCTGGTGTTGGTGTAAGGAACCAAGCCTAATTCCTCTGCATGGGCAGCAAGTACGCTTAACCTCTCTGACATTTCCTAGTTCCATTCTTGGAGTCCTTGAACATATATATGATCTTGTTATATTCAGGAGTTCACCTCTGCAAACAAATAAGTTCCACCAGTTTAGAACTATGTATAGGTTTAAGTTGTTTTGATTTGTGTATGGGTGTTTTGCATGTATGTATGGCATTGTATCATGTGTGTTCCTGGTGCCCACAGAGGCCAGAAGAGGGTGTCAGATTCCCTGGAACTAGAGGTACAAATGGTTGTAAACCACCAGGTGGGTTCTGGGAATCCAACCAGGGTCCTCTGGAAGGGTGGCTGCTGGTGCTGAGCTGTCTCTCCAGCCCCATTTTGAAATCTATTTAACTGTGCCACTTAGCAGGGTGCCATCAGCAAAATCAAAGCAATGTTGATGTTCTGCTTCTGATTGCAGAGCTCAGACTGCCTGGAGAACTGGCAAAGGAAATGGGCTAAAAAGGCTTCCTAATTTAACAGTTACCCATGCTGAGCCAAAGGGACAGAGTGAAAACCCAGTTGGGTCCTTTTGGGCTACCATGGCAGAAGAAGATGAACAGAGGCTATTTACTGAAAAAGTAAACAAAACAATTTCCGAATGCCTGAGCCTGGTTGATAAGGTAAGGTCTTTTTTAATGTGTGTGGCTGCTTTGGCTGCTTTGTCTGTATTTATGTCCATGTGAGGGCCTGCTGCCTGCAGAGGCTAAAAATTGGTGACAGATCATCTATGGCTGGAGTTATAGATGGTTGTGAGCCACCGTGTGGGTGCTGGGAATTGAACCCAGATCCCCTGGAAGAGGAGCCAGTGCGTGTAAATACTGAGCCATCTCTTTAGCCCTCTACGGTAGAGTCTATCTTTGTACGTTTGATAGTTTAGAAATGTCTTCTATTGTTATTATTTTGTTTATGTACTTGAGTGGGTTTATTTGTACCATGTGCCTGCAGATGCCCAACTCTGGAGTTTATAGTCAGTTGTGAGCCGTACAGCATTGGTGCTGGGAACCACCAGCTTGGGTCCTGTGCTGGAGCATCAAGTACTCTTGACTGCTGAGTCATGCATCCCACGTGCTCCATCAGCTTTTTATATTGCTCACTGTTCTTAAAGTCAGATTATTAATCATTCATAGTTTGTAGCTCACACATTTTATTTCTTGGAATTTTAGGGATGCCCAAAAGAAGAAATTTTAGGCATGTTGAATGACCTGATTCATAATATTCCAGATGCCAAAAAACTTGTTAAATATTGGATATGTCTTGTGCGTATTGAACCAGTCACAAGTCCCATTGAAAATATTATCTCAATCTATGAGAAGGCAATTCTGGCAGGGGCTCAGGTAAGAGAAAAAATTATTTCAGTTTTAAAGTGTAAACAATTCCAAGTTATTTTGGAGCACATCATAGTATAACTTGATAAGATTATGATTTTGTATGTAGTACTAAGGGGTATTCAGAGGCCACAAAGGACTTGGGAGTATAGTTCAGTCGCAGAGCATGGAGGCACAGGGTTCAGTTTGTGGCAGCAGAAACAGTGAGGGCTACGAGGATTGTATTAGGCATGTTTGTCAACATTTTTGTACCAAGGGTTATAAGACTTTTGAATCTAGATATTAGCTGAAATATAAATTTAATGAAACTATTTTAGCACAAAATATCCTCCTGTGCATTTCCTATAATGGACCAGAAGTAACATTACGTAAGTAGGTTATGGCGCTGGCACAGTGATATAAAAGTGAAAGCCAAGGCTGTAGATTGAAATTGTAGTGCAAAGACAAAGAAATGACACTGAAGTAGAAATTGGGAAACAAGAATCAAAATTGGCCGAGAAATTGAAAACAGAATCGGTTCTTCTGGAACTGAATTCTGAAGCTAGGACTATGAGCCAGGGCTTCTGTTATATAAATATCCTTGTAATCTCAGGCATGGTGGCGCTAAGGAACATAGCAAGAGCTTTTAATATCTATCAGATCATACAGTTTGAACAAGTGAAATATGTTGGGTTGACCAACCTTAAGGTATACAGAGATGAATTTACTAGTATGAGATACAAAATACAAGTAGTATTTAAAACACTTTTAGAACTTTTTAGACAATATGATCAGCTTTTGAATAGATGATAACTTTCCATCTATTAATTAATTTTGCTAATATCACACATTATTAGCTATCAAAGGCCTAAAAATTATGGGATTTTTTTTTTATGAAATTCTGTCCTTTAAGTTCATTTTTCTTATAAAGATGAAAAATAACCATTTCTAATCTTAACAGCAATTGTTTATTTTAAAATAAGGAAAATTTTCAATATATCTAATATTTTTTATTTACATAACCTAATTTTTGATTATGTAAACTTCTTTGTTAAAAACATTTTTTTAATCTAAGCCTATTGAAGAGATGCGACATACAATCATAGATATTCTGACAACAAAGAGTCAAGAAAAAGTTAATTTGGGTAAGTGTTCCTTCAGGTGAATTGTGTTTTTATTAAAATCTACTGGTTCCATTTCCCTTTTGTCTTATTTAGCTTTCTTCTTTTCTTTTTTTTTATACTTTTCTTTATATATTTTTTTTATTTTTTACAATTTATTCATTATATATCCGGATTGAAGTCCCCTCCCTCAACTCCTCCCAGTTCCACCCTCCTACCTCTTCCTGCCTCTATCCCTTTCCCCATGTACACTGAAAGGGGGTGTTTTCCTCCTCTGCCATCTGCCCATAGCTTATCAAGTCTCATCAGGACTGCCTGGATCCTCTTCCTCTGGGCCCTGATAAGGCCAAATTGCCAGGGGCAAGTGATCAAAGACCTGCTTCTGAAATGCAGTACATGTCTGTGTCATGTAGAAATTTTAAGCCAGATAGTGTAGCTCACACTTGTAATCCTAGCAAGTTGGAGGCTAAGGTAGGGGTTTGGGCTGGCCTTGGACATAGAGTAAGACCCTGTCATGAAAGAAAAGAATTGGCATGGGGGCACGAAACTAAAAAACTCTATTTCTGGGCATGAGGATCATGGGTTTGGGCCAGCCTAGGTTATGTAGAATGAGACCCTGTCTCAAAAAAAAAAAAAAAAGAAAAGAAAAGAAAATTTAATGAAGGAATATAGTTCAAAATCCAAGTTTACTGCTATGCTGCATATGAAAAGTTTTTTTCTGGGCCTTAGAGTTCTGTCTTAGAAATGGGTGCTTTAGAGCTGGTGGTACTATGTCCTTACCTCCACCACAGCAGCTTTTTTTTTTTTAAATGAGTTTATTTGATAAGATAATCTCCCACCTATTAAGTTCTATGATCTGTTCTGTACTCTAGAAAGTTTATGCATTGATAAGGTTTCAAAGTTGTAAAAGAAATAAATACACATACTCAAAAAAGAAAGTTCATTTAGAATGCTGGTAGGCCTAATAGTAAGTTCCTGTAATCCCAGGGTTGTGGGAGGCTGAGGCTGGGGGATTATACATTTGAGGTTTCATTATATAATAGGACACTCAAACAGCTTTAATTTAACATCCAGAGATCTAAGTCAAGATCAAAACTTGGAATAGAAGCAGAGATTATACTGAACTCTTAAGTGTGTTGTGTAAGTTTCTGATTATATGCAAGATTCAAAAAGTCCTGTTCCTTGGGGTTAATGTAGTATGTCGTGTGTCAGTTTGACCAGAAGTCCTACTTTTATTGGAATGATTTATTCAGCTTCAATTGGGGGGCCTGTTTATATGTCCAGGGGAACATGTGGAACACGTATATAATCCGATGTTATAAATCAAATTTAATGGTGATGCTTATGAAGGAATTCGAGAGAGGAAACCCAGAGAAGACTAGTCTGTCAGAAGCAAAGGAAATCGAAAAGTCAAGACCACCCTTATGCCGTCTCTAGCAGGGCAGGAGCTGTTCCAGAGACCGTGGAAGAGTGTTGCTTGTGGCTTGGTTGCTTATGGCCTGGATGCTTCTGGCCTGCTTAGCCTGCTCTCTCATATCGTCCAGGACCGCCCACCCAGGGTGGCACCGCTCCTTATGGGACGGGCCCAGCCACAAATCATTAAGGAAATGTCCTCACAAGCTTGTCCACAGATCAGTCTGATGGGGGTGGTTTCTCATTTTACATCCCCTCTCCCCAAATGACTCCAGCCTTTGTCAAGTAGACATAACGCTAGCTAGTACATTCCTTTTTGTAGGCTCCGACAACCCTTGGTTCTTTCTTCACTTTGTTTGACCTCATTTCATAGTTGTTTTTTAACTTTGTCTTTCATGGCACATAGTCTTAAGAACTGGGATGGTTCCATTCTTAAATCTGTGTCTCTGCACAGGGGATATTAAATATTTGTTAAACTGTTGGCAGCGGTGTGTACATAGGAAAAGTAAAGATTAGGAGATGCAGCTTGGTTCTGTCATTTTTGAAGTTCTGACAAACTTCAAAAAAAATCTTCAAATTTTTCTATAGAAGATGTTGAGGAGGCTCATGCAGACAAGGAACATGTCCAGAAAATAGAAACGGAAGCTGCAAGTGTTAATCTAGCATCAGGGAAGCCAGGAGAGAATGGAGTGTGTGGAAAGGAAGATAACACAACAAAAGACCCAACCAATAATCTGAAGACCCCTGACTCAAAAACTGAAGCAGGCTGCCTAATTAGATATAATGTATCCTCTACACCACGCTTGGAAAGGTAAGTGCTTAAAATGTAATATCTGTTTTCATGCTCTAGTGATAATTCTGTTCAAAAACTTAATGCTAAGTAAGGGTCACACCCAGAACCCTAAACATGATGGCTCATGGGTAATTGCAACCGCTGTTCTCACTTGTCACGAGCTCTGAAAAGGCCCAAGAGGGGTCTGGACCCCAAAACCAGGCAGGAAAATGTTCAAGTCATTTGACCTTCCAGACATTTTTTTTTTTAATGTAACTGTTTTGAGATCTATTTCTATGTGTGTGGCTGCTGCATCTGTGTGAGTGCAGGACCCACAGAAGCCAGAAGAGCATATAGAAGGGGCTGGAGTAAACAGGCAGTTTGAGCTGCCATGTGGACCTGGGATTCAAACCTGGGTCCTTCCCTCCCCCCAGGCATTTTCAAAATTAAGACATTTTTGGTTTACATTTATTACTGTATGGTTAATAGCTGTAGGGCTTGGAATTGAGAAATCAGGCTTTTCTACAGCTGTTCAAGTGTCCACATAACACAGATTGTTTCAACAAATAGAAGTGTTAGGCTGCTCGCTTCTGGGAACTTGCAGTACCTCTCCCTTTCTATAAGACAGTCTGTCACACAGCAAAAGTGTAAGATAGATCTTGAACATGCTTTTGAAATTTGGAATTAATTTTGTGGGTTTTCTTTTTTTGTTTTTTGTTTTGTTTTTTTTCAGTGTGAAAAAGAAGATGCAGCATGAAAATACCACACTTAAAGAGCTGAAGTTCCTGACACCAGTGCGACGGTCACGCCGTATTCAAGACAAGACCTCACAACTGCCAAATATGTTAAGAGACCACGAGCCTTCTGTGTCCTCGCTGGAACAGCTGTCTGAGCTGGGAGTGGATGCTTTTGTTTGCCGCCCCAATGCAGCCCTGTGCCCTCTGATTTCTGAGACTGACGCAGGGGAGAAGTAGTGCTGCGAGTGGGGGTGGCTGTAGTGTCCTGTGGTGTTTGTTTCCTACAACTTTATAACAGGTCTGAACTTGTCCGTAGGCCTAAGTATAATACAGGTAAACCTCGTTAGCATGTTTATTGTGTTTTCAAAATGTTAGCTTCTTCACTTCACTAATTACTTACAGAAAATGTAGTCTATATAAATTATATTTTTACCTTAACTTTGTTCTTAATATGTTTATAATAAATATATGTATGATGTTCCAATCATGTTTCATTAGTTGATTGGGTTATTTGTTGATGGAACTGACGTTAGGACCCTCCTACGGGGCTACAGTCAACTACCAGATGGCATTTATTTCAGCAAACATGTTATGGGGTCTCAGGGTGTGCTTCCAGAAGAGCACTTGCCTAATGTGCAAGGCCCTACATCCAGTCCTTTGCACCCCACAAATCCTTTGTGACACACCACTTAATCACAGTAACCGAATTTAGCTTTTGAAATACATTGCTAAATTTGTGTTTGTATAACTTATTTTTTTTTTAATTGTGATAAAATACCTGACAGAAACAAACGGGAGTTTTATCTTGACCGTTTCAGAGGACGGTCCACCATATTGAGAAAGGCATGGTGGGGGAAGGGAGAGAGGGGCGCTGCCCACACGGGGTGAACCCAGGGCATGTCTAACTCACAGTATAACTCGTGAGTGACATGCTTCTGCCAGCCTTCAACAGTGCCTCAGTCTGAACCACAGGCACTCTAAACACAAGCTTTAGGGACGATTCAGATTCAAACTGTACGCTCTGGGGATGCCCCAGGATTGAAAGCTTCATGTGGGCTGAGCATGCAGTGTATGCATGGGCTGAATGCTCAGCCCTGTCCTCATGCTTTGGTGTTACAGCTAGACCTGGTTCTCCACCACAGGCAATCTGTACCCCTCCCGTCTTTCCTCGGCATTTTCTCTTTCTTTTCTTACTACACTTTTGAGATTTATTCATTTTTATGTGCACGTATATCTGTGCACCACATGAGTAGAGGACCCACAGAAGCCAGAAGAGGGTGGGAGAGCCCCTGGGACTGGAGAGACAGACAATTGTGAGCTGCCATGTGGGAGATGGGAACTGAACCTGGGTCTGCTCTGCCCTCCAGGCATTTTCAGAATCAATACATTGTTGGATGTTAAGCCAGTGGTTGACACATTTAATCCCAGCAGAGGTGGCAGACCTGTGAGTTCCAGGCTGGTCTGGTCTTCACAGTGAAACCCTGTTTCCAAAACTGAAAAGATGGGGAGATAGCATGGTGAGCACTGCCAACAACTGTGGGTGATGCAGGGACGCTGACCGCAGCCACAGCGCAGAAAAGTCCCAGCGTCCACAGCGCTGAAGCTGAGGAAGCCTGAGCTAGAGTCCTCTCTCTTGAACACTAACTGACTTGCCAGTCCCGCTCGCTCAGCCTGCCTAACTGCCTCTTATTTCAGCAGTTGACTTCTAGGTCACACCATGGTTGTCAGGGGTAGTGGGTCACACATTTAGTCCCAGCAGACAATGACAAGAATGTGTCTTGAGAAACTGGACAGTCTCATGGCTCTTCACTGTCCCTTGCACTGGCAGTATTTGCTCTTTGACTTCGCTTACAGTTCCTCAGATACACACACACGCACACTGTTGTGGCCTTCCAGAGCAGCATTAGAAACAAAGAGGTTGCCAGGTAGGTAATAAAAAGTACTCTGGGGGCTGTGGTTTTGAAGCATGAGAAATTAAATAATTTGTATAATATATTTTACTTAACATGTATAAAGTACTGTAGCATCCACTCAGTGTAGAAATTATTAAATAGTTTGACATAGTTTGTGTTGTTGCTGTCTTTGAAGTCTTACAGTATTTACACCAGTCACCTTTAAAAGTGCCCCCACTGGGCCGGAGGGATGGCTTAGTGGCTAATTATGCTTGCCAGTTTTGACAGCTTCACATGGAAGGGGAGAACCAGCTCCTACAATTTGTTTCCTGACTCCATACACACATTGTGGTACCTGTACGCATGCACGCACACACAAAAATTACTTTTTAAAAAGAACTGTAAGTGCTTCTCGTACTTTGGAGGCCTAGGCAAGTGGATTCTTACAAGTTCAAGACCGTCCTGGGCTATCCAGTGAATTCTAGGATAACCTGCACTACAGAGCAAGAACTTTTCACAGTTGAAATAGATAAAATGCCAGCACTCAAGGACTAGGCTGTGGTACATTGCTTGCCTACTATTTGTGAGGCTCTGGGTTCTGTCCCCAGCACCATGAAAGTGAGAAGTCATGGTGACGGGTCTTAGCTACTTTGGAGTCTGGGACAGTATAACCACAGGTTTGATACCATCTCCGTATATAGCTAACGTAGACATGTGTCAAACTGGAAAAGGAAGTTGATAGCCCAAGCTACATACAATGGTGTTGGGATAATCTTTTTGTACACTATGTAAAGGCTGTCTTTGTATCATTCAAATGCTGATTTCTGTGCCTGGCAGAGGGCTGAGTACAGGCTGGACAGGTATTGTTATTTTTATTGGACCATCACCTGCCTTAACATTTTGTAAACATAGACCGCACTCACCTTCCCATTGATTTAATAAAAGAGCTGATGGCCTATAGCCGGGCAGGAGAGGAAAAGCGGGACAGACGTAGGAACTCTGGGGAAGAATTGATTAGTGAGGGGTTTGCCAGCATTGCACAGAAGTTGGACTTAACTGGGACTGAATGAGAGGTATCAGGCCACATGGCAAATGTGGACGAGAATAAAATTCGCGTTAATTAAGTTATACGAGCTAGTTGGGAAATAGTCTAAGCTATAATGCCTAAGCTTTCATAAAAAGTCTGTGTCATTTTTTGGGAGCTGGTGGGTCTAGACTGATAAGACATAAAGTGGTATGGACCCAGTTTCATTTCTTTCCCAGGAGTTTCCAACCTAGACATCAAGATGTGCTAGTTCAGGCATTGCCTCAGCACCCTCAACTCAGTTTTGTTTACTTGCATGTGTGAGTGTGTGTTTTGCTTCCATGCATGTGTATCTCTTACCTGTGTGCCTGGGGCCACACACCCTCAGAAGAGGGTGTCAGATTCTCAGGGGCTGGAATTTACTGACGGTTGTGAGCCATCATGTGGCTACTGGGAACCCAACCCACGTCCTCTGCAAGAGCAGCCAGTGCTCTTCTGAGCCATCTTTCCAAAGCTCATCTGGGAAACAAATGAGTTCACTAGGCTTCCTTACAGAACATAGGAATTATTGGGGGTGTGGGTACTTCTCCCCCAATCAGCCAGCTCTGGGAGGCCTTGCCCAGCTGGATTGGAGACTTAACCATAGCCACAGAGATGGAGCCCCTGCTCTGTAGTCTGTATCACTGACCCCTCCCCAGGCTCAGTGCGAGTTGCCAGGTGGCAGGGAGCACGCAGCTCGGTGCTCAGACAATCTGGAATCCCCAGTCTCTATGCCCTTCTATGGAAGGGGTGGCATCAGCAAGCTCAGCTGGGATGATCTTTCTCAAGCAGACCCTGACTCAGCACAGTTAACTTGAGCCAGCCTCTGTAGGTGAGATCATAGGGTGTCTCCGGAGGTGCACTCAGATAGGACTGTAATCTAGTAAAGTAAAACCATGAGTTACATACAGGGGTTAAGACAAATCTTGTACTATAAATGGAGGTTCTGGTGAGGGTCCTAGGAAATTGCAGGGAAAGGAGAAGGGCCATACCAGACGGTTGTCTTAGGGTTACTATTGCTGTAATGAAATACCATGATCAAAGCACTCAGGAAGGAAAGGGGTTATTTGGCTTTCATATCACTGTCCATCACCAATCAGGAGAGAAACTCAGGGAAGGAACCTGGCAGCAGGAGTTGATGCAAAGGCCAATAAGGAGTGTTACTTATTGGCTTGCTCCTCATGGCTTCCTCAACCTGCTTTCTTATAGAACGCAGGACCACCAGCCCATGGATGATCCCACTCACAACGGGCTGAGGCCTCTGCCATCGATCACTAAGAAAATGCCCTACATTTGGATCTTATGGAGGCATTTCCTCAACTGTGGGTCCCTCCTTTCAGATGACTCTATTGATTTATTGCTATTTTAACATGTCTATTTGAAACGCCCCTATATAAAGAGGATATTCTATGCTGGCAATCTTGATGGCAAATGTGCTAAAAGTTCCTTTTTTCTTTTTGTAAATATTTTTAGCTTTAAAATTTTTTTTATTACAGTTTATATACTTTATATCCCAGCGGTAGCCCCCTCCCTCGTCCCCTCCCAACCCCACCCTCCTTTCCTTATCTCCTCCCATACCTCTCCCCAAGTCCACTGATAGGGAAGGTCCTCCTCAAAAGTTCACTTTTTCATGTTAGCCCTTGGCTGGCCTGGAACTCACTTTGTAAATCAGCCTGGCTTGAACTCACAGACATTCAGAGTGCTGGGATTAAAGGGGTCCACCACCAAGCCCAGCCTGTACTGGAAGTTTTGACTGTCAGCAGGTGAGAGACTTCGACCAGACTCTTTAAGGAGGGGCTCCTTTCTTCCCATGCCCTCTTACTGTTCCCTTTCTGTCCTGCCTCACTTCTATACAGGGTCAAATTCCCTGCTTCCCTGCTGTGTGTTTTACTGTAGCCTGGTTGGTCGCCTCTGCCTAACATTTTGGAGATGTCTGGGTCTGGTGTCTCGTGATTTTAATTTCTCCCACAAACATTAGTTCCATCTGGGATCTGTAGGGAAGGGGAGAAGAGGAGGGTGAGGTCTTGCTAACAGAATGCTCTGGCTGCAGAGAACCAGACGTTTTCCTGAGACTATCTTGATATCATTGCTCAGCTGTTACCAGTCAGCCACATCTGTATCTTGGGGAGAAAACGGTTTCTTTAGACAGTTCTCAAGAGAGCCTGCTTTGCTAGGCCAAGCAGTTCCAAAAGAAAGTAGTAAATTTCCCAAGAAGGTCTCAATCTATGTGTAACCTCTGAATTTCCTCACACCAAAGCTCCTTGCCTACACCTATAAGACCCCCTGACCGGCTCCCTCCCCTTAGCACAACTTCCTTTCCTAGGGAAAGGCCCTTGTTGTGCTAATAAACACAGTCTCCTCTGTTGAGGTCACCTTTTGGCCTCTCTCCTGCCTTTTGTTCCTTTATTCTGCACCCCTAAATCTAACACTTGAGACACATAGCCTTTCCTTGCCTACTGGGAACTTCCATATAGAGCTAGAACAGGTTTCCCTCCAATCCTATATCTTCCTGCCTCAGCCTTCTGAGTGCTGGGGTTACAGACACGTACCACCAAGTCTTAATAACTTTTTACAATATAAGGGAAGAAATACACAGATTTCAGAATGGGATGTGGATTTCTTGGGGTGGCGGCATTATTTCGTTTTTCGCTTTTTTCAAGCTCATACAGTAAATGCTAGCAGTGTTGTCCCCGTGAAATTCACGTTTTTGGGCTGTCCGCCTAATCTGGATAACTCGAATTATCGGGGGCACCAGCTCAAAATGTTAACAGCGTCCTACCGCAAGGTGGCAAAACTGCTCCAGCGGGCCCAGCTACTTACAGAACTGCGCCTCGGGCCAGACCGATACAGTTTCCTCCGCCCACCGCTATAAGCACGCCCTACCCACCTCCAAGCTCCGCCCACCCCAGCCCCGCCCAGCGTCGCCGCCCGCGCCTTGGGACGGAGCAGATGCGCACCGCTGGGAGGTGGGTGAGGAGGACAGTACCGGCCAGCAGCTTCCGAGAAAGGAGTGGACAGGGCCTCTCCGCTACCCTAAGCCACCGGTCAGCGCCCGCCCGCTGCGGGTGACCCGGAAACTCGCGCTCAGCCGTGGTAGGCTGTGCGCCTGGGTCGCGGACCTCGGGGCGCGCATGCGCACCGTGGGCCTGCTCATGCAGGTAGGCTGAGCCGCGGCTGGAGAATGTATTCTTGGAGGAAAGAGTGGGTCTCTAGGACCTGTACCACCCTGGGATCGCTGCCTAAACCTTCTGGTCCAGACCCCGCCTCTGAGCACTTGCAAATCACTTTAGGCTCTAATATTTTTAATTTATTTTTATTTACTAGGCTCGTATTTGTTTATAAATAACGAGAAGGAACCGATCCTCTCTCGCCTCACCCAGTGTATTGAGGCCTGAATATCAGGCACCTGGAGAGTAAAAAGTACAATGTGATTTTCAGTCCAGGAAAGCCTGGTTGCTCATCAGATATTTTCAATAACATGGGTTAAAGTCCTTAAGCACCAGAACTGGGAAGATGGCTTTTGAAACCAGAGGCCACTTAAGACTGTGGTGAAGGACTTCGTTGTTTGCTTGTGGGGTTTTGGTTTTGTTTTCTCCTTTTGGCGCGGGGGAGGTTAGGGCAGGGTCCTCATTTGTAGCCGTGGCCGGCCTGGAACTCGCCACTGTGTGGACAGATTGACCTCCGACTCAGCAGGCTCGGGGCTATGTATGGTTCACCAACTTCCGCCTCCTTAGTGTTGTAGGTCTGTGACTTGTGCCTGGGTGTGTTCACATACCTCACGGCTGGAAACGATGCCGCTGCTTTGGTTGTCGGAGGATTTATTGCTGAAATCCCCTGGTAGACTGGAAAGCAAACTGGAAAACTGCGTATATTTGCTTGGTTGGTTTTTGATAGTGTCTCGCCATGTACCCCTGGCTGGCCTGGAACCCATGGGGATCATCTTGTCTCTGCCTCCCAAGTGCTAATGTTACAGGTGTTCACCCCTCCCCCCAACCCGCCCCCAGCTCCAGCCTGGAGGTTTTACAGGCCCTGTAGGATTTGATCCGTGGTATTTGCACTACCCTTCGTGCTTTGTATTTTACAACTTGTGTGTGGTTTAAACAAATAAAGGAAAACACAATTTCGTTTTGGGAAGAAGCGAGTAAGCTCATGCCAGTGTTTTTCCTGTGATGAAAAAAGTTTATGACCTCTCAGCCTCTCAGTGTGGTCCTCTTCCCCAGCTTCTCCCCCCTCATCTAGCCCAGCCAGCTGCCGCTAGACTTCCCAAAGATTGTAATTACAATCATAATTGCTTCTTGTGTAGCTATGTGTCCGCAAAAGTGTATTAAAAGGCCTGCTGCTTTTGAATGGAGACAAAACTGAAGTCAGAATGTGTTTAAATAGCCCCTTTGAGCCCTAAGTAACTCCAGCTCAGTTCATCTCTCTCCTGTGATTCACCGTACCCGGTCACAATCCATGCCAGAAAAGGCTTTTAAGATTCCTTAACTTTCTCTCTGACAATTAAGTATTACCATTATTCAGTTCTCACCACAACCCTGTCTCTTCCCTGTTTGTTCCCCATAAATCTGTTATTGAAGATAGGTTAATTGTTCTTCTGTTCTATTTTCCCCATGGCCATCACCTCATTGCATTTTATTATTTTTTCACCTCTTTCACTGCTGAGTCTCATTGTTGATCTGGTCCTCTATGCCTTTTCATCCAGTCCATTAAAGCTGTGACCTGGGGCTACACAGAGAAACCCTGTCTATAAAAAAATAATAATAATAAAGTGATTTTTTTTTTCTGCTATGCAGATATACGATGTTGTTCTCTAAAGCCTTTCAGAGACAGATCATTTATTATCCTGCAGATAAAAATCCAGGAGCAAAATCTGGCTTTCCCTACCAACCTGTTCAGCCTCATTTCAACTACTTATCTGAGTGTCTTTATCTTTTAAAACATATGATTCCTCTACCTTGATCATTCTTGTTCTCCTCTTTGCCCAACCCACTTAAAGCCATCCTTTCAGCCTTCCTGAATCCCCTGAGTAGTTCTGTTGAAAGCCAGCATAGCCCTTTCTATAGCTTTGCCTTTCTCTTTGTAGCCTTGGCTGTCCTGAATGCTTTGTAGACCAGGCTGGCCTGGGACTCACAGCAATCTACCTTCCTTTGCCTCTCTGAGTGCTGGGATTAAAAGCGTGTGCCGCCATGCCCGTCTCGGCAAATTAAACCTTTTTTTAAAAACATTATTTTTATTTCATGCACGTTGATGTTTTACCTGCATGTGTATCTGTGTGAGAGTGTCAGATCCCCTAGAACTGGAGTTACAGACAGTTGTGAGCTGCCATGTGGGTGCTGGGAATTGAACCCAGGTCCTCTGGAAGGGACAGGGTTCTGGTGAGAACTGAAGAAGCCAGTGTTCCTAATAACCAAACCATCTCTTCAGCCTGGCAAATTAAATCTTAAACAAAGTTTTCAACAGGATTTAAAAAGCGACTACAGCTACTTTGAATTAACTTTACATTTTAAAAGTATATTCCTAAATGATTTTGTCTTTTTAATATAGTGTGGGGGAGCCATCTTTGACTGCAGGAGTGAAGCCCAGCCGTGGATGTCCAGCATGGACGACTACAAAATCCTGAGAGTGATTGGCCAGGGCTCCTTCGGCAGGGCTCTTTTGGTTCTGCAAGAACGCAGTAATCAGACATTTGCCATGAAAGAAATAAGGCTTTTAGAGGTAACGGCTAACCAGAAACAGCTCACATTGAAAGTGGGCGTGCGACTTACAGACAGAGAAGTTTCCTGGTTTTTACCCTTCCCCTAAACATGTAATCAGTTTATTTGTGAGCTTTACAAAGGTTCTTTGGCTAGTAAAATTAACAGAGAAGTAGTCAAAATGTACTTATTAATCTCAGTGATAACAATTTCCAATTTTGTATATCAGCAGTGTGAAAAACCTGCTGGAAGTGGTCAGGTACAAGGTGAATGATGAAAGAACATAAAATGCAATGAAGACCAGGGCTTTAAAAAAAAAAATTATGGACCTCAGGCTCCATAGTACTTTCTTGATATTAAGTCATTTAAAATTTCATGCTTGTAGAATAAGTTTTGAGGTAATAGTTTGGGATATTTAATTTATCTTTGTCCATCTTTGCATATTGCTCATCTGTGCTGAGGGACTAGTTAAAGGATGCTTGTAGCCCTATTGGCACGAAAGCTTTGGTTTTCTTTGAGGGGATGGTGTTTTCAGTAGAATACTGGCTATCCTAGACAGCTGCTGTTCAGGAGGCTTGTTCTTGTGTTTGGTGGTGGTGGAGGTCAAGCCCCAGGCTGTGAGCATCGCTGAGCCACATCACCATCACAAGCACATATGAAAATTAGTTTGCATTCTATATGTGTAAGGGAAAAGTATGTATGTTCCAATGAAAGGCCAGGCCCAGCATGCAAAATAGCCATAATCAGAAAGTCACCACATTGTTTTAGAGTGTGACAGCTGGGGCAGAAGTAGATTCACAAACCTGCATGTGGCACTGAAGTCTCATTTAAATCTATACAAAATCTTAGTTTGAAGCTATATTGAATTTATAATTATTTAAGTTTTTTTTTTCCCCAGTCTTTCTCTGATACACAGAATTCTAGGAAAGAGGCAGTTCTGCTGGCTAAAATGAAACACCCCAATATTGTTGCCTTTAAGGAGTCATTTGAAGGTAAATATGAATCCTCCCAAATATACCTGAATTTAATTTGTAGCAGCTGTGACTTTCCTAAGGCTTCTCCTATGTGCTCTAGCTGAAGGGCATCTGTACATAGTGATGGAGTATTGTGACGGAGGGGATCTAATGCAGAGGATTAAACAGCAAAAAGGAATGTTGTTTCCTGAAGATACGGTAAGAAAGTGACTTACGTAGTTTCTAAGTTCAGAAGCAAATTTTCTCATAAGATTTGTATAAATTAAGGTTAAAGCATGGGCATCTGTAAATTACTGCCCTAGTGAGAGGCAGCTGGTTTCAGAGTCAGTGTTACTGACTGATTTCCTGACAATGTGTCTTAGTTATAGTTTCTTTGCTGTGATGAAACACCGTGACAAAAAAACAACTTGGGGAGGAAACAGTTTATTTGGCTCACATTTCCACATCACTGTTCATCACTGGAAGAAGTCAGAACAGGCACTCAGGCAGGGCAGGAAGCTGGAGGCAGGAGCTGATGCAGAGGCCATGGAAGGTGCTGCTTACTGGCTTGCTCCTCAGGGCTTGCTCAGCCTGCTTTTCTATAGAACCCAGGACCACCCACCCGGAGGTGGCACCTCCCACAGTGGGATAGGCCTTTCCACCATCAATCGGTAATTAAGAAAATGCTCTATAGGCTTGCCGACAGCCCAGTCTTATCTGAGCATTTTCTTAGTTGGGGTTCCCTCCTCTCAGATGAGTCCAGCCTGTGTCAAGTTGACATAAAATAATTAGTCAGCACACTATGGCTTCCTGAAATGGTTGTTTGGTTCTTTGAGATGGTCCCACCCTGCAGTCCAGCCTGGCCTGGCAGTCAGTAGGTTATAGGCCAGGCTGGCCTCGAATTCTTGCCAATGTCCTGCCTTAGCCCCCAGAGTGTTTGTGAATACCCTCATGCCTGGCTGAGATGTTCTTATGAAGTAAATAGTGGGACAGGAGTGGTCACATATACCTTTAATCCCAGCACTCAGAAGGTAGGGGCAGGTGAATGGAAGGCAGCCAGTTCCAGGTCAGCCAGTTCCAGGGTGAGAATCTGTCTGAAAAAGAAAAAGAAGAAAATATAAAATTAATAAGAAATACTTAGAGATGGAGATGTAGCTGATTGGCAGTTCATTTACCTAGCATTCACAGAGTCCTGGGTTCCACATCCTTGGCTACATAGCAAGTTTGAGACCAGTCTGCTTCCTCACATCCCACCACAACAAAAAAGAAACTAATATTCAGTTGAAAAAAAGAAAATATGGGAGACATTTCATTAAAATACACATCTGGGTCATACATAAGATGACAAAACAAGGGAATCAGGTTTCTGAACCTCTCAACGTAAAACTGAATTTTAGTTAAACTGTATTTTTATTGAGTTCAGAATTCACTTTTAAAATCCTGGTAAAATAAAGCCTAGAGATGATTCTTTAGAATTTGGCTCGACATCAGCTAGTTATTGCATCTTTGCAGGTGTTGTATACTTTTTCATTTTAAAATATTTTTATTCATTCTTTTAGAATTTTATTCAGCATGATTTGGTCATGTTTACCTGATTCCTCCCCCCTAAATTTTTCCCCCTAAATTTTTTGCATACTATTTTCCTACAGATACTGAATTGGTTTATACAGATTTGTCTCGGGGTAAATCACATTCACAGGAAACGTGTGTTACACAGAGACATCAAGTCCCAGGTGAGTGCAAGGCATTTTAGGGTCTAGGGGGGAGAAAGAAAACTATTTTATTGTCTTTTTTCCTGTTATTAGTTTCTTTTGCAGCATTCTGTTTAGTTTAGTTTAGAAAATGTTTACCAGTCTAACTTTTTTTTTTATATTTACTCTTTTAATTAAAAATATTTAGCCAGGCATGGTGGTACACTCCTTTAATTCTCTATCACTCAGGAGGCAGAGACAGGCAGATTTCTGAGTCTGAGGCTGTCCTGGTCTACAGAGTGAGTTCCAGGACAGCCAGGGCTGCATAGAGAAACCATATCTTGAAAAACAAAACAACACAACAACAAAAACTCCTCGCCTTATTGGGGTAAATTTTATATATTTATAATATACATGTGTATATATTTATATAGCTATAGTATACAATATGCTTTTTAATACACAAAGCATACATTTGTAACATGATCAAGTCATGTTAATTGATGTATCTATAGTCTCGTTTACTTTTTTAGATTTATTTTTATTATTTTAAGTGCGTGTGTGCGTGTGCGTGTGTGTGTGTGTGTGTGTGTGTGTGTGTAATGAGTGTACCTACGTTCATGAGGGATTGCAGATACCCAAGAAGGCGTAGGCTTTTCGTCCCCTGGAGCTGGAGTTACAGATGGTTGTGAGCCACCTGACAAGTGTGCTGGGAACTAAACTCGGGTCCTCTGAAGACAAGTGCTCTTAGCCGCTGAGCCATCTCTCTAGTTCCCTCCCCTTCTTTTAGTTAACCCTAAAGTACTTTTTAACCACTGGAACATTTAACAGCTACTCTTTGACCAGACTTAGTAGCACCTGCCTGTGAACCCAGTTCCTAGGAGGCCGAGGTAGGAGGACTTCTAATTTGAGGCCAGCATAGACCTCCTAAGTTCATACACATTAAATAAATAAAATCTATTCTTTCTCAAGAATATCCTATACTAACTGTGGTCACCATGATGTACAATAGATTTTTTTGTTGTTTATTGGTTTTAAGACCGGGTCTCACTACCTAGTCCTGGCTGTCCTAGAACTCACTCTGTAGACCAGCCTGGCTTCTAACTCCAAAAGATCTACCTATCTCTGCCTCCATTTAAAGATGTGTGCCATCATATCAGCTGTATAGTAGATATTAAGGACTTATTCATCCTATGTAAAACTTTATACCTTTTGACCTAGAACTTATACTGTCTAAATAGATTACTATGTGTAAAAAAGGAGTTAAAAATCTCTCTTGAAGTGTATGTGAATGTAGCCTCTTTAATGCCCTCTGAATGAATGCGTGTCTTTTTGAGTGGAAAGCAGCCGACACCTGCACCAGCCATTTGAGTCAGCCTGACACAGGCTCCTACTGCTCAGATCTGATACTGCCTGACATTTGCATCTTAGGCCTCAAAGCAGGCATCCCGAATCTCCAGGCAGGGGAATGTGTAGCTGTTTTAAGAGGGCTTCTTGCTATTTTATCATTCTCTTCTGGGACCCACCTATCAGATTTCTACCCTTATTTCCACCATCAGCAGGTGTTAAAAAGCTGCTCTAGAGACTGCTGCCTGAGGTGGGGTGATCAGGACTTAGTCTGCCTGGGGCCTCCCTGGTGGGGGTTGGGGGAGTTGGGGATCAGGTGATTGAGGCCCCCAAAGGAGATAAGGGGAGGGAAGAGTGGGTCTGGTGATGGTTAGAAGAATCTCGAAGCTCTGAGTGACTAGCAACCAAGTGCTTCTTTATTTATGCAGGTTTCACAGAACAAAGACAGACTAGTGATTATCCAGGAAGTACAGATTGTGTGTTGGATTTTTTATTACATGTCTAGGGTTACAAGTTTAGTTACAATTAGAAAAAAACAACAGAACAGAATTTATTTTTTTTAATCAGCCCTATAACTCCAATGTAAATAATCTAAAGAATGTCTTCTCCAAAGCAAACACATTTACTATTTGACAGCCTGCTTTTATGCTGGCAGTGTTTGTAGTTAAGTACCACAGAGCACTGCAGACAAACAGAAAATATCTGAGCTGTTTTTTCTTTTTTATGATTAGCAAATACTATACCTAACTTTTTCTACTATATGTTTCATCATCTCCATTATAAAGTAGGAAAATACCTGTCTTGTATTCTGAGTTCTATTCCTCCAGGGGTGTACCCTATGTAACTCCCTATTTCTAACCTGTGTTTTCAGAGAGCTCCAAGCATATGATGAAAACAGGCCTTGAGTCTGTAACCTGTTCCCCTGGCCAGTCTGAGTTTGTCAATTGTCTGAGTTTACCCGGCACCAGTTATGCTGCTTGAGTTTGCTCAGGGGCAGATGCCACATGAAGATTCCTGGGGTAACGGCCTCATCTAGCCATGTGCTTATCTGTGCTTAATGATCTCCAGGGCATAAGGAAAACTTTGAAATAGTGACAGATAAAGTTAATTTTAGGATTTTTCCTAAAAAAGACTCAGACATAATTTTCTCAGGAAAAGACATAAAATGAATCATAGTGCAGAAAGTCCCCAAGAATGCAACACGCAGAGACCAAAACCCAGAAGTTAGAGATAGGATGACAGCAATTGCAGCATTTGGCTCAGCTTTGCTGAAACTGTCCAGCAGCTGTGCCGGCTTCATGACTCTCGCTGTTTCCAGTGGATATGGCAATGCCAATAATCTGTGTTCTTTTCAATGCAGAATGTCTTCCTCACCCAAAATGGAAAAGTGAAATTGGGAGATTTTGGCTCTGCCCGTCTTCTCTCCAGGTATGTATCTTTCCTACGTAGTGATAGAGATCAGAAGAGCCATTTTCAGAAGAGCTTTGGACTCACTTTGCCTGTCTGTGGTTTCAGTCCCATGGCCTTTGCATGCACATACGTGGGAACACCTTATTATGTGCCTCCAGAAATCTGGGAAAACCTGCCTTATAACAATAAAAGGTAAGCTGTATCCTTGTTTGCATAAGTTGGTGTTTTGACAGGAGGGCCTCTGGCTTGCAAACTGGTGCTGGAATCTGGTGCAGACACAAGGAGCTCATCTGCTTTAAAATTTTATTTGTTATTTGTATGAATGAGTGTGTGTGTGTGTGTGTGTGTGTGTACATACATGTGCCATGCTCTAAGTATGAGATCAGAGGACAGTCTTTTGGAAGTTCCTTCTTTCACCTGTTGAAGGAGGTCCGTGTATTTTGTTGTTTCTGCTGCTGCAGTGCACACTCCGGGCCAGCTGGGCCTCAGGCTTCAGCCATTGCTACATTTCACTTCCCGTCCGAGGTAGGAGTGTTGACTGACATTACAGATCTATGCATCTGGCTTTTTCCCCTTGCATTTTTTCATGTGTACCTGAACAAAATTGGGTGGTCAGGCTGTGGGGCAGGTGTTACTACCTGCCGAGCCACCTTCCCAGCTCTATTTTCTAAAAATATGCTTGAGGCCATGCTGTATGCAGCTCATGAGTAGAATATTTTTCCTGGAACATGTCTATATGTCTTTCATTTGATTACCAATGTCACTGACATAAAATGGCATATATATATAATATGTGTATATATATATATATATATATATACACATTAAAAAAAAGTTTTTTAATCATGGAATCTGTATGCTTGGTCAGCTAGAGCCCAACCTTCCTAATGCTGTGACCCTTTAATACAGTTCCTCATGTTGGGTGACCCCCAACCAGAAAATTATTTTTCATTGCTACATCACAACTGTAATTTTGCTACTGTTGGGAATTGTAGTGTAAATATTTTTGGAGACAAAGGTTTGACAGCAGGGTTGGGAGCCATAGGTTGAGAACCGCTGGTTTAGAGGCAGGCATGGTTTTGTAACCGTTGTACTCATAGCTGTGAGAAGCTGGATGCCGAAAGAAGGGCCAGTGGTGTCTAAGGGTGGTCTGAATTTCATACCTGGTTCCAGACTCTGCTGCTCATGCCTTTGAGAATCCCCTGCATCCTTCCATCAAATTAGAGCATCAGGGATGGGAAGCAGACAGTCAAGGTTTTCAATTTCTCTGGGAGGTTCCATACACAGCCACATTTGGAAAGCACTAAGTTGTTTTGTAGGCATAAGGTTATTGTGTAATTCAGATGCTGATTTCTGTACCCCTCATATCGGGTGGCAGTCCTTGTTCTGAGAATCTGTCTCAGTGTTGTGTAAACACTGCTTTCCAGTCGTCCCCTGATGTTCCAATAAGCAGTTTACAGCCAGTCTCTGAGGAGGGGTGAGAATAGGGCTGGACTTCTGGTGAGCTAGGGTAGGAGGAGTCAGGGGAGAAGGAAGGGGATTGAGCCAGGTGGAAGTGATATCAGGGGAGGTGCTGGAGCAGGAAAGCTACAAAGTGCAAGAAGCATCCTCGGGAGTACGCTGGGAAGAAGCCAGATTAGAGCGTTAAAAATAGATTCATAATTGGCACAGTTCTTGTGCTGTGAGGCTTGTTAATATAATAATCTCGATTATTTGTGTGATAGCTGGGATAAGAGAGAAACTAAGAGACAAACAAAATTTTATAAAAATAACGTACATTGTTTCAGGTCACTACAGGGGCCACCTAAGCACTGGGTTGATGAATTATCTGGTTGATAACCTTATGACAAGCTTATGGTTTAAATATATATGTTATACTGTAAAGACTATGGCAGCACTTCCTCCAGTCCAAGAAGTGTCACACCATGGAGGCTGCTGAGTTCTGTCCTTGCACCCAGTGCCTTCTCCCTGCTTCCGAGAGTCACTGTTCCCAGCTATGCCTTCGTTCTCATGCATGTTGTTCTGGCTGGTTTTCTGGCAGCTTGACACAAGCCAGTCATTTCGAAACAGGCAACCTCAGCTGAAAAAACTTTCCCACCAAACTGATCTGTGGGCAAGCCTGCCTTGCATTTTCTTGACTGAAGATTGGTGTGGGAGGGCCCAGCTTACTATGGGTGGAGCCATCTCTGGGCTGGAAGACCTGAGTGCACAAAGAAAGCAAACTGAGCGAGCCACAGGGGGAGCAAGCCAGTAAGCAGCACCCCTCTGTGGCCTCTGCCTTCAGGTTCCTGCCCTGTTTCATTTCTTGCCTTCACTTCTCTCAGTGATGGACTGTTACCAGGAAGTGTAAGATGAAATAAACCCTTTCCTCTACCCTCAAAAAAATGTAACATACACACACACACACACACACACACACACACACACACACACTTCTCAGAATGGATGAGCAGGGCTGAGTAGAAATGGAGGCAGAGAGGGGAGGGAGGGTGGGATCGGCAGGGGAGGAGGGAGGGGCTTATGGGGGATACAAAATGAATAAAGTGTAAATAATAAAAAATTATAAAAAAAAATGGAGGCAGTGGCAGGACTTGGATTTGGGGATTTAATTCAGAAGTAGAAGAGTGTGCATTGCCCCAGTTTGCTTCCCCAGTGCTGGAAAGTAAAACAAAACAAAACAAACAAACAAAAAAGAAAATAATGAGAGGAAAAGGGAAGAGATGAGGGGGAGAGAGAGAAATCACTTCTTAATTTTTCTTTGAATTTATCTCTAAAATTTTCATTTATGGGGGCTGGAGCGATAGCTCAGGTGTTAAAAGAGCTGTCTGCTCTTCCAAAGGACCCGGGTTCAATTCCCAGCACCCACATGGCAGCTCATAACTGTCTGTAACCCCAGTTCCAGGGGATCTGACACATTTACCCTAATGCATAGAAAAAATTAAATAAGTTTTTGAAAAATTATTTTATGTGTAAGGATGTATTGCCTGCATGTATGTCTGTATACCACGTGTGCGTGTGGTGCCCACAGAGGCCAGAAAAGAGTGATCTTGTGGAGTTACAGACTGTTGTGAGTCACTTTGTGGGTACTGGGAATCGAACCCCAATCCTCTGGAAGAGCAGCCAGTGTTCTTAGCCACTGAGACGTTGTTCCAGACCCTTGGAAATCCCCTGACAACAGAGTTCTAATACTATTTAATTGAGATTTACCAGTTTCATTTATTGTTTTTTTTTCACTTATATTGTTTCATATTCATTTCTTTACACAGTAATATATACATATTTCTGTGTGTGTGTGTGTGTGTGTGTGTGTGTGTGTGTGTGTGTGTGTGTGTGTGAGTGTGTGGTGCATGTGTGTTTGTGCATATCTGGACAAGACAAACTTGGGTATCGTCCCTCAGACACTATCTTCCTTTTTATTGAGATGGGTGTTAAAAGTTGTTTTAAAATTTAAAATTGTATTGCAGTTTGTCTCTTAACTTGGCCAGCACCCAAATAATTGAGACTGGACTATTACATTTATTTAACAAGCTTTACTGCACAAGAACTGAGCAGCATTAATCTATTTTGATCCTCTAAACTAATCTGCCTTCCTCCCAGCATAAATCCCCAGATCCTTGTACTTTATGGCTTTCTTTGCTTTCTCTCTCTCCTGAGGTCCCTGAGGTCTCTCTCCTGAGGAACCTTTCCTCCTGGCTAAAATCTCACTTCCTCTTCCTTTCATCTCCTTCCCTGGCTGGCAGGAAGTCCAGTCCTGTTATCTCTCATGCTCAGTCATTGGCTGTCAGGCCCCTATTGACATATCAGGGATCAAGTGGGGGCAAAGTTTAGACAGGAGGGTCTCAGAACAAGGATTGCAAGCAGATAAAGGGGAGGTACACAGAAGGCAGCAGCGTTTGAGTCTATACAGCGTACAACATCATTAAGCCTACAGACAGGGTTTCTTATTGCCTTGGAACTCACCAGGAAGTGAGGGGTTTTTTTTAACTTTTTTCTTTTTTTATTATAATTTTTATTTTTTTATATTAATCACAGGTTATTTATTTTGTATCCCAGCCGCAGCCCCCTCCCTCATTTCCTCCCAGTCCCACCCTTCCTCCCTCATCTCCTCCCTAGGAAGTGAGTTTTAAAATTATTTTTTGTATATTTTATTTTTGGCAATAACATAATTACATTCTTTCCCCTTCCCTTTCATCCCTCCAAACTCTCCCATATAGGCTTCCTTGCTCCTTTTCATTAAATGTTGCATGCATATATACGCTCATATATATGTATGTGTATATTCTCTATGATATGAACTCACATCTGGAGATTTGGAGCTAGGAGCCTCTGATGAGAGGGAACTTGTGACATTTGTCTTTCTGGGTCTGGGTTACCACCATATCTTTTCTAGTTTAATCTATTTATGTGCAACTTCATGATTTCATTTTTCTTTACAGCTGAATACTGTTCTGTAGTGTATAAGTGCTACTTTTTCATTGATTGAAATTTGTTCATTGGTTGAAGGACATTTAGGCTGCCTCCATTCCCTAGCTATCGTGAATAGCACAGCAATGAACGTAGCTGAATAAGTATCTGGGGAGCAGGATTTCCAGTCCTTGGAACATATACCAAGGAGCAGCATAGCTAGGTCATATGGCCTATCACCTTGTACCCGAACAAACTGAATGTGAAACCTGCAACACTGAAACTACTAGAAAAAAAAAAAAAAAAACAAAAACAAAAAAGAGGCAGTGCCCTACACGATAAAGGTAGAGGTGAGGATTTTCTGAATAGGTCCACTTGTCCAAGAATTAAGGCCAACAATTGACTAGTGGGACTTCATAAAAGTAAAAGCTTCTGTACAGATTAAGAAACAATCAACCAGGTGAGGAAGCTCACAGAATGAGAGACAGTCTTTCCAAGTTATACATCTGACAGAGGATTAACATCCAGAATATATACAGAACTCAAAAAACAAAAAAACAAAAACCCACCCTTTCCATAAATGGGCCTGGAAACTGAAGATTGATCACAAGATCAAGTTGATCCTGTGTCCTGCCATATTCCTGAATTTATCTTTCTAGACATTTTCAGGTAGAAATATTGAGATCCCTAATGTACAGTGTCATGTCAACCCGCAAAAGGAATAGTTTGGGTATTTCTGGGTGGAGAGGTTGGACATGGCATGGGAGAGGCTTTTTAGCTGGTGCAGGCAGTGTGTGTCCTGGAGGAAGCTTAGAGGTTTGTTGCTGTGCAGGCGGGCGTGGGCAGAGTGGCCCGGGGCATTGATTGTGAGACCAGGCTAGACCTGGAGGGTCATCATAGGTTATTGTAAAATGAGAACCAATGAGATGGTCAGGGGGTGGAGTGTTTGCCAACAAGCTTGTTGACCTGAGTTCAACCTCCAGGACACACACGGTGGAAGAAGAGAACAGACTCCTGCACATTGTCCTCTGACCTCCGTATTAACCCTGTGGCCCACGTGTGTGCTCGTATATTTATTTGTATATGTATATACACACATACATATGTATGCATACATATGTAAATTGAATGTATTAAAAGAAAAGAAAATGCGTGTTTTGCCATGATAACCCATAACATAGCTGTTGCTATGCTGTCTCTTCATGCTTCTAGTGACATCTGGTCCTTGGGGTGTATTCTGTATGAACTCTGCGCGCTGAAGCATCCAGTAAGTATGGTGCCAGACCAAAAGGCCACTTGTCGTTTCCTGCAAAGGTCTGATGGATGTGCCAGATTCTAACTAAGAGTCACTTTCCCAGGAAGAATTTGTTTTAAAAGTTTCCATTTGTTCCCATTGTTATCTTTGTGTTGAGCCATTCTGTAGTTCTGTGCCAATATGTGTTTATTAGATGCTGTGATTCTGTATGTAGCTGCTCCTCCTCTTCTTCTTTGAAAAAAAAAAATAACACAATATTTGCCATTCAAACTTTTTAAGTTCATAATTCAGTGGAATGAATAATTACCATGATATTCATTAATTACATTTATGATATTCATTGATTATATTAACAGCATTCATTAACTAAATTATGGTATTCGTTAATTACAATAATTACACTCATGATGTTATGTCCTACATTACTGTTCATTTGCAGGGCTTTTCCATCACACAAACCGGAAACTCTTTACTTAGAAAATCACTGCTCTACATCCCTTTGTCCCCTAGCTTATGATAACTTCCGATCATTCTGTCTCTGTGAACAGAATATATGTTTCATGTAATACAATTCTATAGTACTTGTCATTATATTTTTTAAGATTCATTTATTTTATGTATATGACTGTTTTGCTTGTGTATATGTGGGCCACATGCATGCCTGGTGCTCAGGGAAGTCAGAAGAGGGTGTTAGATAGCCTAGAACTGGAATTATGGATGGTTGTGAACCACCATATGGGCACTGGGAATTAAACCTGGGTCCTCTGCAAGAACAAGTGCTCTTAGCCTCTGAGACATCTCTCCAGCCCCAATTTGTCCTTTTTGCTTGGTTCTCTAGACTTTCTATATTGTAGCATGTGTCAGAATCCTATTTCTTTTTACAACTGAGTAATAGTCCATTGTATATACGCACTGCTTTGCTTACGGACTTGTTCATGGTATTTGGGTTGTTTCTGTGTTCTTTCTATTGTAAATAATGTTGCTGTGAACATAAGCAAATGTCCTTAAAGACATCTTTTGAAGGAAAGGGACCCAACAGCAGGTTCCCCTCCAAAAAGGAATTAACTTATGAAAATACGAATTTATGTCAGCGGCTGACAGTTCCTATTTTATTTCCTTCCCTTGTATCTGATTTTAAAGTGTCATTTTTTTAACCTTTCAGTTTCAGGCAAATAGTTGGAAGAACCTCATCCTGAAGATATGTCAGGGGCCCATCCACCCTCTGCCAGCCCTGTATTCCTATAAGCTCCAGTGTCTTGTCAAGCAGATGTTGAAGAGGAACCCCTCACATCGTCCCTCTGCCACGACCCTGCTCTGCAGAGGCAGTCTGGCTCCACTCGTCCTGAAGTGCCTGCCCCCTCAGGTGGGACGAGAGTGCCTTTCATGGGCTCTAGCATGGTAACATGTCTTTACACTTATCTGGAGGTGGGCATGGGCATCCCACGATGAACATGGAGATGTCAGGACAGCTTAGCTCTCCTCCCGTCCTTCATTGGGTTCAGGGATGAAACTCAGGTTAGCAAGCTTGGCGGCAGCAACTGCTTTTAGCCATCAAGTCATCTCTCCGGCCCTGAAGTGGTTGATCTTTCAAGTGTAATTTCCTTATTACCCACCCTTATAGAAGCTCACATAATTCAGAAGTGCACTTAAAATGGCTCCACTCCCTTTTCCTCTTCTTCCTCCTGCTGCTGTCCCCCAGGAACGGTCACACTTTTCATACTGGAGTTGAGCCTAGAGCTTCAGGTGTGGTGGGCAGAGCCTAGCGCTCACCACGGCTTCAGTCTGCTGCTCCCTCCAGATCTGTTTCTAGGCAAACAACCATCCACGTTTCTCTCACTGTTTAAGTTATAATGTTATTTGACTTCTTTTTTTTGCTAAGGCTCCAACTTGGGCTGTGGATTTTGGGTTGACACTGGCTTCAGGTTGGCAGGCCTGCTTCAGCCTCCACACAGCTAGGATTACACTCGTCTCCTTACATTTACTCTCACATGGCATTTCTGTTTTTCAGCTTTAAGTGATCTTGTGTTGAAGAGCATTGATAATTATATGACACTATGGCAGTGTCGAAGGGAGAATGTCTTTCTTTAGCCGGGTCTGGCTGTGCTGGCTAGTAATCCCCACTGTGTTGGCTGAGGCAGGGTGATCATAAGTTCTGGGCCTGCTTGGGGTATAAAAAAGGTTTTTCACATTTTTAAATTCTCAACTTCAAATTCCAGGTCATCAGAGAGTATGGAGAACAGGTATTAGATGAAATCAAAGTATCTGAGCCTAAGAAAACGAAAAAAAGGGGTAAGTAGTTTGGGAGCTTATGTTTTTTTTTTTTTTTTTCAAGTATCTTTTAAAAAGTCTCTCTTGGACTTGTCACCTTAAGCTTTTTCAAAGCATTTTTAAAATTTTCTTTTGAATCACTGACTTCCTTCTGAAGAAGTCCAACGGAGATAATAGATATGAGAAGAATAGCAAATCTAAATCATTCCCTGCCGGGGCACTGTGCATAACCGACCGTGTGTGGGTCCCGTGTCATTGAACTGTCCTCATAGATCATTTGTGGAAGCAGTTTGTTTACTTTTCTGGGACAGGTTGAAGGGCTACAGTGGTGACGAGCCAGGAACTGTGGACAAAACTCAAAACATGTGTGTCCAGTGTTACACACTGTTAGGATATAGCCTAAGTTTACAGTTCAGCATCTTCAATGTCACTCAGGAGGCGGCCACTTACTTTGCTTTACAAGTTTGATCTCATGACAGTTTTGTCTCTGGTGCTATTTTGTAGCTTTTGTTCACTTACCAGGGTAGTAGGAAATGGAGCAAAGAAAGCACTAGGACAAGTTTCAACATAGTTTGGAAAAACGTAGCTTTATAATTTCACATATATGTGTAGATCTAGACCTAGACCTAGATCATATAGAGAGAGGGTTACAGAAGTTATCATCAGAGCTTTTCCCAGGTGGCCCTAACAAGCTTGGTTCAGCCACCTGTCCTCAGTGAGCCAATTAAAGACAGCAGTTAAAAGCCAAGGGGGGTCTGTTCAGTGTGTCCACCTCGGGAAGATATCAAAGAGGACTCGTGACACCCACTGTGGGATCCATGCTCCAATGCCAGGGAAAGAGAAGTGTTCCCCGAAGCCAGCAACTTAAAGAGAAGGCAGCTGTAGGCAGACAGGACTCACTTCATTCACTGGTACACGGGCCACAAAGACGTCAGATGCTTGCAAGCACCCATGGGACGCGCACAGGTGGACACATGGATCAGCTCACACAGGCTGACAAGGTGAGGGCTCTTTGCTTCTGACATCAAGGCCATGTTTGTACAGAATCACAAGAGAGTGGCATTCTGCCGAGTGTAATTATAAATTGCAAGACTGTCACTTTTGGGTTCCCCGAACATCTGGTATCGGGTGCTTATTTCTGACTCATAGCCCCCAGATGTCCAGTTTTAGCCATCTTGGTCTGTGACAGATCTCCATCTCAGTACCATGTTGTCTAAATGTAAAGTGGCTTGTATAGCCTTCTGTTCCCTTCATGCACACATGCCCCTGCCCTCCTTCCAGGGGCCTGACGTGAGGTTCATGTTACAACTTGCAAGGGATATATGTATGCATGACTGAGTGTCCTGGTCACATCATTGCCTTTGCTTCAGTCTCTCTGTTGTTGGAACCCTTTCCAGGAGACAAGCTCCCCTCCAGCTGCTCCAGGCTTCAGTCTTTCCCCTCTTCTGAGACTGAGGAAATGCCAGTTCCTACAGGATGCCAGTGGTTTGGTAGCCAAAGATAGGAACATAAATATGTCTTTGAAGCGTCTTCATTGACAAGAATAGAGGAGTTAGTGAAATGCCACCAGATGGGACCATTTAATCTCTAGATAGTGAGATCAGAACAGGGAAATCAGCACGAAGATAGTGATTGTCTGTGATGTGCTTACTCGAGTGTTTTCATTGCCTGTCCTCACAGGCATTCAGTAGCAATTTCTAGGATATTGAACAAAGCTGGGCATGATGGCATTTGCCTTTAATCCTAGCACTTTGGAGTGAGGCAGGAGGATCACTCTTAAGTGTCAGGCCCTCCTAATCTACATAATGAGTTCTTTGCTACATAGTGAAACCCTGCTTCATAAAACAAAACAGACAACAAAAACACAAATCAATAAAATACGGGGTACAGTCGTGGGAGTGAGGACTTCTCTTATCTTCTCAGGTAAACATGACTTTATGTAAGATCTTAACGTTATGAATAAAACAATATAGGTTGTACTTTTAATATCTGGAGAATATTGCCAAACGTTAGAAGCTTGATACCCCTTCAGGTTAATGCTGTAGCCAGCTATCTTTAAAATCCTTATTTGTCAGCCACCAGTAATGCCAGTGTTCGGGAGGCCAAGGAAGGAGGATCAGAGTTGAAAGGTAGCCTGGGCTACATAGTGGGGTCCTTTCTCAAAACACAACGGGAGGGTGGGGGAAACCCTGTTAGGGTTTAATAAGCTGAGCCTTCCTGTCTTTCCCCCCACCATCTCTTTCTAAGCAGACCCCAGCAGAGGCAGGATAGCCCTGGGAGATGAAGCAAACGCCATGGTAAGTGCTTTAACTGAGTTTGTGAAGCATGCATCTGGAGAGCATCAGGTGTGCTGATGTGTGGCTTTAAAGATTCGGCCTCACCCTCCAGCTAAGTGGTCCTTCACCTTGTGGCTCCGGAAGCATCAAGGAGCTGTGCCCTGCACTGCCTGATAAGCTCCTCAGGGCTTCATTTATTCATTGTTTCCATTTTTAATTACCGATGCCAGTGGCATCAATACAGATAAGACAGAACTCAGTCCGAGCTTGGCTTTTTTGTTTTGTTTTGCTTTCATTGTGATAAAATATGCATAACCAAACAGTTTGCCATTTTAGCAACTTATTTGTTTTGAGACTGTTTTGTACCTTTCCCCTTGCTGTGACAGAGAACCTGACAAAGGCAACCAAAGGAAGGAGGGGTTGGCTGTGGCTCATTTGAGGGTGCTGACCATCCCAGCAGGGAACGTGTGGTGGACACAGGACAGCAGGAGTGTGAGGTGCAGGAGGCAGAGAGCTGGGCCTGCTTTCTCCTTTTAGTCATTTTCCACATCAGCCCAAGGGGTGGCACCACCCACAGTGGGCTAGGCCCTCCCCCAAATTACTGATTAAGAAAATGTCCCACAGCAGGATCTCACGAAGGCATTTTTCTCAGTTGAGGCTCCTAATGTGCTCCGATGACTCTAGCTTGTGTCAAGTTGACATAAACTAGCCGTCACAGGACTCATGCAGGGCTTTGTGCCTGAGTTGTCTTAATACATTAGGTTTCCAGGGTTCATCCATGTTGGAGCACGTACCAGAATTTTATCCCTATTTTCCTCAAGTAACACTTAGATCACTGTTTGACCTTGACATTTTTCTGTTCAAAAGTTTGTAGTCCCTCTTAAGCGATCCTGTGAATCACCCCAAAGACAAATATATAGCTGTCCGGGCCTGTTAGAGGTAAGCAAGTACTTGCTGGGATGTAAATATTTGTTCACCAGGATTGGCCAGCCATTAGCCCATCACCAAAGAACGTGCCTCTGACAGGCAGCTCAAGGGGGCAGCATGGGGTCACAGCCAGTGTTAAGTCCTGGCCTGCCTGAAGAAAAGTGTAATTCTGCCAGGAGGACAAGATGAACTGGGATAACAATTATTTGAAAAGAACCACACTGTGCACTGAAGAATTAATCCTGTCACTATCTCTGCTGTGTCAGTCTCCCGTCTGCCCAAGTGGCCAGACATGAAATCTCCTGTCTGTTTAAATTGTTCAAGTGTAACCTGGGGCTGGGGCCTGAGGAGACTTAAGAATGACAGCAATGTAAAATACACAAGTCTGAGGTGTATATAAGCTATTGAGATTTTCAATTCAAGGACAGCTCTTCCCTGGGCGTTAGCCAGAAGCCAGACAAAAGCTATTAAAGAGATTTTCCTTCATCGGTCTCTAATTGGGCGGGGTGATTCCTCACTGGGAGGGCAGGTTATTTCTATAACTACAGGCAGCATTACCAGTACAGACGACAAAACCAACAGTCGCTGTGATGTAAGACCCAGTTTTGTTTGGTGATGGACTTTCTGCCCTTGCAACTTCTGTTAGCATGCAGGGGGGGAGCTGCAGGAAAGAGCTGTGTCCTTGACTGTAATTCAGTATGATTGTTGGGGGTTAAAATCATAACTCATTCTTTCTCCACTTGTTACAAATACAGAAACCATAACTAAGCTTCATTTTTCCTTAAGAATTTACGTTCATTTACAGTTGGCATTCTCTGAGTGTTTGTATTTGTTTAGGGTTATCTTTCTGCTGCTTCTTTTTTCTTTTTCTTTTTCTTTTTTCTTTTTTTTTGTTTTTTGTTTTTTTTTAGTTTTGTTTCTTTGAGATAAGGTCTCATGTAGCCAAGACTGGCTTCGAAATCTCTATGTAGCCAAGGACAACCTTAGACGCCTGATTCTTTCCCTCCCAAGTGCCGAGATTTATAGGGATACATCACCACATCTCTTGATTATAATTTCATACATAAATTTTTTTTATGGCCAGGTGTGGTAATGTACCTTTTAAGAGGTAGAGGCAGGTGGATCTCTGAATTCTTGGCTAACCTGGTCTACATAATGGGTTCCAGGCCAGCCAGGGCTACATAATGAAACCCTGTGTCAACCAAACAACAAAAGCCCAAAATGCATATGAGGAATTGCTTTCACTTTAAGACTTCTATTTATTTATTTATTTATTTTGTAGTAACGCTCTTAGGAGATGTTATGGGAGCAAGGAGGGAAATAAAATTCTTCAGCTTTTTTTGTTTGGTGCCCTACTATGATTGTTTACTGTTTATATACTGGCCAGCCAGGAGTTTAGCTAACAAAGAATTAAAGTACACTTGTGATCTGTATTTGGTGCTGGGAGAGATGGCCTTAAGGAGCGCTTGGAACAAGTTTAATCATGCGTTTTCTCTGCAGTGTTTGTGTTTGCACTGTTAAAATGCATGCTAGCAAAGTAAGTGGCTTGTCAAAGGAGCTTCCAAGACCAGCATGTTCCACATAGCCTGGGCCCAGCCAGGTGCTGCTGGAGCACCCCGTCTCCGAATATGTACATAGTTAGTGAAGACCACCCTTTGTGTTACTATACTGCAGGAAATAAACGGTTCAGACAATTTGTAGATGTACTGATTTAATCAACTTTCTGTGATAGAGTTTTATGTGATGGGGTGGGAGCCTTCGGAATGAACACTCAAAGACCCGGTGTGAATGATCATTTTAAAAATCTTTTATTACATTCATTTAATTGAGTGGGGTCGCATGTGCCAGGGTTGGTATGGTGGTAAAAGGACAATTTCCTGGAGTTGGTTCTCTCAGCTGCCCGTGTTCTTAACTGCTGAGACATCTCCCTCTCTCTAATCATTGTAGGGTATTCAATAGCATTTACATCCATACACATTAATGTCTGACCACTTTTAAAGATGTAGCTGCCAGCCGGGCACAGTGGCACACATCTGTAATCCCAGTACCCTGGGAGTCAGAGGCAGGCGGATCTCGTGAGTTCAAGGCCAGCCTGGTCTGACAGCCAGGGTTACTCAGAGAAACCCTGTCTTCAAACAAAACAAAACAACAACAATAAAATGTAGCTACCAGAGTGGCAGGGAGGGAGAGGGAGTGAAGTTAAGTGTATAAGGAGGTGGGGATGACTTGGGAGGCGGTGGGGGAGGGGAAGCCATGATTAGAATATGTTGTATAAAAAATATTTTCAATTAAAAAAGAAAAAACTCGTCAAATATCTCTGCTGTTTGTATGTGTGTGTATGTATGTATATATGGCTACCGACACATGGATATTAATATACATGTATATGAGCAAACTTATTCATATACATGTATATATAATACAGATTGTTATCAATCTATGTATTTGGGTTTCTATAACTTTATGTTTTTAGTGCATTAATTTTTACTTATAACTAAAATAGCTGATTACATATTTACATTTCTCTATAATACAGACATTATTTAATCACAATTTTAAAATCCTTTATAAAGCAAGAGGAAGAACATGGCAGAAAGCGCAGCCAAGCTGAATTGGAAGGCACTCGTACAAACTCAGTGGGAAGTGCGCTGAGAGCAGCCAGAGGAGATACAGGTGAGTTACTGAATTATCATCATTACTTCTGTGGGGAGTTAGGGACTGTGAGTGAATACCAATATTCACGCTACTTGGCTTGGGTATCTATCATTAGCAAGTTGCAGGTAGATAGTTATTTGTTCATTCAGGGTTTAATGTTGAGAAATATTTTGGAGCTGGGCATGGGGGTGCTCATATTTAAATCTAGCACTCAGGAGGCAGAGGCAGTCAGATATCTCTGAGTTTGAGGCCAGCCTGAGCCTGGTCTACAGAGAGAGTTCCAAGGTAGCCAAGGCTACACAAGAGACCCTGTCTCAAAAAACCAAAGGGGGAGGATTTCGGTTATTTGCAAAAAAAGACATTAAGGGCTAGAGAGGTGGCTCTGTGCTTAAGGTGGCTGTGTTTCCAGAGGACCTAGATTCAATTCCCAGCACCCACACAGCAGCTCACAACTGTCTCTAACCCCAGTTCCAGGGGATCTGATGTCTTCCTCTGGTCACTGTGGGCATCAAACACTAATGTGGCGCACAGACATATATACAGGCAAAATACCTGATAGCACTTTTTTTTTTTTTTTTTTTTTTTAACAAAAGAGAGATTAAGGGCTGGGGTGTGGTTTGGTAATAGAGTTCATTCTCTCAAACTGACTCTCCAGGTAAAAACCTCAGCCCACAAAACAGTAAGTAAAAGGGAAGGGGAAGAGAAGGTATATGTCAGTGAGTCACAGGTGCAGCAAGCGTTGTGTACGTGAGTCCTTGGGAGGTTCAATCCTGTCCATCATGCAATAGGCCAGCCATGCACATTTCAGTGCGTCCACTTTGACAGCTCATTCTGAATTGGGCCGCCATTTCGCATGAGCTCACTTAAGATTGTTGTTTCCTTGGTTCCTAAGATTGGACGGGACTCTTGCTTCACCTGAGTTTGAGAGAGACAAGAAATACTTCTGCCTTGTCAGAGTACGTGTGTAGATGTGAACAAACAGAGCGCTGCTGTTGACGTTTGATCGCTTTCCCTGAGAATCAGGTAGTTCACCGGAGCACCGGAGGAACCTCAGGCAGCGGTGGGAGAGGCACGACCCCAGTTCCGCTCTGGCAGCTTTGGAAAAAGCACCCGTCCTTACCTCCAGTTTCACGGCCGAGGAGGACAGAGGTTAGCACCATCATTGTCCCCGGGGATCTGGCTTCAGACTCCAGAGTTCATGCGTGCTCGAGTGCCTCCTGTGACATCATGCAGCACCCACCTCCTTCTGTAGACTGTAATCTCTAGACCACTTGTTCATAAGGCAGTGTAAGTGCTGTGTAAGTAGCTGCCACCCCGTACTGTCCGTGTGCATGCAGACGTTCAGTGCGGACTTTTATTTTCTAATTTTAATCTTATCTGTACGTGTGTCTGTCTGTGTGACCGCTTGTGCGTATGCATATGAAGCTAGAAAAAGGGGCCAGACCCCTTGGAGCTGGAGTTGCAGGTATGTGTGTGCTGCAGTGTGGGTGCCGGAACCGAGCTCGGTCCTTGTAACTGAGCATCATGCGCTCTTAACTACTGAGCCATCTCTCCTGCTCCAGACTTAACTTTTAAAAAGTACGTTAGATGCAAAGTTTGGAGCTCATGGGCACACAGGGAAGACCGTAGTCAGACTTAATATTATTATTTTACCATAGAAAAACCGTGCTAGGGTTTTAGTTTATGTCACTCTGCAAGGGACATTTGGCGCTGCTCACTGTGGGTGAGTAAACTAGACTTTCAGTGAGAGTCAGACGTAGTCATAACTTCGCTGGAAATACGATCTGAAGATAGATGCTGGAAATTCTTTGTTTTTAAACCTGGTACTAATGGCCCTCTTTACAACTAGGTGGTTCTGTGATAAAGTATGGTGAAAATAATGCCCGTAGGCAGTGGCTCAGGGAGCCCCCCGAGGCCTTGTTGTCCATGCTGAAGGATGCAGATCTCAGCCTGGCATTTCAGACCTACACAATACATAGACCAGGTAATGTTCGCCTGTGATGTGATCACATGAATTCTTTGACTTTTAAAAATATGGTAAAATATGACTAAAGTTGACTTTTAAAAATACAGTAAAATATGCCTTACTAACTTTTTCAAGGATTCATTTCTATTTATGTGTCTGTGTCTATGTGAGTGTATGTCACGGCAGTGCCCAAGGAGGGAGTCAGAGCCCCTCAATCTGCAGCTACAGGGAGTGGTGAGCCACCACGTGGGGCTGAGAAGCAAGCTCAGGTCCTCTGGAAGAGCAGCAAGTGTGCCTAACTGCTGAGCCGAGTCTCCGCAGGCCTCACATCATAATAATCTTCAAGGGTTTTACAGGCATGCATGTTCCTGTGTAACCAGCTTCCAGATTCTGTTTCTTTTCGAAGCTGGCACTGCGTGCATTAAGTAACCCATTCTCCCTTCCCCAGATCCCTGTGACTCTAAAGTTGTAAAGCTGGGGCGGGAAAGATGCTCAGCAGTTAAGAGCCCCCGGAATTTTGGAGGACCAGGGTTCAGTTCCCAGCGCCCATGGGGCAAGTTCCGTCTTAGTGGATCCAGTGTACTTCTTTGGTACACAGGCCCACGTGTGGTACATACATAAAGTGTGGGCACACACGTACACATAAAATGAAAATAAATCTTGAAAGTTCCAAAAGTGTACTTTTAGGTGTTCTTGAATTATTTATGGCTCATCTTAACCTGTTTTTAAATTTTTCCATTATAGATAGTTTATTTCTGTTTCCTGATTTTTTTACTTTAACAGTCACTATGTTAGAAAAAGTCAGGACGTTTTTACATTGCTAGTGGTGCTGGGGTCAGACCCTCGCTATTGCGCGGGACGAGCTGTACCCCAGAACAGCCTTTTTGACGTTTAAATACACAGACGTCTTAGGGATAACCTCAAAATTTCTTTAAATTTTGTTATATTGGATAACTGGATAGAGCTTTAAAATGAAAGACACTTAGGATTTATTTTATTTACTGGATGATTGATTTTTGTTGTTGTTGTTGTTACAGAGTTTCTTGGTGTAGCGCTGGCTCTCCTGGAACTCTCTCTGTAGACCAGACTGGCCTTAAACTCAGAGATTCCCACCTCTGCCTCCTGACTGCTGGGATTTAAGGTTTGCACCACCACTGCCCAGCCAGTATTTAATTTTTAAAATATATTTTCATTAATTTTATTGGACAGAATGACCACTTACAATACTGTTCTTAGGACTTCAGGCCAAAGACTGCATTTAAGGATTGCATGTATATGCATTAACGTTGATAATTCAAATACCAACTTTCCTTGCTTATTTAAAATCTTTTTTATTATCTTTTTTGAGACAGAATCTCCCCAAATTTCTCAGACTATAATATAATACAGATTTCTTATATTTAAAGGTCTTTAGTGTATTTTTTCACCTGTCTTAGAGACGGTGTTGCTGTAAAACTTAGTCCACATTCCGATACTTCCTGGGTCTACTGTCTACCCCACTCATGATGAGTAAACACTGCTTAAATTGCCTGGCTTCCCCAGGCATTCTGGCTCTGGCCTGTAGTCCTAACATTGGCGGATCAAGACCAGCTTGGGCAACATAGTGAGACCCTGTTTGAAAACAAATAGGTAAACTGTCTCACTTTTTGTTGCTAATCCCCTGAAGGTGCAGAAGGATTCTTGAAAGGTCCCCTTTCTGAAGAAACGGCGTCAGACAGTGTCGATGGTGATCATGATTCCGTCATTTTAGATCCAGAGAGATTTGAACCTCGGCTGGATGAAGAAGACACGTACGTTGTAATGAGACTAGATGCTGTAATTGGGGAGTGGACCCTGTATGCACGCGCCTTATCACGCCGTGATAATTTCAGATTGAGTGAGAGCTGTACCAATTTCCATCCTAAATGAGCACTTGCGTTGGCTGCTGTGTGGTGGGAATTTTACCGTGAATTCCTGGCTGGATCCCGCACACAGTGCCTTCCAGCCTGGACTTGTTTATTTCTGAGTTTTCAGACACTTGGGCTCCCCCTGCGTCAGCTGTCAAGTGCTAGGATTATGGGCAGTGCAGCTATATCCGGCTTTCATTTTGTAACACTTCAGGGTGAAAAAAAAATGAGAACTAATCTTTTTCTCTCTCTCTATTCAATTACTCTATAGAATTGAGTTTTAAAATGTTGTAATTAGTGTGTGGTAGAATTCTGCACTGAGCCACCAATAAGTACAGACCGTGCCCAGAATACAGAGGCTCATCATCCACATTGTTTGTCCCCAGGGACTTTGAGGATGACGATGAAAACCCTGATTGGTTGACAGAACTAAAGAAACAAGTGGGACGCCGGGATGTAGGTGATGGAAAAGTCCTCGGAGAATGTGCCTGAGCCACGTGGGGGAGACACTGTCTAGAAAACTGATGACAGGAAGTGAAAATGAAGACTGAGAAAATGGGTCAACACGCTTGAAAAGCAATCCAGAATCCTTGTGAGGTTTTTGAACACAAGGGAGGTCCAGTAGATGCCGTGTGCCTTGCGTTCCGACAGAACAGGTGGAGTGCTAGCCTGCTGGTCACTAACTGTGTGTGTGTGTGTGTGTGTGTGTGTGAGAGAGAGAGATAGAGAGAGAGAGAGAGAGAGAGAGAGAGAGAGAATCAGAAACGACTTCTTTGATCCCTCGTTTCCTTAACTATACTATAACAATGCCTACCTCAGAGGAACCCTGACCAAGACAGTTAGAGCAACCCATGTGTTATGATCCACACTTACTGTGTAACTCTCTCACTTTCCAAATACATTAAGTTGTGACCTACCCGTGTGTGCTACTTTTTCAATAATACCCAGTTTGGGTATGCTTCAAGATGATTTCCAGTGATACTTACCAACTACCAGCTGCCCTTAAATGTCCCTCATAGGATTTACAAAAGGGACAGAGGTTGGGATCAGCCATAAGACGAGTGGGTAGGCTCTAGAGCTTGCCAGAAGATCTCAGTTCTGGACACAAGGCAGGAAGACAGCCAAAGAGATGCAACAAATGTCGGAAACTAGAAAGTGTCATGCTATGAAGGGAGGCACCTGCATGCCGGGTCCCCTCATTTACTGCTATGACCCGTTAGAGAAGGGAGTATCTTTCTCCTGACCCCATGTGTTGAAGAGGGGTAGAAATTATAGACCAGTTGTTTACCAGGACCTGCTGAAATACAGACTGTAAGTAGCGTTTAACCACTTAACTTTCCTCCCTTTTCTTCAGTGCTTGGGGATCAAACCCAGGACCTTATGAATGAGAGGCAGGTATTCTGCCCCAGCTACACCCCACAGCCCAGCTCTCGTTCGTTCTCACATCTGAAGGCTGCTGTGTAAATCCGCGCCCTCCCTGGATAGCGCCCTGTACTCAGTCTTGTAGTCAGCATTAGTCCCATTGTTTCTGGTGATATCTCTGTCTTTCCTTGCCATTTTTGAAGAATGCTGGTTAGGTAGTTAGTTTTTATCCCCCATTTGGGTGTGTTCAGTGTTTTGTCACAAAGGTAAGTGCTGTCCTCAGCGTGTCCTGTCAGTGTCGTGTGCCACAGCTGCTGCTTGCCCTGATCAGTAGTTAAGTCAGTTTCTGCCAGATTTCCCCCCGTCGTGTTCTGACTCTGGCTCCATTGCAGCTGGGAGGATTTCAGTCCTACCTCTTAGCCAGAGGGTGCAGTGTTACCCTAAGTCACTGGCTTGGCTGCTTGATTGTTCCCAGTTGGTTTCTATGCCCTTTTGTGATGTTTGTGTCCTTTTAAATTACTTCAAGATTAAGCAGGATCAACTGTACCTTCTCTGTCACAGCCCCACAATCAGAAGCCAGTCTCCAGGCACTGAGTGTGTTTGCTGCGTGTGCCGGTTGCTCCTGGGATATCTGGGCCCTGTCTACATACCTGTGTTCTGTCTATCCCCATCTGTATGTATGTTAAGTCAAGAGCAGGGTCACACGAAGTCACTGGCGATCCCATCCCGTAAGGTTAATTCAGGCCTCTCCTCTTCCTCTTTTTCTGTCTGTCTTCCCTGGCGGCTTGCAACCATTGCCTGGTTGTTCAGACCAGTATACACACAGAGCAGTGTCCAAAATCATTCACCCTAGATGCTGCAAGGGACAAATTAGTAGCTGGAGTGCAGAGCTTGTGTGGGGGTCGGCTTCACCCTTCCTAGGTCGGCCTTTCGAATGGTAGTGCGACACTTCTCTGATGATATTTCATGTTCAAGAAGACATAGGTCTACAAGAGTATGTCCACGACACTCAGCGTCCCTATGGACCATCCTCCATGCCTCGTTATCTGCTCTGTCTGTACTATCTGGATACAGACAGTACAAGCACACTTGAAATTGTATAATTATATCTCAATAACCACTGAGAGTGAGTCAGGTTATAAATCCTCTTGAAAAATCAGATGATTTCCACTTTGAACCAAACTTCCATGTGTTTGCTTATCTGAGTGAGCTTTGCTAGTGCTGATAGCTTTTAAAAAGAAAGGACTGGGTGTGGCTCACAGACGTAGTTCTGGCAGGGAGGTAGAGGCAGGCAGCCAGGGATACATACTGAGGCCCTGTCTACAGAAGGAAAAAAAAAGGAAGAGAAGGCGAACCTCATCTATTCTTGCTTTGTTCTATTTTAATTTTTTTGTAAGTATTTTTTAAAAAATGTATTTTTATTCATTACAATTTATTCACTTGGTATCCCAGCTGTAGCCCCCATCCTCGTCTCCCCCCAACCTCGCCCTTCCTCCCTCCCTCATCTCCTCCCATGCCCCTTCTGAAGTCCACTGATAGGGGAAGACCTCCTCTTCTTCCATCTGACCCTAGCCTATCAGGTCTCATCAGGACTGTCTGCATTGTCTTCCTCTGTGGCCTGGTAGGGCTGCCCCCCCCCCCGGGGGTGCTGTTCAAAGAGCCAGCCCCTGTTCCCCATTTGGAACTAGGAAGCCCATTTGGAGACTGAGCTGCCACAGGCTACATCTGTGCAGGGGTTCCAGGTTATCTCCATGAATGGTCCTTGGTTGGAGTATCAGTCTCAGAAAAGACCCCTGGGTCTGGATGTTTTGGTTCTGTTGTTCTCCTTGTGGAGCTCCTGTCCTCTCCAGGTCTTTCTATCTGCCCCTTCTTAACATTCCCTGCATCTGCCCAAAGTTTGTCTATGAGTCTCAGCATCTGCTTTAATACCCTGCTGGATATACAACAAGGACATTTGCTTAGCCATGTTCGTAGCAGCTTTATTCCTAATAGACAGAATCTGGAGACAACCCAGATGTCCCTCAACAGAGGAATGGATACAAAAAACGAGGTACATTTACATAATGGAATACTACTCAGCAATTAAAAACAAGGAAATCATGAAATTTGCAGGCAAATGGTGGGAACTAGAAAAGGTCGTCTGGGTGCGGTATCCCAGAAGGAGAAAGACACACATGGTATATACTCACTTACAAGTGGATATTAGACATATAATATAGGATAAACATACTAAAATCTGTACACCTAAAGAAGCTAAGCAAGAAGGAGGACCCTGGGTAAGATGCTCAATCCTCATTCAGAAAGACAAAAAGGATAGACCTCAGAAGAAGGTGAACCTCATCTGTTCTAAGAAGATCACATTTGTCCATGTGGAGCCCATTTAATCTGTAAGAATTCATTTCCAAGATAATTTGATTATTTTAAATTTTATTTCAATCGACGGTGTACTACCAGTGTTTCAATCCAGAAGAAACAAAAAGCAAAAGAAAACACTTCAGGTCCTAAGGTCAGGAAATGCTAATTTCCACCTACGTCCAGAAAACTGGTCATCAATAAGAATGTCAAACATTAGATTACATTGTTATAAAATTTGTCCCAGGGAGTCGAATGTAGATAAAGGAGAAGAGGAAGTAATGTACATTTTAGAGAAGTGAGGGTATTTTGGGGGGTGGGGGGAGGTGAAGGACAATGGCGGGGTGTGAAATGGTCGTAGGTCTTCGATTCCACTGGATATGGCTGTCTTCCTGTGTTAGTATTTACCGTTCTGAAAATTTTTCTATCTTCCCCAGGTAATCAGCTGCACCTGATGTACTAGTAGGAAATGGAGCTAGTTGAGAGGGGGTGCATTTGCAGAGGCCTGAGCAGCACCTGGTTTCTTTAGTGGACCCAGGTTCCCTTCCCTTATACACCTCTCAGGAGCATCTAAGACCTTGCATGAGAAACGTGCTTCCAGCTGGGCGTGTATGCCGTAGTTGAACACCAGCCCTCATCCCTCTTCGCCCCACCGCCAACAACCAAACCAACACATTTCCTCTCAGCATAGCTCTAGGAGACCTGTATAGGTGGCAGACAGCAGAGAATATATGTACCAAATATGGCAAAGAAACTCCTCCACCCCCGTGCGCAAAAAGCCAGCCAGAACACGGGTCCAAGGCTTAAACATAAATAAACAAACAAACAAATAAATAAATAAATAAATAAATAAATAAATAAATCAATCTGCCGCCCCTAGGATTCTGGAAAATGGCCACCGGGCCACATACTCTGGAACCTGAAGGTTGCAACAAGGCTATCTGACTCATCTCCCAGTTTTGGAAAAGTGTGCTTTTTCCAAAAGCGGTTTCTCCCCGCTCCCCACCCCCCACTTGCAAAAACCTCAGCGCTCTACCGCCTTGTGCTCCCTCTCATACCACGCTACAGGTTGCTGAGGTCTCAGACCACCGGAATTGTGCTCGCCCGCTTTACTATCCTCCTCTGACCTCTTACACAGCCGAGGAGCGTGAAGGTGTGGTCGTGTTGCTTGTTTTGCATCTGGGTTCCAACCCGGGGCACCCATGAGTCTCCTCTGCCCCGGCGCAGCACTCCGCCCATTCCCCTACCCCAGCGTCTGGGAGGCTCAGCTGCCAAGGGACCAGATCCTCGTGGACACTTTCAGGTTCACCGCACAAAGCCTGCTGAGCCGGTAAGGCCGAGCCCACCCATTTTGCTCTTCAGGAGCTACCCCAGGCCCCTCGAACCTGCAGGGAAAGAGATGGGAGTCCAGGTGGGTGGAGACAGGGCAGAAACCTGCTCCCTGGGCAGCGTTGGTTTCCACGGCAACGCACAAGCCACAGAGTCCTGGACTCTGGTCCCCCGCCTGCCTGCATGCAGACCGCTGCCTCCTCGGCCAACCTTAGCAGTATACACCCGAGTTGAAATTATTTGGAAACAACCTGCTCTGTAGAGCACCCAGGGCTTTAGAAAAGTCTGCATTGTACCTGAAGCAGGGGGATGGGAAACTCGAGCCGTAGCGGGAACAACTTCGACCTGTTTCCACAACAGTCTCCCAAAAGAATTAGGTATAAAGCTCTGTGGTGGAAGGCTTACCTAGCATGTATGCGGTCCTAGGTTCGAGTCCCAGTACAGCAAAATACAAACCTCCACTGTGCCTCTAACTGTGGCGTAAAAGGGAGACAGAAGGAAAGCAACCTCACCGAAGCGCGTATTTCCACCAGTAAACACCTGTAGCCGGGTGCCAGGACAGTCCTCTGCCCGCGGTTGTTAGGGCTCCGGACCTCCCAACGACTGCACCCCGACAGCCAGCAGACAGGGTGTTTTCCCAAATGGGGACCCAACTCGAAGGAAAGTCCCCAGAGCCGGTTAAGCCTTGATTTATATTCCTAGAAAATCCGGTGTTAGTTGATACCATGGGGAGACGCTTAGGTAGATGTGATCGCTTGGTTCTAGAGGCAGAAAGTGCGAATGGTGTTTCCATTTACATAACTGTATGCAGAGACTTGGTGGGTAATCCCTTGTGTGGGACCAAGGACCTTTGAATGGCGCAGGCCCTAACTGCTTAAATACCTCGATGCCTCCACAGCGCTAGATTCTGAAACACGGACCCAATAAGTTCCCAGGCTTCCCTGCAGAGGGCGACACCTCCGCACTAAGACGTGATCTGTGCTGGCCTCGCCCTTGGACTTCCCGCTTTCTACAGGCACCAAGCACCTGGGGTCTTTCCCTCAAACACAAGTAATCTTCCATTGCGGAAGCTGGAGTAGGAAGGTTTTTGTGAGTTGCTGACCCGCCTAAAATCGCAAATCTGAGCTACAATCCAACGTGACCGTGGAATCTACCAACAAAACCCCTTTTCACTGTTGCCCGTGGCCACGAGGAAGTTCTGGATTGTCTGAAAAGCTGGGTAGAAAGAGTTAGCCAACAGTTTCCTTCCTTGCCTTTCATCAATCTTCTGCTGGCTAGTGGTGAGAAGCATACAGTAAAGGTTTGTTACTTCGTTTTAGGAACCTCTGACCCCTGAAACCATGGATAAATTTGACCTGATTAAGATCATTGGGGAAGGCACCTTTGGGAAGGTATACTTGGCTAAAGATAAATCAGAACACAATCACTGCGTCATAAAAGAGATCGGTCTTACGAAGGTAAAGTTAATAAGTTCAATTTTTTTTTAATAATTTTAAGTGATATATCTAGCCTTTTTTTTTTTAAAAAAAGGTTTGTTTATGTATTATGCGTACATATATGTGCTTGTGTGAATTTATGCACCACGTGTAGGCAAACACCTGCAGGGGTCGGAGGGCATTGGAAGCCCCTGAGCTTGATTTCCAGGCAGTTGTGGGCTACCTGGTTGGGGTGCTAAGAACCTGGGGTGCTTGGCCCCCTGCAGGAGCAGGGAGTGCTGCTGAGCCAACCCTCCACCCCCTCCGGCGTTGTTGCTCTAGTATGAAAACAAGTAACTGTTTTACAATTGTGAATGTTAAGGCTCAGTTGGCTCTATCTTCTCGCATCCCCTTAGAGCCCAACCCAGGAGCGAGTACTACATTCGTTTTCTTGGTCTCCTCCCACTGAACAAATGACGTGTCATCACACTGGACAGATGCTGGAATACCTAAATTCTGGGCCCACCCACCTCTCTGCTTTTTCTCTTTTCTATTTCTTCCTTCCCCTCCTTTCCCCTTTCTCTCTCCTTCTTTTCTCTTTCCTTCCTTCCCTCTCTCCCCTCCCCTTCTCCTTCTCGCCCTTCAACTCTACCCACTCCCTTCCTCTCTTTCTTTTTTTGTTTTTGAGGCAGGGTCTAGATTAGATGTGTAGATGAGCTAGTCTTGGACTTAGAATCATCCTGCCTCTGTCTCCTAGTGCTGGGGTTACAGGTGTGCCCTGTCATGCCCAGTTACCATTCTTCTTATTTGAAAAAATATATATATTTATTTAAACTGGTCAGAGGCAGAGGAAGGTGGATCTCTATGAGTTCAAGGCCACCCTAGTCTACATAGTGAGCACTAGGACAGCCAGGACTATGTATAGAGATGGTGTCTCAATTAAAAAAAAAAAAAACAAAACTATTGTAGGGTGTGTATTTGTGATTGCACACACACACACACACACACACACACACACACACACCACAGCTCACATGCCCCGGAGGGAGGGAAGAGGACAACTTCCCATGTAGATTCCAGGGAATCCAGCTCTAGATAGTTACCTGCTAGATACCTGACTCTCCCTCTCTGAGTTAGTGCCGTTCCTTTTGTTAGAGTATCTGGTCACTTGGGTCCTTAGCAGGCGTTCTCACAAGTCTAGTTCATTTTACTAGTGCCCCAGCCATGGCCCCAAACTTTCCCGATGCGGCATAAAGGAAAAGGGAGTGAGGTATAAAACAGAAGGCTTCTTGGCCTGATGGCACACACCTGCAATGCCAGCTACTCCAGAGACTGAGGAAAGAAGATGGCACATTCAAGGCCTGCCTGGGCTACAAGAAAGTTCAAGGCCAGTCTGCACAATTTACGGAGACTCTGTCTCAAAAGCAGCAAGCAGGGGCCAAAGAGATGGCTCAGTGGTCAAGGGTGCTGGCTGTTCTTCTTTCGGTCCTGAGTTCAGTTCCCAGCAACCACATGGCGGCTCACAACCACCTATAATGAGATCTGGCGCCCTCTTCTGGTTTACAGGTGTAGATGCAGACAGTACTCATGAAAAATACGTAAAGAAACAAACCTCTAAACAATGAAAACAAAAAGCAAAAAGAATGCTGGGACTTTTTCACAATGATACACAATTTGCTTAGCATGCTCTAGGCCCTAGGCTGAAGCGAGTGCTTCTCCTCCTCCTCCTCCTCCTCCTCCTCCTTCTTTTGGCATACATTTTGATCATATTTCCCCTCTCCAAATCCTCACAGATCCTCCCAGTCTTCCAACCCACCTAACATCCTGTTCTCATTCTCTCTCTCTATGCTTGTCTCTTCCTGCTTCTCTCTTCTCCATCTATCTCTAACATCCTGGTAGCTACATTTTTTAAAAATATTTTTTATTTTAATTTTTATTAATGACACTTTACTCACTTTGTATCCCCCCAAACCCCTCCCCCTCCCAATTTCACCTTCCCTCCCCCTTCTCTACGCATGCCCCTCCCCAAGACCACTGGTAGGGGAGGTCTTCCTCTTCTTCCTTCTGATCTTAGTCTATCAGGTCTCATCAGGAGTGGCTGCATTGTCATCTTCTTTGGCCTGGTAAGGCTGTTCCCCCCTCAGGGTGAGGTGATCAAAGAGCAGGCCAATCAGTTCATGTCAGAGGCAATTCCTGTTCCCATTACTATGGAACCCACTTGGACACTGAACTGCCATGGGCTACATCTGTGCAGGAGGTCTAGGTTATCTCCATGCATGGTACTTGGTTGGAATATGAGTCTCAGGAAAGACCCCTGTGCTCAGATTTTTTTGGTTCTGTTGCTCTCCTTGTACATTTTTTTTTAAGTAGTCAAATTTAAAAACATTTTTAAAATCTGAAATTTATGTTCTGATTATGTCATTTAGAATACGGCACATGACACTGGATCTTAGATTAGGAGCTGGGGTTGAGAATGTTGGTTACAAAAAATTTTGGCTGGGCTCTTTCAGTATTGGAGTGTATGCTTAACAGCTTAACGTGTACAAGCCTGTCCCCCCCCCCCCCATACACACACAAAGGAGGTGCTAAGGGAAGAAGAAGAAGAAGGAAGGTAATCCAGCACTCAGGAGGGGCAAGAAAACCATCAGTTTCTAGCCAGCCTGAGTTACACAGAGAGGCACACCTCTTCTGGGGGGAGGGAGAGAGAGACAGAGACAGAGAGACAGAGAGCAAAACTGGGGTATTGCAGCATAGGCACCAAAACAATTAAAAATTATTATTGGATGATGATGATGTTTATTTGTTTGTTTATTATTATGTGTACAGTGTTCTGCCTGCATGTGCGCCTGCATGCCAGAAGAGGGCACCAGATCTCATTACAGATGGCTGTGAGCCACCATGTGGTTGCTGGGACTTGAACTCAGGACCTCTGGAAGAGCAGCCTCTGAGTCATCACTCCAGCCCCTCTTAGCACATTAATTTATGTATTTGATGTGTGACACAGCATACATGTGGTGGTCAGAGGACAGCTTGTGGGCATTAGTTCTCTCCTTCCACCATGTGGGTTCCAGGGACTGATCTTAGGCCACCAGGTTTAGCAGCAAGTGCCTTTCCCAGCTTACTCTCTGGCCAGCCCCAGGAAGCTGGCTTCTGTTTTTGTTTTGAGACAGGAACTCTCTTTGTAGCCCAGGGTGTCCTCAAATTCAGGATCCTCCTGCCGCAGACTACTGAGTGCTAGTGTTATGGGTATGTATGGCATATTTCTTAAAACAAAGCAATGTGGAATATGGAATTTTGTTTTTGTAGCGTATGGGCATTTTCTTCTGAGCTGCTAATCTCTTGGAACATTACATTTAAATTTTTCTTATGCTGGAGGATAAAGCAATTCACAGATGCTTAGACAGTGATTAAAAATCCAGTTACTAATTTATCTGTCATTTGCATTTACTGTTTGAAACAGGGCCTCACTCTGTTGCCCCGGGGTGATCTCAGTCTCTGGGTAGCCTGGAATACAGTCATGCATCAAGCGTAACCAGTTTCCAACTTACAGCGTGATACTATTTCCTCAGGATTATTCATTTTCTTGACTATAATTGTCACTGACAAACCAGTAGTCAGATAGGAGGTATCTTATAGTGGCCCCGGCCTCCAAGAGATAAGTTTTAAAAGTGACATTAAAGCCAGCAGCCTCTTGTGGGGTTTCAGATGGGAGTGAGCAGATCGTGCGCCTCAGTCAGCAAGTTATGTCTGCAAAACATGCAGTCCCTCAATGTCGCTTTGATGCCCTTCCAGGAAAAAGAAGCTACAGAGAAAGAAGCGATTCTTCTGGCTACAATGAAGCATCCCAACATTGTCACCTTCTTTGGCTCATTTCAAGGTTAGGTTTGTCTGCCGTTAAAGTATCCCAGTAATCCGAAGGTCTTTCGAAAAGATGTGTTCCCGAGAGTAGTATATTTATTACATTTTGTGTGTTCGTTTTCCTGTCTAGTTAAACTGTCTTCATTTCCTATTGGGTGAGGCTTGTCTTTTGAGAAAAGGTCTTCTGCAGCCCAGCCTGGTCTTGATTCACTGAGTAGTTGAAGGTAACCTTGACTTCCAGATCCTCTCCACCGGGCTCCCCAGCGGCGGTGTGAGATTATGGCTCTGTTCCACCATGCTGAGCCTTTCTAGTGACATTTTATGGAAAGCTTCTGCTGATAAGGGTTTGCAACTCTCCTTCACTCTTACTCTGCCAAACAGGCAGATCTGAAGTGGTAGTAATGCTAAAACCACAGTGAACTACAATAGCACACAGACGTTTCTCGTTCCCGTTGCATGCTGGCGTGGTGGAGTGGGAAGTCTGGGGTCCTGGATAAAGGCATGTCCCAGAAGTGGAGCGTGAAAGAGGAAGGCAGAGCACAGCAGACACACTGTCATGTTAAACTGGTTATGTGTTGTGCTTTGCCTAGATCTGGTCCCCCGTGTTCTGTGACAGTAGGCTGGGCTGTATAATCCTCTCACAGAGAGGTGGCAACCTGGCAAAGCAGAGCAGAACTTTGAGGACCTTTATCCCAGGGGGTCTTTTTCCAGTTACTTTCTACCTTACTCACTGAGACAGGGGTCTTTCAGTTGTACTCAAAGCTTACCACTAAAGAGTACATTCGTCAGAGTCCATTCTTCATCCGGTAGATCCCTGAATGACGCATCATTCTAGTTACCAGGGTGAAAGTGACGAACAAAATGCACAAAAACCCTGGTCCTGGAAGTCTGCATTTACTGCCTGGAAGAGACAGGCAGTAAACAGGATCCAATGCAGTGGGTGTTTACTGAGGCTCTACCAGGGCCATAGAAACCCACAGTTCATGTGGGACAGAGAGATCCCCAACCCAACCGCTAACGCTGGATTGTTGTAATTCGTGGGTGTCGGTACTATGAGGAGAAGGATTAACCTAGGTACCTCCAAGCGTCACTGGGCAGGAAGAAAGCAGCAAGTAAATCCGTCCATTCATCCACTATTTCTCCATCCTTTCATGGTATGCAGACCCAGATCTCTTTGCTCTTCAGAAACCACCACATTCAAAGAGGTTGTGAGGCCAGGCATGGTCTTACACTCCTGTAAGCCCAGCATTGGAGAACCAGAGGCAGAAGGATTGTTGTGAGTTCAAGGCCAGCCTGGTCTACAAAAATCTATCTATCTACCTGTCTGTCTACTGTCTGTCTGTCTGTCTGTCTGTCTATCTCTCTCTATCTATCTATCTATTTCGTTTTTCCCAACAGAGTTTCTCTGTGTAACAGCCCTAGCTGTCGTGGACTCACTTTGTACACCAGGCTGACCTTGGACTCACAGAGATCCATTTGCCTCTGCCTCCCAAGAGTTGGGGTTGAAGGCATGAGCCACCACCATCTGGCTTTTGTCTAATTTTTTTCTTCATGCAGGAAACGTAGGGGTTGAGAATGTAGTACAGTTGCAGAACAATTGTGTAGCACGTATAAAGTCCTAGGTTTGATCCCTAACAATGCTCATACACACACACACACACACACACACACACACACACAAACATCAATTTAATGAGTTGAGGGTCATATACACTTTACACTTTGGTCCTTTACATGTGGCAGATAGTAGATGCTCAATGCACAGTTGCTAAATGAGTGAATGGACTGTTTTAATAGGCTGGAATACACATTTATTCCATGTAAGATGGATTTCTGAAGACACTTTACAGTGGATACAGTTACACAGCTAAGGCCACTCTCGACATAGATGACTTCCCTTGTACCTGTACATTGCTTGGCAGCTTGTTGGTATTTAAAACACAGGCTGAGCCAAGAGCCTGGTGGCAGCTAACTGTGAGAAGTTGTAAATACAGGCCTTGCTGGCCCTACAATAGTTTCTCTCTCACTCCAAGGACCATAATGTCTGTTTCCACTTTCTTGCTGGCTGTTAACTAGGGCCTACTCCCCATCAGGAGAGGCAAACCCTTGTGCTCAGCCACGTGGCCAGGAAATGAAGCTGCAAATCTATCACTGCTTCAGGCTCTGACCCCCAGACTCAGATCTGCATAAATCACATGATCAGGCAGGGACCACCCAGGTGATCTTTTTGATTTGCTCAGAGTTAACTGAGTATGAGAGATGAGGTTTTAAGGATTTGGAGCAGGCTAAGAAAAATAAGGAGAATTTAGCGACGTTTTCCTGAGGCGAGTTGAATATCACCTGTGAATATTAACTCTTAGAGGCTAAGCTGCCCTAGAACCAAGAGTTCCAGATGTTGAGCAAAACAGATAAAAACTCTCCACACCGTAGATCTTCTTTTCCGTTGCTGTGAAACAAATGGCCACATGTTTAGTGGCTTCAAACACACTTTCTGTGCTCAGCTCACCCCTTCTTTTGTATTCAGTTAAGGACTCCACTGCTTGGGAACCCTTCTCACCTTAATTAAGCCAATTTAGAAACTCTTGCAGAAATGCACAGAGGTTTGTCGTCTAGATGATTCTAGATCCTTGTCTGGCTGACAATTGCTGTTAACTTGCTGGGCTACACAGAAATACCCGTTATCAGAGCTCAACAAGGCACAGCAAACAGAAAAGAAAGGTACGCAGCGTAGTGGGCTGAGAACCCAGTTCATCTTAGTGGCCAGCCCCGCTACCGTGCACTGCATTTTTTTCCCTCTTGTATTCGTCACACTCTAGACTTGAAAGGCAAATAAATGACTGATGGCACCTACAAGCTCTCAGGACAAAATGATGTTGTTTTCCTGCAGAGAGCGGCAGGCTGTTTATCGTAATGGAATACTGTGACGGAGGAGATCTCCTGCAAAGGATCCGGAGGCAGCAGGGAGTGCTATTCAGTGAAGATCAGGTAAATCTACTTCTAATGTTCATGGGATGTGACATTTATCATGTAACATAATATAAATACTAGGCTATGCGGAGCATGTTTCTGGTAGGGAGATTTGGATCATAGAATGGTGGGTGAATATTCTTGGTAGTTGGAATTGAAGCGGAATCTCTTCTTGAGAATGATGTTTTCGTGAGGAAATACCTCTTGCCTACGTGTCTCATGTAGGGTGAACTTCAAGTCCAAAGCGATCATGAGGACGGAGAGACACCTGAAGGTGTCACGAGCACTTGTTACTCTTGCAGAGGACCTAGGCTGGGTTCCCAGCACACACATGGTGGCTCACAACCCTCTGTAACTTTAGTTCCAGGTAGCCCAATGCCCTCTTATGGCCTCCATAGGCACCAGGTACGAACCTGGTATACATACTTATGTACACACAGACAAAACATTCATATACATAAAATAGAATAAGTAAATCTAAAGTAAAAACATTAAATATCAGGTGGGGCCAGGAAGATGGCTCAGTGGGTAAAGGCACCTGCTGTCAAGCCTGGCAACCTGAGTTCAGCCCCAGAACTTAACTGATAGAGGGGAGAGCCAGCTCCTGCAAGTTGTTCTCCGATCTCCATAGCTTCACCTTGGCCTGTGTGCATCACTCTTCTCACAAGTAATAATGTAACTTTAAAAATTTTCAAATTTGGGGGCTGGAGAGATGGCTCAGAGGTTAAGAGCACTGGCTGCTCCTCTAAAGGCCCTGAGTTCTATTCCCAGCAACCACAGAGTGGCTCATGCAACCATCTATGTTGAGATCTCATGCCCTCTTCTGGCATGTATGTAGATTGTATATCCAGAACATTGGATACATAATAACTAACTAACAAACAAACTAAATAAATAAATCATAAAAATTTCAGATTTGGACTTGGGGAGATGGCTCTACTATTAAAGGCCAGGATCATAACCAAAATTATATGCAGATGACCTATAAGGGTAAAAAAAAAAAAAAAAAGAAGATTGGAGAGATGGCCCAAAGGTTAAGAGCGCTGGCTGCTCTTTCAGAGGTCCTGAGTTCAATTCCTAGCAACCACATGGTGGCTAGGAATTACAACCATCTGTAATGAAATCTGGTGCCCTCTTCTGACGTGTGGACAGAACACTGTATATGTAACAAATAAATAAATCTTAAAAACAAAACAAAGCAAGAAAACAAACAAAAATAAAATGAGACAAAGCACCTTTAAAGATGCTGTTGAGTTCACTTGATGTTGGCCCTCTTCTACTGGGCCTGGGGCCTGTCCTTAAGAGGAACTTGTTTCCCCAGTGAGATGCCATTGGAAAAAAATTTAATTTTTCATTTGCAAGTGGTTATCAGTTGGAGCTAGTTTGTGGGTAAGGCATGGAGGCTCGTGTCGACTTCTCCCTTTAGGGCTGGGATCCCGTCTGGCCCAGATCTGTGCAGGCCCTGTGCACGCTGCCTCAGTCTCTATGGGTTTATATGTGTGTCAGTCCTGCTGTGTTTAGAAGGCCTGTTTCTTTGATGTGCTCCATCTCCTCTGGCTCTTACAATCTGGCTGCCTCCACTTCTGTAAAGTTCCCTGAGCCCCAGGAGAGGGATTTGATAGAGACGTCCTGCTCAGGGCTGAGTATTGAAAAGCCTCTTACTCTCTGCACACTCTCTGACCGTGCATCTCTGTATTTGTCCCCATCTACTGCAGAAGGAAGCTCCTCTGATGATGCCTAAGCCAGGCACTGATCTATGAGTATAGCAGGATGTAGTCGGGAGTCATTTTTACTGTTTGGTTTTCCCCTCGGTCCCAGGCCTAGCTGGTCTCAGGTACTTGGCCACTGAAACAGTGTCGGGGGTGGGTCTATCTCATGGGGTGGGCCTTAAATCACATCAGATGTTGATTTGTTGCCACCATTGCATGAGTGTGTCTTGCAGGTGGGTCATCACTGTATATAGAAGGGTTTGTAACTGTGTGGCCCAAGAATATCCGCACAAACCACCCAGACTCTGGTCTCCGTCAGATATGGACGGTTTATTGAATGCACACCCCAAGGCTAATTGTGATTACGGACACAGAGAGGACTTGGGAGCCAGACAGTGACATCGACCTATTCTTAGGGCAGTCTTTTTATAGGAAAACTAAGTGTAGTAGTACATTATAGTACATCTTGGCCAACTAGACAAAGTATTACAAGCCAACCTTTAAGCTGATTTGTCCCAGGTGAGGTGAGTAAGGTGGTGGTAGGGTCTTCCAGAGCACAGCTAGAGTACAGCCAAAGGCGGAGATAACACAGAGTGCAGCCAGAGTGTAGCCAAGTGTGGACATAACAGAGCATGAGTTATTACACCACTGAGTCGTAGTAAAATATAGGGTTAACATGAACCAGTGGCAGGATCTATCAGTGTAGGTTAACTTGACCCTCTGGCAGGATTTGTCAGCTATGAATACCTACTTCTAGAAAGCAGGGTTGTAAACAAAATGGATACTGAATACAAAATGGCTTCAGCTGTGTTACAAAGAGCAGGCCTCAACAGTAACCTGGTTGGTGTTTACCTTTCTCCTCTGGTGGCATGCGGAGGACCTTCAAGTGCTATGAACACTAGTCCATAGGGGTGAGGGCTCTAGGGAGGCACCAATTCAACTTCTCTGTGTATAGTGAGTTGTAGAGTTGCTATCTCCTGCACTAGGGTCTTACCATCAGTTTGTGGATGACAAACAATAGCCTTTACCTGGATTGTTTTGGGATTCCTGTGGGATCCCTTTGGCAAACAACTCAGTTGGATGTACTGGAAGCTTCATTTGGTGATGAGAGAAGTCCAGCTAAGGCTTTCCCACCCTGCCCCCCACCATTGTTTGATGATTCCATTTAGCTTGCTTTCACATATGTATGCATTTTAGGAAGCCTCTTCTGTGTTAGATTTCCATATGACCCCTCCAACGGTCCTTAGTTTTAGCTGTCCTTCTCTGTAGTAGTTGATCCCTTGACCCCCTTTTCCCTTCCCCTCCCCAATCAATCTTCCCATTCCAGCGACCCCATCTAGCTATAACTATTTATTCCATTTTTCTTTTCCTAGGGAGATATACCCCTCCCCCTTAGTCCCTTACTCTGTACTTAACCTATGTGGTTATAAGGATTGGAGCTTGCTTATCAATGACTTAACAGTTGATCCATATATAAGTGAACTCATACCATAGTTGTCTTTCTGGGTCTAAGGTTACATCACTGAGAGTGATTTTTTTCCTAGCTCCATCCTTTTGCCTATGAATTTCACTTTTTTTAATGGCTGAGTGATATTCCATTATGTAGATGTACCACATTTTCTTTATCTATTCACCCATTGATGGACACCTAGGGTTTTTCTGGCTGTTATGAAAAGAGCAGCAATGAACATGGTTAAGTAGGTGTCTTGGTAGTTGGATGTACAGTTTATAAGCCCCAAATCGGTATAGCAGGATCTTGAGGTAGATCGACTCTCGTTTTCTTGTGGAACTGCCACACTGATTTTCACAGTGGCTGTGCAAGCTTGCACTCCCCCCAGCGATGAATGAGTGTCCCTCCCTCGTATTCCACCTCCTCACCAGCAGGTGCTGTCATTTGTTCTATTGACCTTGGCCGTTCTGACTAGTCTGAAATGAAGTTTCAAAGCAGTTTTGATTTGCCTTTCTTTGATGAATAAAGATGTTGAACATTTTTTTTTCAAAGTGCTGCTCAGCCATCTGGGTTTCCTCTTTTGAGAATTCTCTGTTTAAATTACTATTTTTTTGTTTTGTTTTGTTTTTTTGTCTTTTGAGACAGGGTTTCTCTGTGTAGCCTTGGCTGTCTTGGACTTACTTTGTAGACCAGGCTGGCCTCCAACTTACAGAGATCTGCCTGCCTCTGCCCCCCCTGGTGCTGGGATTACAGGCGAGCATCACCACCTCATGTTTTAATTGAATTATTTGTTTTCTTGATGTCCATTTTTTGAGCTCTTTTTAAAAAAGATTTATTTATTTTATTATGTATACAATGTTCTGTCTGCATGTACACCTGAACGCCAGAAGAGGACACCGGATTTCATTATAGATGGTTCTGAGCCACCATGTGGTTGCTGGGAATTGAACTCAGGACCTCTGGAAGAGCAAGCAGTGCTCTTAACCTCTGAGCTATTTCTCCAGCCTCTTGAGTTCTTTTTATATTTTGGATATTAGTGTTCTGTTGGATGTGCAATTAGTAAAAAATATTTCCCATTCTGCAGGCTGCCACTTTGTACAAATGACAGGGTCCTTTGCCATGTGGAAGCTTTTCAGCTTCATGAGGTTCTATTGTTCAATTGTTAATCTTAATGCCTGTGCTACGAGGGTTCTGTTGAAAAAGTCCTTTCCTGTGGCAACAAGTGCAAGACTGTTTCCCACTGTCCCTTCTGTCAGATGTATTGTGTCTGGCCCTATGATGAGGTCTTGGACTTGAGTTCTCGCAGGGTGATAAGTATGGATCTACGTGTTTTCTTCTACTGTTAGCCGTACAGCTTGACCAGCATCATTTGTTGAAGAATCTGTCTTTTTTTTTTTTTTTTTTTCAGTGTGTGCTTCTGGCTTCTTTATAAAAAGTAAAGTGTTCATAGGTAGGTAGACTTATGTCTGAGTCTTGAATTCTATTTCATTGATCAAAGTGTCTGTTTTTATGGCGATACTGTTCTGTTTTTCTTACTGTAATTCTGTAATACAATTTGAGAGAGCTGTGTGATATCTTCCTAGAGAGAAAGTCGCATTTTTTGAATATATAAATGATTAACTTCTATACATTTAATCAAGAATTCTTTTTTGTTTGTTTGTTTGTTTTTTTGTTTTTTTGAGACGGTGTTTCTTTGTGAAGCCCTGGCTGTTCTGGAACACACTTCGTTGACCAGGATGGCCTAGAACTCAGAGATCTGCCTGACTCTGGCATTCTTTCTATTCCCATATTATATATTAAATATATATTTACAGAAACTTCTCTTTTCTTATCTAGGTATTATTTTGCTCTATTTTCTAGAAATGCTTTTTGTAATGAAATTTTGATTACATTTTCTATGATTGGGAAAATTCCAAGATGTCAACTGAATCCCAATACCTGGAAATAAGCCATCTTATATTATTCTTACTATGTAATTTGGCAGATAAGGAACCTGTGGGATTTTAGAGGCCTTTAAATGACAAAGCTGGACATGGTGGCATAGGCTTGTAACCCCAGTATCGGGGGGCTGAGGCAGGGAGACTAACATAGGTTTGGGGCCAACCTGTGCTACATAGTGAATATGAGGCCATCTATGGCTATATCAAACGACCCTGTCTCAGAAAACTAAATAAATAATGAGTAAGCAAACAGGCAAATAGAGAAATAAATAAATACGACTAAGAAATAAACTTGACAACCTCAGAACCACAAAAAGGAAAAACAAAACAAAAAATAATGGGCTGTTTTTTCCTTCCATTTGTTTTTTCAGTGCTAGGATAGAATACAAGGTCTGGTGCATGGAAGGGAGAATTCTACCAGCTCAGCTATCTCCCCAACTCCAACGTGACCTCTAAAAGTTGAATAGTTGGTAAATTTCTACTAGACATATAAATAGACACGATTATACAATTTATAATAAACCCAGTAGAGTTTATTATTATTTTCTATTTTTTCCTTTTGTCTGTCCTAGGTGCCTTCTATCCATTTGAAAGAAAAGCTTAGGGGTGCTAGTGTGAGCAGGGACCACAGGGACAGCAGACATGCATTGTGCTTGTATTGGAAACCCTGTGTTAAACAAGAAAAAAACAAAAACAGATCGAAAACAACTCCCCCCAAACTAAAACCCAAACCAACCAACCAAAAATCCTACAGCTGGCCATAGTGGTAGAGGCAGGTAGATTTCTGTGAGTTAGTGGCCAACCTGATTTTACACATGGAATTCCAGGCCATTCAGGACTACAAGATAAGACCCTGGAGAGAGAGAGAGAGAGAGAGAGAGAGAGAGAGAGAGAGAGAGAGAGATCCAGCCATGAGTGGCTCCCATCTCTTCCTGGATTTTATCCTCCTCTTTCTACATAAATATTTCACTTTGGTAACAGTGATATCTGAAGCACCATTCTGAGCTGTAAAATGGAAATAATGTGTTATATTGTCACTAGCTTCATTTCTATTATTCTCTTTCTCTGTGTGTGTGTGTGTCATCATGATGCTATGTCAGTGACCAGTAGATTTGTTCTGTTCTCCTCTGCAGATCCTGTGTTGGTTTGTACAGATTTCTCTGGGGCTGAAGCATATTCACGACAGGAAGGTATTACACAGGGACATAAAATCTCAGGTAAGAGCTTGTACAGGTGACCCAAGACACATGAGTCTTATTCTTTTTTTGAATATGATTTTTCTTCACCTTTAGAATATTTTTCTTAGCAAGAATGGAATGGTTGCAAAGCTCGGGGACTTTGGAACAGCAAGAACAATGAATAAGTGAGTACTTGTAAAGTTCCGTATTTATTTTTATTCAAAATCAATGAAGTGTTCAGTTTGAGGCATTATATATTAAGATAGTAAAAGTTTCATTATCTCCAAAGTCTTAGGTGACTATGAATAGGTATTAAATGACTTAACTGTCTGCTGCTAAAATTGTGACCCTATGGGATTTGAGACGTGAATCAGAGGTTAAGAGTACTTGTTCCTCTTGCAGAGAACTTCAGTTTGGTTTCCAGCACCTGCTTCTGGCATCTCACAATCTCCTGTGACTCCAGCTCCTATGCATCTTGTGTTCCTTTCTGGCCTCTGTGCCCCTTCCAAACACACAAGTACATATGTGTGTACACACAAACAAATAATGAAAGGAAAATCCAGAAATATTCTCAAGATAAATTGTGACTAATCAAATATTTAGTCTAATGGGGATGTTCTAAAGCTTAGCAAAACTGCATCCCTGTCTATATTATACTGTGCAGAAAAAAAAAAAACCTCACTTGGTTTTGTGGACTTCTTGGTATCACAAGGAAATATTTCGCTATGTGACATAGGTAAGATGGAATTCTAAGTTACAGAAAGAGCATGATGACAGCTCTATAAAATGTGTGGAAACAGGTGGGAGGAAAATTACCTGAGTTTAACAATAGGTTTTTTGGGAATTCTCAGACTCTGGGTGACTTATTTTTTATTTATTAATGTTTTTTCTTAAGGCTGTTGGGGTTTAATGCCAGGGCGTTTCACATGGTCGGCAAGGGGTCTACAGCTGTGCTATACCCCAACCTAATTTCTTTTTGTGTTTTCCAAATTTTAGAACACACAACTGCATTACACTGATGGCGGAAAAGACAGAAATCTTGCTTTATCTAAGAGATTTATTAATAATAATCATGTTCCTTGTGGAAAATTTAAGTCATAACATATGACTTAAATAATTACTGCTGCTACTACTACTGCTGATATTCTTTTGCAGTGCTATGATTCAGGGCGATCACTCTACCCCTCATTCACATGCTTAGCTATAGAATGTGTTTAAATTTAAAAAATAGACATACTTGTATATGCATACATATTTTTAACATACTTTAGATTCTTTTATTATTTTATCTGTGTGAGTATTTTGCTTACATGCATGTATTATACCGTATGCATGTCTGGTGCCTGTAAAGATCGGAAGAGGGCGTCAGATCATCTGGAACTGAACTTAGAGATGGCTGTGAGCCATAATGTAGGTGCTGAGAACTGAACCTGGGTCCTCTGTAGAAACAAGTGCTCTTAAACACCGTTCTAGCCTATGTATACTTTTTTGTGTGATAGGGTCTCATGTAACCAAGGCTATCTTTAACTTGTTACATAGCTGAGGCTAGCCTTGAACTCCTTATCCTCATGCCTCCACTTTTGCAGTACTAGAAGCATAAACTCATGGGCCATCATGCCTGCTTTTTTTTTTTTTGCTCTCTCTGTCTCTGTCTCTCTCTTCATATATGTATGTGTGTGTTTAATATATATATATAAATTTGGGGGTTGGTTTTGTTTTGTGTTTTGAGACAAGGACCTCTCTATGTATCCCTGGCTGTCCTGGAACTCATTGTATAGACAGGTGTGGCCTTCCAGCTCACAGAGGTCTGTCTGCCTCTGCTTCCCAAGTGTTGGGATTAAAGGCGTGCATTATCACACACAGTTAGAAGTTGAACTGTAAGGTTAAAAACTGGGCTTACAGAGACTCATACATCAACTAAGGAACATGCATGGTCTGCACCTAAGCCCCCTGTACATATCTGGCCAATGGTGGCTTGCTCTCCATGGAGGGTGCCTGGTGAGTGGAAGGAGGAGGGGCTGTTTCCAATATGGACTCTATTGCTTGCTTTTAGATCATTCCTCCTGGCAGGGCTGCCTTGCCTGGCCTCAGAGGATGAGGTTATTCTTAGTCCTGATGTGACTTGATATGCTGGGGAGGGTTGATGGTGGGGGAGGCTCCCTTTTTCTGGGGGGAAAGGAAGAGCGGAAGGGGGAAGTAAGGGAATGGGGGGACTAAGAGGAGAGGAGGGAGGGGGCACCCTTGGGATGTCAAGTAAATAAACTGAAAAAAATTTAAAAACCTTTGTCTTAGTCTGTTGTTCATATGAAATGTCTTGATTTCTTCCAATATGTGTATGAATACATTTTTTTTGTTCATGTTTACAATTTTCCTTAGAATATCATGTCTTCAGACTTTCTCACTAATGAAACATGTTTTTTTGTTTACTCTAACTTCCTAGTTCCATGGAGCTTGCTCAGACGTGTGCTGGGACACCTTACTACCTGTCCCCAGAGATCTGCCAGAACAGGCCATACAACAACAAGACGTGAGTGGCTCTTGCTTGGAGAGTGTCAGTCAGATCTGGTAGGAGACACTGAATGGCAGGGACTGACGTTCCAGTCTCTCCTTTGCTGAAATTTGTGCATTTTCCTTTTCTGTGAGACAAGAATCCCAGTGACTAACCATGAGTAATAATGTTTCCTGAAGCTTTTGGAGTTATTTAAGACAGAACAATTTCTCTTTATTTAAAGATGCAAAAAGATAAAGGGTAGCATCACTGGGGCAAGAGAGATGGCTCCATGGTTAAGTGCATGCTGCTCTTGCAGAGGACCCAAGTTCGGTTTGCAGCACGTGTGTCTGTGGCTAACAGCCACCTGTAACTCCAGCTCCTGGGGATCCGACACCTGCGGTCTCCGTGGGTACTTGTGCTCACTTGCACTTACCCACACAGACAGAGACACATCATTAAGATCGTGTCTTCTAGGAATGTCAGAAGCTACAGTCATTGAAGTCTCACCAATGTGATGGCTGAAACACGATCTGAACAAGGATGACACTGACAGACATTTTAACAAGGGTGGAGGAAAGCTCACGAGGCCCCAGCCCTACACACACACATACAAAAAAATCTACAGGCAACTAAGGAATGCTGCGAGTGGGAGAAACAGTCTCCTGCTGAGAGTGGACAAAGCCCTGTGAGTGTGTGTGTTGACATGAGGTCGAGGACCCTGGAGCAGTGGCTCTCAGCTTTCCTAATGCTGTGACCCTTTAACACAGTTCCCCCTGTTGAGGTGACCCCCCCAACCATAAAATTATTTTTATTGCTGCTTCACAATTGTAACTTTGCTGCTGTTATGAATCGAAATGTAAATATATTTTGGAGACAGATGTTTGTCAAAGGGGTCGTGACCCACAGGTTGAGAACTGCTGCTCCAGAGTCTTAGGCCCATGGAGGCCTGCTAAGGCCTTTCCCTTGGGTGAAGTTGAGAGGCACGGCAAAGCCTTCCCTGGGGACCAAGTGCATGTGCTGACAGTGTGTGCAGAGAATGTCCACCAGAACTTTCCTCCTCTTGCGTGCTTACGGCCTGATGATTGCTCCCTGGCAGAGACGGGAGAAGTTGAATTAGAGACATGATGGAGTGCCTTTAGTAGTTAATTATCTTACTTGTTTAGGAAATTCCAGTGCTCATTTGGCTGTTTGAGCTTCTTAGACAACCCCCGAGAGATTTCAAGAATAATAGCCGAGACTTTGAAGAAGTTAGTAGGAGGCAGCTTCGAGTTTCTGCTTTTGTTCGGGGGTGGTAACCAGGCGTGCTTTTGGGCTCTGTCACAGAGCCCAACATGTAGCCAGGCTCTTAAGCCTCAGACTGGAGCAGTGGCTTAGTGGTTAAGAAAATTCTGGCTGCTCTTCAGTGGACCTAGGTTCTGTTTTTTGAGTAGAATTTATCTTCTTAAATCAACTGTTTTCCATCCTCTGAGTCATATAAATGTATTCTGGAGTCTTGCCTTTTTCCTCTAATGTACCCCCAATTCCATCATACACACATTTCATTTGTGCACATGAAGTAAATATTTAGCTATTATACTGTAGTAATATTCATTTACCTGTTGTCTGACAACAGGATCCTGACAAACTTGAAATGATTACTTTGCTTTTTATCTTAGAATTGACAATGTATCCGAAAGCCCCTGTAAAACCACACCAACCTAATAAAATGAAGTTATACCCACAGAAAGCAATATAAGAGGTGAAAACTTCTACCAATAATTGTCGCCCTTTCCTGGCCATGTAACCCCTTTTCTTCTCCAGGGATATTTGGTCTCTTGGCTGTGTCTTATATGAGCTCTGCACACTCAAGCATCCTGTAAGTACGGTGATCATCATGTGAACCTTCAATTATTGAAAGCATATATATGAAAACAACTTCTCAGAGAAAAGGATTAATGTTTGAGTCTATTAGATTGTTTGAAATTTATATGTGTATGTATATAAGAGAGAGATGGAGAGATAGAAAGACAGAGACATACAGAGAGAAAGTATAATACTATAAAGTAGAATGTCCACATCGGAGAATAGCATGTGCAGCATAATTCCATTACACATATGTTCTTCAAAAGCAAAGAGTATGGGGGGGCAGCATCTGTAGGAAATCAAGCACAGACTTCTAAGATCTTCCAATTGTCACATGGGATGTGGTGATTTTTCTAACAACAAGTCGTGATGGATGTGAAGTCTTGTGAGTTCATTAGGTAGCTTATTTCCATGATTTACTGGAAGCTGGCCACATAGGCACCATCTGTCTGCATTCGCAAAACTTCTAAGGCTCCTGGGAGCAAACCACATGTTCAAAGTAAATCATATTATTTGCACAAATGTCTTAGACAAAGAGAGCCACTCTTAACATTTAGGCATGAGTGGAGTTTCTCTGCAAACGTTGGGTCCCAGAGACTTCAGACAAAGCCAATACTGTAGGCCGGACTTTCTATGGCTTGTCAACTCTCGCCCATGCAGCTCTCTTCATTATCACTGTTGCTAATGTCAAAGTCCACCTAGCTCCCATCTGAACAAAACCTGCATGTCACTGCCACACGATAGCATTCAACATTATCATGAATAATAAGTAAGTGGTACTTTCATATAATAGAAGACTTTATTGTGGGTGAGCTTATGAGTAAATATTTATGTTACAGTATTTGAACAATCAAAAGGTAAAATGTCATATCAGCATGAATATCTCTGTAAGATAAACATTCTTGAAAAGAGTATAAGAAAATATGCCCCTAGGCTGTGAAATTATACCTATTTTTCTGTTTATAACTTCCTGTGCCTTCCAGTTCATAGAACACACACTGTGCAAATGAAGGGCCCTGGATTCAAGACCAAAACCAAAACCAAAATGAAAACATTAAAAGTATAAAAGTAGCTTTAAGTAACACCGAATCTCTTAGAGTAGCTGCCTGAAGCATCCGCTTATCACTGATAGTGATGACAAGACAGGGCAGACCATAATGCTTCCTACTGCAGCTTAGAAATGCTTATGGGCTGTGGGTGTAGCTCAAGGGTAGAGCATCTGCCTGGCAAGAGCAAGGCCCTGTGCCAATGCCAAGCACAGGCAGACAGGCAGATAGAAGATGGGTAGATAGAGGATAGGTGGGCAGATAGATGATAGATAGATGATACATAGATAGATGATTGATTTTATATATATATATATAGATGATAGATACATAGAGAGATGATAGATGCATAGATGATATGTAGATACATAGATGATGGCTAGATGGTCAAAAGCTAGATAGATAGTTGATAAGTATAATAGATAGATAGATGATAGATGATAGTCAGGCAGCTTTTTTTTCCTGATGTATTTATTATGTTAACTACCAGTACTTAGCTTGTCTCTGATGTGTTATCATTAACCTTGTCCTTTCAGTTTGAGAGTAACAACTTACACCATCTGGTTCTGAAGATTTGTCAAGCACGTGTGGCTCCCATATCACCCCACTTCTCTCTTGACCTACAGTCTTTGGTACCTCAGCTCTTTAAAGTGTCTCCTCGGGATCGACCATCTATTAATTCCCTTTTGAAAAGGCCCTTTTTAGAAATTCTTGTTGCCCGATACTTATCTCCTGAGGTAGGTTTGGGGGTGATTCTAGGTTTTGGTGGAGATTTTGGATGGTAAGTTCTTGACACATATATTTGATTTAGGTCCACTCCAGAAGAATTCAGTCCCATTTTCACATGCAGAACGCTGCTGCTGGCCTCACAGCTGGCTGGGGAGGCAGTCCATGGTAAGAATCATCATGTAACTGTGTAACCAAAGAGCATCAGAGGGTTGCTGGGAGTGTAGCTTTAAAACCTGAAATTTAATTCTTAGCAGGGCATCACCACATGTGTGATCTCAGCACTTGGGAAGCTGAGGGGAAAAGGTTCACAAGTGATAGGCTTACCTAAGCTCTGTCTGTCCCCCAAAAAGAGAAGCCCAAAGCTAGTTTGTCATACTCTGTCCAAAAAAAAAAAAAAAAAAAAAAAAAAAAAAGTGGTCAAACTCCTTGGGGTTGCTGGGGTTGCTCAGTGGTGAACAACATGAAGAAGCCCTGGCTCAATCTTTAGCATAGAAGAACCAGAAAGGGAAGCACCCATATCGTAATTTGATTCATTAAGTGCGACTGGGTTTCCACTGTGTGAGAGATGCTTTGCTTCAGTGCCAGCACACTGTGTGCTGTAAAAAAGAAAGAAAAAAAACGTTCGTCACATGTGTATCACACAATGAGTTTGGTGATATGAATGTGGATAGTTAGAAAATACAGGTGTATCAGCGGGCTAGAAACCAGCTGGTCACGTGGGGACAGATGGGGGTTCTAGCTCAGAAGTGACTGGGGAACTCAGCTCCTTTCTTCTCGTTAGAACGTGACATGCTGGTAGAGATGCTCCAAGTGGCTAAATCAGAGCTTGCTTTTCGCTGGTGTGAAGAAGGGATGAGAGTGCCAGGAAAGGACAGAGCGGGACAATAGTCAGAGATCGACCCTGAGTTATTGTACACTCATGGAGTGAAGTTTATTCTGAAATTTAAAAAAAAAAAAAAAAAGGACTAGCCATTAAGACTAAATTTAAAAAAAAAATCTTTATTTCAGTTTATTTACTTTACATTCCAAGCATATCGCCTCCACCTCTCCTCCCAGCTTCCCTTTTCCCTCCTTCCCCCTTCCCTTCTCCTTACTCCCCAGAAAAGAGGACCCTCCTCCCCTGGATCAACCCTCCCCAGTGCATCAAGTCACATCAGGACTGAGCATATCTTCATCCCCTGAGGCCAGGCAAGGCAGCCCTGCCAGGGGGAAGTGATCCGAAAGCAGGCAGAGTCCAGGTTAGAAAAAGCCCCCACCCCCTCCACTCGCCAGGCTCCGCATTTGAAGACCAAGCAGCCCATCAGCCGCCTATATGTAGGGGGCTAGGTCCAGACCATGCATGCTCCTTAGTTGATGTCTCAGGCTCTGTTAGCCCCCATGGGACTCGGGCATTCATCTCTGTAGGTCTTCTTGTGAGGTTCCTGTCCCCTCCAGGTTCTTCCATCCTTCCCCCAACACTTCCACAGGACCCCCGGAGCTCTACCTCATGCTTGTCTGCAAGTCCCAGCATCTGTCTCCATCCACTGCTGGCTGGAGCCTCCCAGATGACGGTCAAGTTAGGCTCCTGTCTGCAAGCATAGCAGAGTATCATTATTAGTGTCAGGGCCTGGCTCTTTTCTTTCTTGAAGTTGCATTCTGTTAACTTTGAACCTCAAACTACAGATGAAGTATGAATTGTATGACTAAGGTGACAATCCACCCAATCAAACTGGTGCCTGAAATGACTAGTGAAAATGTTTACTCAAGGGCTGGGAATATTGGAGCTGAGCAGTAGAGAATGTGCTAATCCCCAGGGCCATAAAAAGAAGGAAGAGGAGAAGAGGAAGGAAGGAAGGAAGGAAGGAAGGAAGGAAGGAAGGAAGAAAGAAAGAAGGAAGGAAAAAAAGAATGAAGGAGAGAAAGAAAGAAAGAAAGAAAGATGATAGAAAGGAGAGAGTGGGAGGGGGGATTATGTTTAAGTGGATTATCCTGTTTTCTCAGGTCTGCTGCGTTCCTTCAGGGGAAATTTGAAGCTCAGCAATATAAGTTAAAAGTGGAAAGACAATTGGTGAGTAAGACTCCAGCTACAGGAGTGCTCAGGAGTTCGCTAATAGATTCTCTATTCTCAAACGTTTATGGGTCCAAATTCATTCTGCTATAAATTCAAGGCCATCCACCATTTTCTTTACTTTTTATTTATAGACAGAATGTCACTTTTTAGCTCCGGACTGGCCTGGAACTCTTTATGTTTATAGCAAGCTGACCTCAAGCTCTTCCTGATCCTCCTGCCTCAGCCTTCTGGGTGGGGGCTACAGTTCTTAGTCTCTCTATCACACCCTGGGGATGATAAACCTCAGCAGAACTTAAGCTACAGCTACAACTGGTCAGCCCAGCAAATGGACACAGATGGTAGCAGAGAATAACCGTTGCTTATGGACAACACCAGTGGTTCCATTTTAAAATGCTGTTTTAATCTTTAGTGTTTCAATTAAGAAATTCTGCTACTCACCGTAAAATCTCCCACGCAGATTGCTTGATGATATACTTCTTGTCTCCAGTAAATAGCCCAGGTTACGCCAGAATATTCAAGCATGCCTTTTAAATGTTTTCATTCAATAAACAGGGTCTCCGTCCATCTTCTGCTGAGCCACATCCCGATGACAGAGAAAAGCTACAAATCCGTGGAAAGGAGACTAACTTCCAGGAGCTGCGGTGTAGGAAGAACAAAATGAAGGACCAGGTTTTCAAATGTCCAGTTTTCTCTGCCACTGTGCATATGTCGTGGTCCTCCACGGGGCAGCCTTTCTCACCCCATGCCATCACTGCTCCGCATCCCTATGGACACAGAGCTGAGCTCACAAGCGTTTGATAAAGTGACTGTCTATCACTAATTCAGGGCGATTTTTATGAATTCTTCTAGGACTGCTGTAATGAGATACAAACTTAAAACAGCAGTAATAGCGCATCCTAATTTTGGAGGCTGACGTGAGCACCAGCGAGGGCAGTCATGCACCCGAGCCTAGAAGCCTGCACACAGTAGGGCTGCTGGCTTCTCGACCTGGCATGTTGTGTTGGTTGTTCATGTGTGCATGTCTGTGCTGGGATCGAGGCGTCTGGAGTTATGATGTTTGAGGTGCTTTTTGGTGTGGATTTCTGCTCTGGTCTTGATTGGGTAGGTGCTCAGTTCCTTGGTTACTGTTTTCCAGTCTAAGTCCTAGGCAAGCATGGCAGCCGGCCGTGGGGGTCTCTGGGAGAGGATCGTTCTGCATGTCAGTAGGGAGCCACAAAGGAGCAGAGATGGGTTAGAAGAAAAGATTGAGAGAAGCTGTTGGAGAGAGCAAGGGAAGAATCCTGGGTTTACACCAAGAGGCTGAGTTCCAGGTGGGTGGAGATGCTCTGAGGGGAGGGGCTTCTGTGGGCAGCGGCTGCAGGACTCAGGGTGAGTCTGGAGAGACTATGATAGAGCATAGAGAGAGGATAAAGTTTCTGGTGGGGAGAGGGTCTGTGAGGAGGCAGGGCCACAAAGGACTGGAGATGGTAGAAGGAAGGCTGAAAGCTGTTTCCAAGAAGTAGATGGACCCTGGGTCCATACCAAGCAGCCAAGTCCCCCATGGATGGGAGTGGACTGTGCTCATTTTCTCCAAAGGAGTCTACTCAGATTGATTGAGGGCTCACTGTACTCCAGGATGACTTCATTTTAGCTAAATACATTTGCAAAGACCCTATGACCAAATAAAGTCATCCTGGGGCCCTGTGTGGTTAGAGTTCAGGGTAGAGTGGCAATGGTGGTGATGATGATGAGGAGGAGGAGGAGGAAGAAGATGATGAGTGAGAGTCTACGTGTTACCCAGAATAGTCTTGAACGCAAGTGATTTCCCCGTTTTACTCTTCCATGTAGTTAAGACCAAAGGTGTGAGCCCCAGCTTTGACATATCTTTTGAGGGGCAACACATTAAACTAATGCAAAAATGGAACATGCAGGTAGGTGCATATGATTCGGGATTGTAATAAACAAAGATCTCTGCTCCATACCGGTGAGTCCTTCCCGGGGTGCCACACTGGTATGAACTACCACAGCCAACATGAGCACATTGGTACACTTAGAAGCTGCCTATTTTGAAATGCTTACTTATGTTTCCAAAACTGTGGGCTATGCGGAAGTTATTTTGAAGTTTTAAATTGGCTCTGCTTTCCAGGAATATTGGAAACAGCTCGAGGAAATTCGCCAACAGTACCACAGCGACATGAAGGAAATTAAAAAGAAGATGGGGAGAGAGCTGAAGGTAAATTCACCTTACTACAGCCAACCTTGTTCTATCAGTTTAGAGTTGACAAAATGACTAGATGTTAAAAGCAATGATCTTGATAATAGGAGTTTGTGCTTAGCATACCCAAGGCCCAGTGTGCAATACAACACACACACACACAGACACACACATGGACACGGACATGGACACACAGGCATATGCACTTCCGCATACCCCCCATATACACATGTACACACACATGCGTGTGTTCACACACACATGTATGTACACATGCACACACAAACACACAGAGACACATGCACATTTGCACACAGTCTCCAACAGGAACAGCATCACTTTCCTTTTTTGGATGATATTAAATTAGTAATGGTTTTTAAGTTACCACAGGACATGATGGGTTTGCTTGTGGCCCTTTTCTGCCCTAGATGGTCTCTCTCCTGCTATAAATTTCTAGCTACATATGAGGCAAAGTGCGTATATTTGTCTTTTTTCCTCCTCCAAGAACATTTCCATTAGAGACAAACCACATATAAAATGGTGGACTCACAGGACTATATTGTCTTAGTCTTCATAGCTACATGCTGTGGTACGTACATTTCTCAGGATGTACTTCTTTCATTCTTGGAAAACCCATAATAGTACCACACTGGAAACATCCTTCTATCTCTCAAGTTTCTAGACCTGCCGCAGACCGCCTTCTCTTTAGAAGATCTGTGCTAAGCGGCCTGCTCTAAATGAGCCTGTGCTGGATGTCAGGATTGGGTCTCTCCAGAGCAAAGCTCCATTCGTACTGGAGCACCTTGAGCCACCATCAGCTTTATGTGGTGGTCTGTGGAAAGCCTGCGTCCAGAAAAGCTGAACGCAGCTTTTTCTTCTTCCTTCCTTTCTCTCTGCCTTTCTTTTATTTTTGTGTCCCGGGGACCAAACTCAGGATCTGTGCTAGCCAGGAATGGGGAGCAGGTGTTTCTAGAGAGTCTGTGAAAGAAGCATTTGGTGAAAACTCAGTCAATTTCAAGGCAAGGGAGGAATGAAGAAGCTTTGAGGTGTCTGTGACCAGCAGTTCATGCTGTCAGAGAGGGGCAGATGGTAAGCAGCCAACCTCACTGTATGTGATCTGTGTTAAAGGAACATGCAGACCTCAGTCAGAAAACCTATTTGGTGAAGAGGAGCGACATGCCCTGCCACCCTGATGCACCGGAGGAAGAAGCCTGCATGCAGGTAGAGATGGCTATGGCCAGAGGTTTGTGAGCTCCGGCTGAGCCACTCAGTCATGTGGGGAACTTTTCAAAAGCTCACATGCTCTGTGGTCAATTCCTGTCTCCTGTTTCTCCCAGTCACCCCCCACTACACACCATCCCTAGGCAATCGCTCATGACCTTTCTGTCACAGTGGGTTACTTTGCATTTTGTAGCTGTGAGCACATCATGTAAGTGCCATCATCCTTTCAGCGGGCTTCTTCCATGCAGCCGGAAGAAGCGTTGCATTTCACCTGTGCTGCTCAGATAGTTTATCACCCCTCGTCACTGTGGAGGATATTCCACTGTATAAATATTTCAGGATTCATCGTCAACTCAACAATAGATGGCTATTTAGATGGTTTCCAGCCTGCAAACGGCTGGGGCCATCACAGGCAAGTGTGGTCCTCATGTGTGTCAGGGTACTGTCTCCCTTTTTCCTTACTGGGGTCCACAGTGTCCACAACTAACCCTGAAGCTGATTGGTTATGCTAAGCTTGTTTCCCAGTGTTGCAGTTACAGGCACACCTAGCCACGCCCAGACTTTTACATGAGTACAGGGAGTTGCAGTGCGGAGCCTCTTGCTTAGGCAGCAAATGATTTTACATGCTGAGCCATCTCCCATCCCGAAAAATCAAGTCCCAGCCATATTTAATTTTTGAAGAAACTGCTACATTTGTTAGCGGAGTGGGCGTTATGTTCCCACGAGCCTCGTATGAGCGCTTGTATCAGCTGTCTCCTCACTGGGACTCGATCCTTCAAACTCTAGCAACCTTGGTAACCCCGTGTTCTCAGCCTTGCCTTGTCAACACAGCAGTCTCCCAGCCCAGCAAGCCGCCAGGAGCATAGGCAAGGCTAGTTCCTGGATTCATCTCACTGGTTCCTGTTCATGTGTCACGCTGAATGTGGCTGTGGCTGTTTTAGGTAGATGAGGAAATACGGCCCCTGGGATTCTCTTTCTCTCGACTGGGAGCTAAAGTCTGGAAAGCCAGTTTTGGTGAGGGATAGGAACAATGCACAGTTCCATCCTGGACAAACTCAGTTTAAGACCTGAGGATTACACGGCCATCCCAGTGGGCACTTTGCCCTGCTGGTCCCACTGCATAGAAAAGGTTTTTCTTGGATCTTCATATGTTAAGGCCCAATGTCCAACCTCAAAATCAAATACATTCATACAGGTGTGCATGATCTAGAGGACATATGTGGAGGTCAGAGGACACCTTTTGGGAGTTGATTATTTCCTTCTGCGGGTCCTAGGTCACCAAATTTTCAAGGCAAGGGCTTTTACTTGTTGAGCCATCTTGCCAGTTCTTCTATTTTATGTTCTCTATTCATGTAAGGCTTGCTTGAAATCATGTCATAAATTTGTAAACTTATGTGTTACCTAGCCTACTCCCAGGACAGTGTAAGCTTTATGCCAGTGGGTCCTTTTTGGCAACATCTATTGTGTTCTTCATCGTGTAGGGCTGTGGATCCCAGAAGGCAGGATGGCTCAGTAAGAATTTGTAGTACTCTAATTCCCCAACCAGCCAGATCTGTCACCTTCCCTAGGCCTAGCCTGACCCCCTCCCCTCCACACACCCTCCATAACCCACCAGTTCTAGTCCTGGTCCAGGGCCACAGTCTAGTCTGGTCACCCCTCTAGGTGGTGACCAACCTCTAGGCTTCCACCAGGACCTACCTTGACACACACACATAAACACACCCTGTTGTCAAAATTACTCTCTGAGGCTGAGATGTGGCTTGATGGTAAAGCCCTCACCTAACATATAGGAATCCCTGGTTTTATCCCCGGTACTGCAAAAGAAAATCATATTCTTTAATTAAATTGGGCTAAACTGCATGGGAGCAATGAGCATTTTGTCACATTGTAGAATTTTTGCTCATTAAAAAGTTAATGTTAACAGTGTTAAATACATGACTCTTTCAACTTGATGGGCGCCGTACCTAACTTTTTAGTGAATTAAGCTTTTCTTGGCAAAAGTAAATGTTTTTATTCTAAAATGAATCATCAAATTCCTTGTAGAAATCATTACAGAAATACACGGCCATGTAAATTTAGACATTGTGAATATATAATTGATACGAGGTGACAGAACAATGTTTTTCTCTAAGCTTTCAGAATATTGAGAGAGACTGGAAACAAACGGCTTCAGAACATAGAAGAGTAAAATCCAAAAGCAGAGACATGTTAAGGTCTCCCACTATCTCATAAAAAGCTCTACTGTCTGGCGCTGCACTAATGGTCTTAAGCATATGTGGTGTCAACGTGAATTGACCTCTGGGGTTATAATTTGAAGGTTTTATTAAACTGCTAAGATTTTTTTTCTTGCTTATTGTAGAGAGGAATAAAGTTTGAAATTAGCCTAGATATTTCTGAGGAAGACACCGTTCAAGAAAACAAGGTATGTCGTTAGGTACATGCTGCCACGATCAGCTATGACAAAGTGAGTCTGTCTTCAGGTTCGTGAAATTGTAGCACAGGCTGTAATGAAGATATCCTTAAATGAGTTATTTTCCCGACAACGTTACCTTTTTTTATTATTGCTAGCAACAATAAACATGTCATCAGTTAATATGCTGACTTAAAAAAAAATCAGCAACCAGCAAGCAACCTGAATGTGTTTATTTTAGGTCTCAATTAGCTCTAATAACTTTTCAGCTGCCTATGGGTAAATCTCATGTGCAGAAAAACCCAGATTCCCATTTTATTACTTGATTTTAGCACCTTTTAAAATTTCACCTTTCATCAGAACTCGTGACAAGTATCAGTGTTAATCAATTAACGATTTCTTTTTTCTATTATATCTCCTCTAAACTCATCGTTTAGATTATTAAAAGTGAAATATGAATAGACATGCCTGACATTCATTGTGTGTGTTGCTAGAGGTTAGACCATATATGCTCTTATATTCTTATATATATTCTGCCACTGAGCTATTCTCTGAGCTCTCTCATGTTCTCTATCATCCTTTGGTGCTGGTAATGCAGGTCGATGGCCGAACACGCTAACATTCAAACACTGAGTCCAGTCTCCCAATTTTTAGGTCATTGTTTGTATTTTTATAAACATTTTGCTACACTGTGACCCAGTTACCATGGTGGGAGTTAATGTTTACTCAACCATTTGGCCTCTGATGTCCCAGAATGGTGGGATCTGAGCAGAATAGGTCTGAGGAGGGGCACATCCCATGGCTTCCATGATGTGAGGTGCTGGCTTGAGAAAAGAGACGCCAGACAACTTTAGCTGCCGGTGTGTTCCTTCTTTCTTAGTCTATGCTTTTTATGCTTGAAACCAAAGTGACCATTTTAGTATTGGTGGTGGAGTATGAGGAGCACCTGTAAAATTGGGTGTGATTGGTGCCTATGGTGTCAGCTACTGGGAAGGCTGAGCAGGGTGATTGTGGGAGTCCAGGGGTTCTAGAACACTGTGAACAACAGTGAGGCCCCAGCTTAAGAAGAAAAAAGAAGGAAGCTGGAGAGGTGGGCCGGTGGTTAAGAACAATGGTTGTTCTTCCAGAGAACCTGGAGTATTAGACTCCCAGCGTACATAGCATCCCACGATCATCTGTCATACCACTTCCAGGGACTTATCACTCTCTGCTTGGGCACCAGACACATAAGTGGTACACAGACATACATGTAGACGAGGTGCTTATGTACATAAAACAAAAGTAAATACATTTTAAAAAAAGTAGAAGAGGAATATTATGTTGGATACTGAAAGCAAGGCTTGGGTAAGAAGCCCCTGAACCGACTAGTGTGATTCTGAAGTAGAGCGCCTGGGTAAAACTGAAGTTGTCTGTCATCAGTGCTGGCCGCCATTTGCAAGAAGAAATGAAAACCTTGCTGTGTCTGTCTCAGTCAAAACAGTTTCACCCTTAAAACTATATGGAATTGTATCACAAAAACATATAATATGCATACACACACGTACATAAAACACTCATCATGTAACTTGAAAATTAAATTTGGGAACACACACAAAATTAATGCACTAAACTGTCAACATGGCTTCTTTTTCCTGAAAACTTGTGAAATTTCTTTAGGCAATGGATTCACTAAAGGATACGTTAAGCTTTGAAGATGGCATGAAGTTTCAGAAGTATGGATGTGGGAAGGAGCATGAAGATTACACAGACAGAGCCTTTGATAAGCTCTGTGGCCCAGAAGCAGGTACATGTTGCTTGAAAGACGTGGAGGAAGAAGGGGCTTTTCACGATCCATCCCCAACTCTGGGGATGTGGCTTCCTTGCCCTCCCGCCCCCATTCTTCATCCAGCGTTCCCTCGTGCTCCACACACAGGGAAGGTCTACCCTGTCAATTTCAGCACCTCTAGGAGTGCCACAGGTAGGGGTCTGCCTCGTCACCTGGCGGACAGGTGTGCGGGCAGGCGTGACCAGTGCCTTAACCTCAGTATGTGTCCTCCTCCGTCCCAGAGACCTCTGCTTCAGGTCAAGGCTATTGCCAGGGTGATGGTTCCTCCTCCACACCCAGGCAGCTTCTCCTCAGAGACGCCTCTGAACTTTCCCTTTGCCTCCGTGCCTTCCGCCAGGTAGGGCTCTGTCGCCCTTGAGCCCTGCGTTGACATAGGAAACCATGAAAAAACTCAGGGATCTGGAGCCAGCGGCAGTTTAAATCCCAGCTGGCACTGGGGTTTCTGGTTGTGGAACATGTTTTTGAAAGTTTCTTTCATATTCTGAAGCTCCTTGACCTCTCTGAGGCACGGGGAATAGTAGCAGCAATAGGCACACGGGGTTGCTGTAGCCACCAGGAGGGATGGATGATATGCACAAAGTATCTGCCTAAATGATAGGTGCTTAATAAATGCTCTTCTCTTGATTAAAGAGAAGACTGATTGGCTTTTCTAAGTGTGTGTCTGCACGGGTTTGTCTTCACTGCTCACACGAAGGAAGGCGCTGGTGGAGGTCATAGGTGGCAGTTCCAGTTCCACAGCAGTTGCAGGAGGCTGTGAGCTGCCTGATGTGGGTGCTGGCAACTGAACTCTTGTCTGTGAAGGGACTGTAAGCAGTCTGAACCACCAGGACCTTTTTTTTTTTTTTTTTTTTTTTTAGTACTAAAGGACTGAAAATAGCAGGTTGGTTTGTTTGATCATACCAAGTAACTTCTCTTTTTATGTTTTTTATTTTAAGGCAAGATCTCACTTCATTGTCTGAGCTGAACTTGAACTTGCTCTACAGACAGCCCAGGCAAATCCTGCCTGTGCCACCAGACAAGCTTTTCTTGTTAGTTTTGTTTGCTTGTTTGAGATGGTCTCATTATATAGCAGCTGACTTTGAACTAGAATTATACACTAGAATTGAACACTACCATGTAATTAATATGCTTTATTCTCTGTAATTGCTTGCATGGCTAGTGGTGCTACACTGTTACTCTGCTTGTATCTTTTGATAATTCTGGTGGGTTAAAGTCCGTTCCTCATAGCTTCACTTTGAGCCCTGTATGATCCTGTGATGACTCACCCTTCTCACCTTTGGTCTCTAATGAGATCCACACCACTGCAAGAATACTTGCCTCCCCAGTTAGCCGTGCAAACATTTGCATACGTGGCTTGCCTCAGTTTCCCCTTTCTATACTATTCTGCTTGATTTTCACCTGGAAATGTTGCTACAAGATTCACTGAGCATCTTACTTGTGTGTCACCCATGCATGGCCAGTGGTAGAGAGTGCAAAGGCAAAAGAAACCTGATCACAGCCCTGACATATCATGATTAAAGAAAAGCAGGGGCATGTTCTGAGCCCAGTATGCTCTTCGAAGCTGGGATAAGACCTGGCTGGGAAGATGGGGACATCCCCATTCCTTCAGGGCTTGGAGTGCTCATGAAGCCTGAGCTTTCCTGTGCAGGTAATGGTTTTCGATCAAAGGGCACTAGGTCCTTGGGACAATGGCTCAGGCTATAGAGTGCCTGCTGCCCAAACATAAAGACCAGAGTCTTGAGATGCCCAGCACCTACATAAAATGCCAGGCCTGGCAACCTGGCCTGTAACCCCGGTGCCAGTATGTGTGTAGAGACAAGAGGATGCCTGAAAGCTGTTGGCCAGCCCGCCTAATAAAATCTATGAGCTCCAAGTGCAGTGATTGTAATTTGAAAGTGATTAAAGAAAGACGCTGACATGGCCTGGTGTGGTAATGCATACCTATCATCCCAGCTCTTAGGCTCTGCGCATGGTGGCTCTTGCTTGCTGTTCTAGCACATGGCAGCAAGATAAGCTTGCCATGGGGTCCAAGCCAGTCTGGGACAACAAAAGGGGGCATGTTGGGAGGAGAGAGAGAGAGCAGTTAGTTAAAGCTCTCTGCAGTTTCATCCTTCCATGTTGGATCTGTTAGAAGCCCAAGTGGTTCCTGTGGCTTAGACATCCTGCTCTTGGGTCCCTGTGCTAGCTGGTCTTCTACCAACATGACACAAACTGCAGTCATCTGGGGGAGAGGGAGTTTCAATAAAGTAGTGGCCTCTGTCAGGTTGGCCTGTATGCAGGTCGGTGTGGCATTTTCTTGATTGATGTGGGAGGGCCCCATTCATTACGGGCGGTAGCTCAATGTGAGCCTGAGAGCCAGCCAGTAAGCAGCACTCTTCCACAGCCTCTGCTTCAGTTCCTGCCTGGAGTGCCTGCCCTGACTTCCTTCCCAAAGAACTGTGTACTGTAAGATGAAATAGACCCTTTCCTCCAAAAGTTCCTTTTGGCCATGGTGTTTGTTACAGGAATAGAAAGCAAACTGGGACAGTCGCTAAGAACTGTTCAGTGCTGTTGTTGTGCTCTGGCTGCTATAGAACTAATGGGTTCTTTTCTTACGCCTAGAGGGCTTGTTTCAGGATATCGTTGCCGTGGAGAACAGGAGGCAGTGGGACGCCAGAGCACCTCAGACTCTGCTGCAGATAATGGCAACAGCAGATGTCACCTCCACCTGCCCCACCATGCCTGATGGTGAGTCTTTGGTCCATTGTCCACCAGCAGCAAGTGAAGACCAGGGCGTGGAATGGCTATGTGGCCAGCACACACTCTATTGGAACAGTTGCCACTTTTCAGTCTCCAATCATTTTACAAAGACATTGTTTTGGCATCATGAGCATTGTTGAGACTTGTCTGCTAGTTATCTTAATAGGTGATAACTCTGGTCATACAAGAGTGAAGGAAGAAAATTACAGCTGCCATCTTTCCTTAAGTGAGAGATGGGGAACAGGAGGGGCATCCACTGGACTTAGTTCCCGACATCAGCTTAATTATGGCCTTGTAATTTCATTGGTGGTTTCCCTCCTCACCAATAAAATTAGTCTTAAGGATAGGTAAGCAGCATTGCTGTCAAGGGCTTACCTAGCATGTGCAAGGTCCTGGGTTCAAGCCCCAGCAAACCCAGATGATCACTCGTATGCAACAAGCAGTTTTTACCCACTGAGTCATTTCTCAAGCCCTTTTACTCCCCTTGTCTTCAGCACTCAGCCCCCAAGAAAGGGTTAAAATTTAAAACTGTGCTGTAAGTTGAGTGGACAGCCAGCCATGTCCTTGGATTCAATTCATCATGAGTGGAAAATATTCAGAAAAAAGCTTTCGTCTATGCTGAACACATACAAACGTTTTCTTGTCATTCTGTAAGCAGCACAGTTTAACAGTGAGATATGTGCCATTTGCGTCACGCTGGGCTGCATATGTCATGTAGTGTTGATGGGAAACTTATGGAATAGGCTGGAGAGATGGCTCAGCAGTTAAGAGTATGTACTGCTCTTGTTGTAGAGGCCTCAATTCAGTTCCCAGCACCCAGATATGGTGGCTCATAATCCCATAGACCTCTATTTATAGGAAACTCAACAACTTCTTCTGGCCTCTTCAAGTAACTACATACACACACCCACTCTATCTCACGCTCTCTCTCTTACACACACACACACATACAAACACACATAATTACTAAAAATTAAATAAATCTTACAAATTAAGTATAATATAAACTAGACACAGTGGCACATGCAGTAATACCAACATTTGGAAGGTAGAGATGGAGACCAGGAAGATCAGGAGTTCAAGACCATCCTCAGCTACCTAGACAGGTCAAAGCCAGCATGAGCTACGTGAGACACAGTTTCATCTCCACCCCAATGAAAAGTACGTGGGAGATGTGCATAGGTTTTATGCAAATAGTGCATATTTCATACAAATGACTTAGCAGTACTCAGAATTTTACCATTTTTAGTTATGTACACTTGAATTTGTGTGTGGATGAATACACACTCAAGCAGTGCCTGTGGAGGCCATAGGCCTAGAATTTCCCTGAAGCTGGGTTTACAAGTACTTGAAAACCACCGTGTGGGAACTGAACTTGGATCCTTTGCAAGAGCAGCAAGTGCTTTCAGCTGCTGAGCCATCTCTCCAGCCCACATGGACAGGTCCCTATGTCACTGGGTGTCCTGTAACAGCTCTCCCCTGGATGCCAAGGGATGAGTGTGTATCACTGTTAGGGTAGGAGCTGACTTATAACTCTGTAGGACATCTGAGGGCACACTTGACTTACAGAGTAAGACACGGAAATTCATCACAGTTTACACAGCAAATATGACTCTCTTCTCATTAACGTGCAATAAAAGGCAGTAGAGTATATATATATATGTTTCTATATGAACAAAATGAGGAAAGTGGTTACGTCCATGATTCTGACCTTCTGTGTGTGTGGTGTTATAAAAACTGAGACAAAGAAGCATCTTTACTTTTGCTAATGTAGCCACCTTTTTCAGATGGTCAAGTGATTGTGATGGAATGCAGTCCAGAAAACGGGAAGCCATGGTGGTGGGATGTGCCAGGGACCCTGTGTGCTTTGGCAGCAGAAAGTGCCTGCAGTAGCTCATTGTCTGCCAGTAAAGAAGAACCTGGTATGTAGTTTATTTTCAACAAAGTTACTGCTGTCTCCAAGGAATTATGTCACTGCTTTACAAATGCAGAGAGGTATGAAACATACCTTTGGCTTGGAGAGAGAATTGAGAACAAGTCTGAGGGTCTTAGAAAAATAAGAGCAAAAACAACACTAAGAAAGAGTAGATGGAAAGAGGAAAGTCAGGGTTGAAATTAGTAAACAGAACAACAAAGTATATACAAAATCAATTTAAAAAAGAGTCGGTACAGCAGGCCACAATGGTGTGCACCTGTAATCTCAGCACTTAGGAGGCAGAGGCAGGTAGATTTCTTAAGAGTTTGAAGTTTGAGGCCAGCCTGGTTTACAAAGCCAGTACAGGATAGCCATGGCTACACAGTGGAAACCTGTCTCAAAAAAAAAAAAAAAAAGAGTGGTGCTTTGGAAAGATTATCAAGATTGACAAATCTTTACCTGAATTAGCCAAAAGAAAGAGAGAGAAGCCCTAAGTTAATAAAAGCAACAATGTAAGAGACATTATAACTGACACTGAGGAAATCCATAGACTCACAATGACATAGTATAAAAATCTATGTTCCACCAAACTGGCAAACCTAAAAGAAATAGATGAATTTCTTAATATGCTGACTGGAATGAAATCAAACTGAAGTGAACAATGTAAACTAACTTATAACAGGCCACAGGACAGAAGCAGTAACTAAAACTCTTCCCGGAAATGTGAACAGCCGAGATGCCCATCTGCTGAAAACGTGGTGCATGTCACACAATGGGGTATTACTCAGCTGTTGAGAAAAATGAAACTGAGGCTGGAGAGAGGGCTCAGCAGTTAAGAGCACTTGCTGTTGCGGAGGACCTAGGTTCAGCGCCCAACAACCACATAGTGACTCTCAACCATCCATTGTCTCCAGTCCCAGGGGACCCAATGCCCTGTTCGGACTTTTATGGGCACTGGGCATGCACATTGTGTGAATGCACACACACACACAAAACATCCATACACACAAAATAAATAAATCTAATATAAAAATGTAAAAAGGAAAACAAAACTATGAAATTTTCAGCTAAGTGGATGAAACTGGAAACAATCATCCTGATTGAGAAAACCTAGACACAAAGAGACGAACATCTAGGTTTCTCAGGTTTGAGTATTAGCTATGAATCTCCAGATATGACTGTCTCATTTGAATACTTAACAGAGGCCAGGAATGTGTTAAAGGGTCATTGTAATTCAAGGAGGGGGCCATACCACATCCAAGCAGGCAAATGACCTTAAGGTTTTGTCACAGCAATATAAAAGTTACTAAGACACCAGAAGAGATTCTGTATAGCCCAGGCTGGCTTCAAATTCATTTGTCCTCCTGTCTCTGCTTCCCAAGTGCTGTGATTCGTGGCAGATGTCACCATGCCCAGGGCAAGAATATTTGAGATAACAAGAATATAAAGACACATGCCAATATGAAGGAGTGTTTGTACTTCTAGTTTGCGCTTCAGGCCACATCACTTTGTGCACAAAGCACATAAACACACTGGGTTTACAGAAATTAAGAACAAAGATGGTTAAGTTTTGACAAAGCTTGCGTTTTGATACTCATGCTTTTCTTAAAATTTTTGTGTAAGCTCCAAATGGGGTCATTTTTGTCTCTTCTTGCCTGATCTTTCCTGTGACACTTCTTTTTTCATATCTTCTTGTGTTGCCTACTACTTTTAGTCCAGCATTAATCCCTTTTCTCGTCACTGATACTAAATACTCAACAACGAGCAACTGAAGGGACAAAGGAGCTCTTCTGGCTCATGATCTAAGGAGCCACTGTCCATCACAGTCAGGAAGGCATGGCAGAAGATGTCTCTGTGGTGGCAGGGGCACGTGGCAGCTGCTTGCACACAACTCAGTGCACCAGGAAGCAGAGATGGGACAGGAAGCAGGGCTGGACTACAAACCTCAAGGCTCTTTGCTCAGCAACATACACGCTCCATCTAGGAACCACCTCCCCATGGTTCTACAACCTCCCAACATGGCACCACCAGCTGTGGCCCAAGCGTTCAAACACATGAGCCTGTAGGGGGACATGTCACATCTGAACACAACATACAACTGTTGCCGTCCCTGACAGTACCGTGTTGTGACATCACGAATGGCATTTGCTGTAACATTGTGGATATACATTGCACATAGATCAGTTTTTTCATTTCTTTCGGTAGCGATAGTAAAACCACAGCTTCCTAAAGAAGACCAGGGAGAAGCAGACATAGCCTCTGGCATCGTAGTGGATGATGAAGAACTGGATCCAGTATCACATGATGATGATATGTGAGTAGGTCATGTACAAGTGAGACAGAAGATGGCTCATAGAGACCTAGCTATGGGGATCGAGTTTTACATTATAAATGGATTTGTTTGGTCTCTGTCCCCTCTCCCCACGTCTCTGTTGTGTGCACGTGTGTGCAGAGATGCATGTGTGTCTATGTGCAGCAGAACTTTTGTTGTTGTTGTTGTAGGGTTGAATCATAAGCTTGTTCCACACCAGGATACATATCTATACTCCCAACACTTGAGAGTTCTAGGCATCAGTCAGAGATAGATCCATAGATGGAGAGAGAGAGAGAGAGAGAGAGAGAGAGAGAGAGAGAGAGAGAGACTAGACTTGGTGTGGGCTTTTGAAACTTCAGTGCTCACCCCCAGTGACATACCTCCCCCAACAAGGTCACATCTCCTAATCCTTCCCAAACAGTTCCACCAACTGGGAACCAAACTTTCAAATATGTCAGCCTATGGGGGCTGTTCTCACTCAGACCACACTTGGAGGAAAAATCCCACAAGAAATTTATAAGCACAGACTTCAGTTTGCTCAGATTTGGAACTTAAATCACAATGTGTGGGTGGCCCAGAAACCCCCACACTGAGAAACCCAGCATTACGAGTAATATTAAAGGATGTTATTACTCCTAGGATCTCAGAAGAAGTAAACATAAAACATCCATGAGTTAAAATGGGTCGTATTTTCTTAGGAAAATGAAGATGAGTTCACAAATGAAATGTAAAAATAGCATCTAGCCAGGTGAGACCCTCTCTCAGAAGAAAACAAAACACAGCCACTCAGAATCTACTATGAGAGACTGTAAACACAAGAAATATCTGAATTAGGCCATGAAGAAGTTCATAGAATTATGTTGTGAAGACTATATTTTAAGTTATTTAATTAAAAAATAATTAGTCAGGAGGGGCAAGGAGTACACAGCTCAGTTGAAGAATGTTTGAGAACTTGGGTTTGTTTGTTTTTGTTTTAGAGACAGAGTTTTGCTGTGCATCTCAGGCTCACCTTTAACTTGCAATCTCCTGCCTCAGCCTCTCCAGTGTTGGGATTATAAGCATGAGCCTCTATACCTCCTGGCATTGTAATATGTGGTGTGTGTGTGTGCGCAAAGGGGGTGTGGAGAGAGAGAAATGATTCTTGAAAGTTTGTCTTCTGACTTCCACATGCTTACTACATACATACACATATTCATACATATAATAAAAAACTAAAAAGGTCTTAATGTTTGGGCTGCCATAACAAAATGCCTTAGAGTAGGTTACTTATAAATAACAGAAATGTACTTTAGTTTTAGAGTCTGATGGATTCAAGATCAAGGCGTTAACAGATTTGATGTCTGGTGAGGACCAAGTCCTGGGTTCAAAGACATTATTTAGCTGTGGCCTCACTGAGTGCAATGGAAAAACATTCCACCAGGCTCCTTTCCTAAAAGCTATGTCCTGTTCATGAGAGCAGAGCTCTCATGACCTCATCACTTCCCAAACCCTGTAATTTTACAGGTTTAGAACTTATCTGAGGTGTGTAGGACCAGCGGTGTTTTGGATAAAGGATTCTCATCTGTACCTGCTTCCTCTCAAGCATCTAAACATGCTCAAACCTCTCCCAGGGCTGGACTCCCTGAGACTGTGCACAAGCTTATTGTCCCTTGTCACCTCTATCGTCTCCCATTGCTTTCTCAGTCCATTTTATGATGACCTACACTGCCTGGCATTCCTAGGAATGGGGAAACATTTTCTCCAAGTTCATCTGTTACCATGAATTACCACCGAGGCTCATCATGTCTCTGTCTTCATCTGGCTTCTCCTTTGGCTAATTAGACCACACACTGCTTAATAATAGGACTAGCTCTTGGAAATTCATGGCTAGGTGATTTCATCTCTGTGTGAACCTCGTAGTGTGTCCTTATGTAAACCTACATAAGTACAGTACGTAAGTACAGTCACTCCACATGGCCTCTTTTGTTCTTGTTTTTCTAGACAGGGTTTCTCTGTGTAGCCCTGGCTTTCCTGGAACTTGCTCTGTAGACAGGACTGGCCTTGTACTCGATCTGTCTCAGTCTTCTGAGTGCTGGGATTAAAGGCCTGTGCCACTATGACTGGTTCACATGACCTTGTGCCATAGTCAGGAAATACACACAAGTGGGGTGAGGCTGCCCCTAGCTGAACAGTGGTCTTTGTTTTTGTGGCAGAGACTCAGGTATCCCAGACATGCTATATAGTCAAACATGCTATATAGTCAAAGATGATCTTGAACCTCTGAATCTTCTGTCCTCACCTCCTGTGTGTTAGGATTAGAGTGATGGCTGTGTGTCAAACCTAAGGCTTCATACATGCTAGACAACATTCTATCAACTGAGCCGCATCTCCAGCCCAGTGGAAAAGTGCTACACAGTAAACATTTCTTTTTCTACATAGGTGTAAGCATGAGGACCCGAGTTGGGAGCCCAGCACCTGCCTAAAACAGACATGACGTTGTGTGCGTGTAACCAGTGCCGTGATACAGCAGGATTGTTGGTTTAGTTGGAGCCTAGTTCCAAGCGGAATGAGAGATACTGTCTTGAAGGAAGAATGTGGAGTGATACAGCAGGACACCCTATGTCCTCCTCTGGCCTCTGCATGTATATAGACAACTACATCTGCGCACACTCACTCACACACACCCCCATCCCCCAGCCAAACTGATAGAATGGTTTGCTATCTGATGAAAATCCAATTTGCATAATGCTCAGATAGAAGCAGGCAATGAAAAATGAAAATAGTTTTTCTATTAGTGCTTTTATATTGAAACACTCATTTTGACTACTTATTATTTCAGAAAATTTGAAGAATCGGAAGATGAATTGAGAAGTGAAATAATAGAATCCCTGGAAAAACTTGCAACTTCCACAGAAGAAAGGGACGAAGTTCTCTGCTCCTCTAAGAATGCTGAAAAGCCACGAGAGAAAGAAAGGTTAGACTTGCTGGCCCAGAAGTTCCAGTGAAAGTCTGGAAGCTTCCTTGAGCTGTCTGATCTGTATGGCTAAGACCAAACAGATTCACCAAACGCTAGTCAAAATGGGCAAGTGTGGAAGATCTGTTTCTTATTGCTGGGAAAAGTCCACCATCTTATTGGTTTTATACATTCTGTCCTGATTATGCTCTTGAGGGACAACTCTGACAAATTCTGTTCTTAGCTTTAATGCTTCTATTAAACTGAAACTATCTGTTCATATCTTTCATGTTTGTGTTTAGAATAAAATGTATTAGGAAGAAAAAAAACAGCTTTGGCTATGTATGGCAGCTATTTCACTGGTCCTTGCTCAAACGGTAGTAAAATTCTATCAACCCTCCACTTCCCTTCTAAGTGCCTTGTAACATTTACATAGAGTCCAAGGAAACAAAGAGCGAGAGAATAGTGGAACTGTTGTTCTCCAAAAGATGGGGTGATCTTAGACTTTGGGGTGAGTGTGGATTAGAGGAAAAACAATGGGAGAAGGGAGGTAAATTGCAGAGACCAATTTTCTTCTAGAAAGTTTCAGAAGTTCCTATCATAGTTACATAACCGAAATAACTTTTCTGTTGTGTTCACTGACACATCCATTCATCCATTCATCTCAAGGCTTTGGAGTCAAGGATACTTTCACATAATTAAACACATATGTGAAAGCACTAATAATAACACTGGTACTTACTATAATTTTGCTTATATGATGACCCTGCAAAATACCCTGGAAATTATTAAAATAGGGCATAGGGGGCTGGCAGCATAGCTCAGAGGTAAGAGATCCACAACAGCAAATTCAAGTATGTGAGATAGAGTTCTATGTAACCTGCTTAAAAAGTCTATAAAGGGCCAGAAAGATGGTTCAATTGCTAAGGGGATTTGTTCTTCCAGAGGATTCATGACATTCTCCTCTCCCCTAAGAGCCATAGGCTATCTAATAAAATCCCCAGTGCCGGGCATCAAAAACATCCTTTTGAGTTGTTGGTCAGGAGAGACCAAAGGGCTACCCAAACAATATAGGCTGTTGCTGTTGCCCCTGTTGCCTCCCACAAGTTGAAGGTTAAGTCCCTATTAATGGAGGCATCATACTTTTGGACACAAGATTTGCAAGATTTGAGCTGATCTGACTGGAAGGCGTCCTTCCTGAGCACTAGATTTTATAATACTAGAAGGTGCTTTGCAAGCTGCCTAAGGATAGAAATCAATTAGTTCTGCTCAGCTGTGATGCCTATAAACCACAATCAAAAGCATGAGCTGTCGCAAAACGTACAGCAGTGGCACTTATATATTGGTGTTAACAAATAGCTGCCAAACTGAACCTAAGGCCCACTCAACAGAAGGGAAATCATGCCTGGCCAGGGAGGTCACGAACAATATGTTATTGCCACTTTTACAAACAAATGTAATTCCTAACTCCATTCTAAATATTTATCCATATTATAGTCATAGATAAGTGCAGCTTTCATCTCTGATCAAAGAGGCTTCTTTTTGCAGCAGATGAAGACCATTACAGAAAGCTACATATGGTCAAAATGCAGAGATAACTGTCTGTGGGGTGCCTGGTGCCAGTTTATACACCTACAACACAACCCTTCCACCTCAGCTCAGTGAACACTGCGGAAGAGAGGGGCAGGAGTCTAAGAGCCAGAGGTAGTCTGCTGCAACATGCGTATCTGCTAGATAGTACAGGGAATCTGCACCCACAAAACCTCAACCAGAGCCCTCAACAAAGACCACACCAGTTGCCGTGTCAACGTGGGTGGGGCATTTTTAAACATTTATTTATTTTTTATTAATTACAGTTTATTCACTTTATATCCCAGTCCCCCATCCACTCCTAATCCCACCCTCATTCCTACTTCTCCACCCATGCCCCTCCCCGAGTTCACTGATAGGGGAGGTCCTCCTCCACTTCCATCTGGTCCTAGTCTATCAGGTCTCATCATGAGTGGCTGCCTTGTCTTCCTCTGTGGCCTGGTAAGACTGCACCCACCTCAGGGGGAGGTGATCAAAGAGCAGGCCAGTCAGTTCATGTCAGAGGCAGTCCCTGTTCCCATTACTAGGGAACCCACTTGGACACTGAGCTGCCATGGGCTACATCTGTACAGGAGTACTAGGTTATCTCCATGAATGGTACTTGGTTGGAGTTCAGTCTCAGAAGACCCCTGGGCCCAGATTTTTTTCTCTCTCTCCTTTTGGAGCTCCTGTCCCCTCCAGGTCTTTCTATCTCCCCCTTCTTTCCATAAGATTTCCTGCACTCTGCCTAAAGTTTGGCTGAGTCTCAGTCTCTGCTTTGATACCCCCTGCAAGGTAGAGTCTTTCAGAGTATCTCTGTGGTAGGCTCCTGTCCTGTTCTGTTTTCTCCCTCTTCCGATGTCCATCCCATTTGCCTTTTTGAATGAGGATTGAGCATCTTACCCAGGGTTCTCCTTCTTGCTTAGCTTCTTTAGGTGTACAGATTTTAGTATGATTATCCTATATTATATGTCTAATATCTACTTATAAGTGAGTATATACCATGTATGTCTTTCTGCTTCTGGGATACCTCACTCAGGATGATCTTCTCTAGTTCCCACCATTTGCCTGCAAATTTCAAGATTTCCTTGTTTTTAATTGCTGGGTAAGGGTAGTATTCCATTGTGTAAATGTACCTCAATTTTTGTATCCATTCCTCAACTGAGAGACATCTGGGTTGTTTCTAGCTTCTGGCTATTACAGATAAAGCTGCTATGAACATGGTTGAGCAAATGTCCTCGTATTTTTGAGCATCTTTTAGATATATGCCTAGGAGTGGTACAGCTGGATCTTGAGGGAGTGCTATTCCTAATTGTCTGAGAAAGCGCCAGATTGGTTTCCAAAGTGGTTGTACAAGTTTACATTCCCACCAGCAATGGAGGAGGGTTCCCCTTTCTCTACATTCTCTCTAGCATGTGTTGTCACTTGAGTTTTTGATCTTAGCCATTCTGATGGGTATAAGGTGAAATCTCAGGGTTGTTTTGATTTGTATTTCCCTAATAGCTAAGGATGTTGAGCATTTTTTTTAAGTGTTTCTCTGCCATTTGATATCCCTCTATTGAGAATTTTCTGTTTGGCTCTGTACCCCATTTTTTAATTGGATTACATAAAAGATCTTTTGGAGGTATATCCATCCCTGATCTCAAGCTGTACTACAGAACAACAGTAGTAAAAACTGCATAGTACTGGCAGAGAAACTGACTGGTGGATCAATAGAATAGAATTGAAGATCCAGAAAAAAAGATCCACACACTTAGGGACACCTGATTTTTGACAAAGAGTCCAAAACCATACAATGGAAAAAAGATAGCATCTTCAACAAATGGTCTAACTGGACAGCTACATGTAGAAAAATGCAAATAGATCCATACTTATCATCCTGCACAAAACTAAAGTCCAAGTGGATCAAAGACCTCAACATAAAACCAGACACACTAAACCTGCTAGAAGAAAAAGTTGGGGAAAGCCTTGAACTCATTGGCACAGGAGACAACTTCCTGAAAAGAACACCAAAAACACAGGCTCTAAGATCAACAATCAATATATGGGACCTCATGAAACTGAAAAGCTTCTGTAAAGCAAAGGACACTGTTGTCAGAACAAAATGACAGACTGGGAAAGGATCTTCACCAACCCTATATGTGAGGGCTAATATCCAGAATATATAAAGAACTCAAGGATAGGGAAATCTTACATGGCTCAAGCTCTAGATGAACAGCTACAGGGAATTAATGATTGCTGAGAGAATTAGTTCTCCCCAGGGATGAGCCCCCTAATTGGTTATCCATACCAAGTGTTTATCCCTAAAAACAAATACACTCAAAAACAAAGCAAAACAAAAAAACAGAAACATACAAGTAACACCAAACAGACCCAGCAGGGTGCATTTATATATTTATTTGCATACATATTTAGCAATAATTATTAAAGCAAAAGAGACCATAAATTCCAGAGGTAGGAGGGAGAAAAAGTGGAAAAATAATGTGACTATTTTAATTGAACTAAAGAAATCACTGGTCAGACTTAGAGAGAGTGGATTTTTCTATCAGTAGCTCTACATCACAATTAGATATAAATATATCATAGAAAGACTATGTAACATACACGTCACAGTTGCAGTGTCACTGTGAATAGGAATGTGAATTCCCACTGCTGTGGGCTCAAAACACAATGCTTGGACCACCGGGGAAAAAATCACAACTGTAGAGGACTCAGCAGCCACCCAGAATTTTCCTGGAAACAGTAAGCCTTGACATTGTGCATAGTACCTGAAATCTAGTAAAAAAAATAAACATCTGTAATACTTTGTTAGGAACACTGGAAAAGAATATACATATAAATAATATTTTATGATTTTGATTCATAAAAATAATGTTGAAAAGCTAGTGTAAAAGTGTTTTTAAGAAATTGAGAATTGTTTCTTTACCATATCCTCTATTTATGTTGTTCATTTCTGTTTCTATAATCTTTAGTCCTTTTATTTGTGGATGGGTAGGCCGTATGGGCTATAGCCAACTCTTACCTCAAAGACTGGCCATAAAATAACAGAGTGGGCTGTCAGCAGAACACCAGGCCATAATCCTGATTCTGTCATTAAACAGCTTTGTAACAATGAAGAAATCTACATAGTTCTTTAAAAAAATTTTTTTTGGTCTGTAAAGTTGAAAATAAAATAGAGAATGTGTAAGGTTCCATCCATCTTCAGCCTCCGCAACTTTTGCAAACTGAATTGTCTCCAACACAAGCTCTGTTGGTGTATCACACCAGGGATTATGTGTTGCTGCTTTCCTAGTGTAGTGAACCAACAACCCAGTGTAACTGGGAATCAAAACAAAACAACCAAAACCAAAACCAAGCAACGAGCTAGAGGAGACAGCAAGGAGTAATGTGCCCTAACACAAATGTCAGACAAATTGTATGGAAATTCAATTAATTAAAAGGAACTGTGTCTGTAGAGAATGGCAAATACTATCTTTCCAGTCCTCTGTGTACACACAAAATCACTTGTTGCCCCACTGTGCCTCACCCCTATTACAGCCAGCTACTTACAGAGTTACATCCTCAGCCCCACACTTTCAGAACGGAGGCTGAGTAAAATGTATACTGATTCCCGGCTACTAGCTAAGAAACTAAGAAACTGCTTAGTTGTATACACATCTATGATGTGAGAATTCAGAAAACCTTTACTACTGGTTGTTAGTTTTGTAAAAAAACAAAATCAAAACAAAGTTTTGGAAATTGTTTT